GCTTTGCAGCCAAGCCATTTGGAATACATTATCTCGGCCGTCTACTCCATACTTCATATTCCGTGGAGGATCCTAACCATGTGCGTGTGATACGATACTCGAAGCAGTTGGGAGTCGGGAATGGAGTCGCCGATCTAGTTGCGATGATTTCATCGGTCGGGTCTCTGCACACGGTGATTCGAGCGATGTGGCCCGGAAGAGACTAGGACATGTTAGCGGAGGACTGTAGCCAGTGAGGGGCGCCGAATTAAATGACTCTGGCTCCATGAGGCCAGGGGGAGGCCGACAAAGCAAAGATCGACTGTCGTAGGAGGCAGCTTCGGCGAGGCGGTGGCAGTAAGAGCGTGGCAGTACGCGTCCGGGTAAGACGGTACCATACGTCTATCACGGACCATGTAGCTTGATGAAGGAACATTCTCCTGCAAGGGCATTCTGATAACTATTTTGTATACTATTCTATACGTGAATTCTCCGGGAAATAGGAAAATAGTTCGAGACATACAGTTATCTATCTGCGCCAATTCTCTAGTTCTACTCCGTAGAGTAAGGGAAATTACTTAGGTATCCTCTCCCCAGACAAAAATCGCGCATAGTGTAAGAACCGGGGCACTTCTGTGGAGGCCAACTCGGCACTGGCCTGCCGGTGGTGTCTACGTATTGAGCGTGTATCGTAGTTGAATTTTTAATATTTCGACTAGGCCGAGAGTGGGAGGATCCACTGAATGCTATGCGAATTGACGATCCTTGATTGGGTAGAGGCAACCCTGTTAAGGTGATTACTTGGTTCAAGGGGGCTAGTGGTATTGAAAAAATAAAAAATAAAAAATAAGAAAAAAATAAGAGCTACACGCTTCTCCCCCAGCAACGAAGTATCTACGGGATCAAGTCAAATACCTTCTTTTCCTATTTCAATCAATTTCCGTCTTTTTCAATTTTTCCCTTTTTCACTTTCTTTTTTTAATTCTCTCTTTATCCACCCACCCACCCACTCCGGTTCCCTCTCTGTGGCCCCCCGTATCTCATTATAAAACTGTCCCTCCTTCCAACCACCCCTCTCGTTTTCTCTTTTTCCTCCTTTCTATAGGATTTATTCCGACTCTGCCATACCAGTCTTCCGTTGGTGTGTTTTTGCTCATATTGTTACAGGCGTGAGCCGAAGCAACAGCAACAATGGCGGAGCGGAGAATCTCCTATGCTGTCGACGTCGAAAATGGCGAACGTCACAACCGTGAAGCCGGTGAGGAGGGTAACCTCGACGAGTACTCTGCCTTGAACCGGTATATTTCGACTGCCCGCGATGGCCGTCGTGGTTCGACTTCTTCCGCTGCTGCTCTGAGCACTGGCGAGGAGAAGAAGAAGCCCTGGTGGAAGTTGTTTGGTGGCAAGACCGACGGTGTCTCCGACGGTTTTGTTACCCCCGATGAATGGCTTGAGACTGACCTACGCACCGGTCTGAGCTCCTCCGACATCGAGCCCCGCCGCAAGAAGACCGGCTGGAACGAGCTCGTTACTGAGAAGACGAACATCTTCATCCAGTTCATTGGTTACTTCCGTGGCCCCATTCTCTATGGTGAGTTGAGATTCGACGCGTCTTTAGATCCAATGGCTAATATCCTCTCTAGTTATGGAACTTGCTGTCCTCCTCGCTGCCGGTCTCCGTGACTGGATCGATCTCGGTGTTATCTGTGGTATTCTTTTGCTCAACGCTCTCGTCGGTTGGTACCAGGAGAAGCAGGCTGCCGACGTCGTGGCTTCTCTCAAGGGTGATATTGCTATGCGTGCTATCGTTGTCCGTAACGGTCAGGAGGAGGAGATCCTCGCCCGTGAGCTCGTTGCTGGTGACATTGTTATCGTCGAGGAGGGTACCGTTATCCCTGCCGATGTTCGTCTGATCTGTGACTACTCCAAGCCCGAGATGTTCGAGGCCTACAAGGAGTACCTCGCCAACGCCACCGACGACACCCTCAAGGAGAAGCACGGTGATGATGATGAGGATGACGTCGACGTTCACCAGGGTGTCTCCCTCATTGCTTGTGATCAGTCCGCTATCACTGGTGAGTCTCTCGCTGTCGACAAGTACATGGCCGACACCTGTTACTACACCACCGGTTGCAAGCGCGGCAAGGCCTACGGTATTGTCACTGCTACTGCCCGTCACTCTTTCGTCGGTCGTACCGCTGCCCTTGTTCAGGGTGCCCAGGACTCTGGTCACTTCAAGGCCGTCATGGACAACATCGGTACCTCCCTGCTCGTTCTCGTCATGTTCTGGATTCTCGCTGCTTGGATTGGTGGTTTCTTCCGTCACCTCAAGATCGCCACCCCTGAGCACAGCGACAACAACTTGCTCCACTACACTTTGATTCTCCTGATTATCGGTGTCCCCGTCGGTCTGCCCGTTGTTACCACCACCACCCTCGCTGTCGGTGCCGCCTACCTCGCCGAGCAGAAGGCTATTGTCCAGAAGCTCACCGCCATCGAGTCCCTCGCTGGTGTCGACGTTCTGTGCTCTGACAAGACCGGTACTCTCACTGCCAACCAGCTCTCCATCCGTGAGCCCTATGTCTCCGAGGGTGTTGATGTCAACTGGATGATGGCCGTCGCTGCCATTGCTTCTTCCCACAACATCAAGAACCTCGACCCCATTGACAAGGTTACTGTCCTTACTCTCCGTCGTTACCCCAAGGCTCGTGAGATCCTGTCCCGCAACTGGATCACCGAGAAGTACACTCCTTTCGACCCCGTCTCCAAGCGTATTACCACTGTCTGTACCTGCGACGGTGTCCGCTACATTTGCGCCAAGGGTGCTCCCAAGGCTATCCTCAACATGTCTGAGTGCTCCAAGGAGGAGGCTGATCTCTACCGCGCCAAGGCCGCCGAGTTCGCTCGTCGTGGTTTCCGTTCTCTCGGTGTTGCCGTCATGAAGGAGGGTGAGCCCTGGCAGCTTCTGGGCATGTACCCCATGTTCGACCCCCCTCGTGAGGATACCGCCCACACCATCGCTGAAGCCCAGGTTCTCGGTCTCTCCGTCAAGATGTTGACTGGTGACGCCATCGCTATCGCCAAGGAGACTTGCAAGATGCTTGCTCTTGGTACCAAGGTTTACGACTCCGAGCGTTTGATCCACGGTGGTCTCGCTGGTTCCGCCCAGCACGACCTCGTTGAGAAGGCTGACGGTTTCGCTGAAGTCTTCCCCGAGCACAAGTACCAGGTTGTCGAGATGCTCCAGCAGCGTGGTCACTTGACTGCCATGACTGGTGACGGTGTCAACGATGCTCCCTCTCTCAAGAAGGCTGACTGTGGTATCGCTGTCGAGGGTTCCACTGAGGCTGCCCAGGCTGCCGCCGATATTGTCTTCCTCGCCCCCGGTCTGTCCACCATCGTCGATGCTATCAAGCTTGCTCGTCAGATTTTCCAGCGTATGAAGGCCTACATTCAGTACCGTATCGCTCTGTGTCTCCACCTTGAGATCTACCTGGTTACCTCCATGATCATCATCGATGAGACCGTCGACTCTTCCCTGATTGTCTTCATCGCCTTGTTCGCTGATCTTGCCACCATCGCCGTCGCCTACGATAACGCTCACTTCGAAGCCCGCCCCGTCGAGTGGCAGTTGCCTAAAATCTGGGTCATCTCCGTCGTTCTTGGAATCATGCTCGCTGCCGCCACCTGGATCATCCGTGGTACCCTCTTCCTCGAGAACGGTGGTATCATCCAGAACTTCGGTTCTCCTCAGGAGATTCTCTTCCTTGAGATTGCTCTGACCGAGAACTGGCTGATCTTCGTCACCCGTGGTGGTAAGACTTGGCCCTCGTGGCAGCTGGTCATCGCTATCTTCATTGTCGATGTCCTCGCCACCTTGTTCTGTGTCTTCGGCTGGCTCGCCCCCGACTGGGAGCAGACCTCTCCCCCTGACCCCGCTGGCCCTACCTTCTCCGTGAACAACGATGTTGACATTGTCACCGTCGTTGTCATCTGGGCCTACTCTATCGGTGTTACCGTCATCATCGCCGTTGTGTACTACCTCCTGACCATTGTCCCCGCTCTGGACAACCTTGGCCGCAAGACTCGCTCCAAGGCCGACACTCAGATCGAGAACATGATCGCCCACCTTTCCAAGCTCGCTATCGAGCACGAGCAGGACAAGGATGGCAACTCCCGCTACACTCTCGGTGCTCGCGCCGACGATGTCGAGGAGGACGAGTAAATTACTCGCTCGCCAGCTTTCAAACTCGTTACTGATCCGAGTTCATAATTTTCCTTTATTTTCTTTTCCCGCGATTACCACTACACGCAAATCTTTGCTGTGCCACCTACTTGGACATGCATGCCGTGGGATCAAAAAGGCTGTTTCCCGTCTTTTTTGCTCCTTTACCGTATCATAGACTTTTGTGTTTCATTTACCCCTTGGCTGCGGTTTGCTTTCGAGTTGATAGAGTCAAGTTTTCTTTCTCTACGTGTATGTATGTCGTTAATAGTGGCACTCAGTCAATCTAAGGGATTCTAATCAAATGTTCCTCTGTAATTGTAACATTGTAATCGTAGCATTCCGATGTTCCCACTTAACAATGCTTGGCCTGCATTCCTCATGGATTCCACTTCGCCTTCATACCCCTGTCTTCACCCATTTCCTTGCCTGATATCCTCGCCGCTAAGAGGTGGAAGCCCAATTCTCCGTCCCTAACTCCCCCACTGCTTTTCCCCGGATGATTTTCCACCATGCGGCGAGAGAAGCTTTGACGAGTCTTTAGCCTACTCGTGAATATGCGGAGATGGTCCAATGCCTTCAATTTCTGGATTCCTGGTTCCGAACTATGGTCAAATCTAAGCTCCAACCTTGACTGGCGCAAGATGAATCTCTAATTTTCCGTCTCTGCCGCAATTGACTGGAAGAACTATACCCTTCTCGAAACTTGGTGTAGAAGTGTATACTATAAAAGAAACCAATTCATCCAACCGTTCATTAACCCCATCCAGCACAAGAGCAAGAGACCACCGCAAGAATGCTACTCTCCCACCTCCTCCCCCTCCTAGGCCTCCTTCTATCCCAAACCTCAGCAGCAGCCCTTCAATCCGAATCCCACAAGATATCCACCCTACGCCGCTGCCAAACAACAGGCAAAAACTGCCCGGCAGGAACAATAACCGTCTCCCAAACCTCTAAAGAAGCAACAACCTACAACACAATCCAATCAGCAATAAACGCCCTACCAAACAACACAACGCCGCAAACGATCCTAATAAAAACAGGCACATACAACGAACAACTAAATATTACTCGCGCCGGACCAATAACCTTCCTAGGCGAAACAACCAACCCAAAAGACGCAACAGCCAACCGCGTCCGCATCACCTGGGCCGCCGCTAATAAAGACTCTACCGGTCAGAGCGTCGACAATGTCTACTCGAGTGTGCTTGTCGTGGCGCCGACGCTCGAGTCGAGTTTGACGGGCTCCGGGACTACAGGGTATCCTGTCCCTGATGATACGCCGTTTGGGAATACGGATTTTAGGGTTTATAATGTTGATTTTGTGAATGAGTGGTCGGATTATTCCGATGGGCCGGCTCATGCTTTGAGTTTGAGTCGTGCTAATGGCGGGTTTTATTATTGTGGGTTTTTTTCGTATCAGGATACCGTGAGTTTACTTTATTTCCTACTTCTGGTTCTGGTTCCGATTCGATACTGCTTTGGATTGGATCAGCCATCTACATCGTACACCAGAACATACCGTTCCAAGCTAAACGAAACCGAAACCCAAATCCAAACCCAAACCAAAGCCTAACTCCAACTCTAACATCAAATGAAACCATAGGTCTACGTAGGCAAACTCGGCAACGCATACTTCTACAAAAGCATCATAGCCGGCCAAACCGACTTCCTCTACGGCTTCGGCACAGCCTGGATCCAATCAAGCAGCATCCAACTCCGCGGCTGCGGCGGCGGCATAACAGCCTGGAAGGGCACAAACACAACATTCACTAACAAATACGGCGTCTACATCGTGGACTCAGACGTCCGCGCGGCAAATACATCCATCGCACCCGATATCATTGGCGAATGTGCACTCGGCCGGCCGTGGAATAGTCAGCACCGGTCTATCTTTGCGCGGTGTACTGAGGACGGGAGTATCACCGCTAGTGGGTATATTGATTGGGTTGTTTCTGGTGTGGCGAGGTTCCAGGAGGGGTCACGCTTATGGCTGAGTATGCTGTTTCTGGGCCTGGGTTTAATCGGACTGGGAGGGTTGAGGGGGGTGTTACTACTTTGCTTGATAAGGAGGGCTGGAGGGGGTTTAGTGAGCCGGAGAGGGTGTTCCAGAGGCCCACTGGGGAGTTTGGGAATGTTGGGTGGATTGACTGGGGGGTTGTTGGCGAGAAGGTGTAGAGCAGGGTGTCTTATTGGAAGTGGATGGGATCGTTTTTGATAGGGGGGATCGTATAATGAAATTTGGTGAGTTTTTGTTTCGTGTTACTAAGTTATAGTACAAGCTTGTTTTCTCCTCTTTCTCTCTTCTCTCATCCACAGCTTCCATAGACATTCAAACCCCCTCCAAGTACATCCTGGGATGGACCGTCTCCCTTCTCTCTCTGCTCTTTCTGGGTCTTTCCATCATAACCAAGATAAATCCCTTCCTTCCCACCTTCACCCTGATCCCTAAGTAACTCCCCCAACCTCCCCAGCCTAGCAAGATAAGCAGCCCCAGTATCCGCCCAAACAAAATACTCACAAACCTTCAACATCCCCCTGCCCGCCAAATCTCCAGACAGCTCTTCAGCAAGCTTAATCCGATAAACGAACATTTCATCCCAAGCCTGCCGAGTGCTCTTCCAAGAGAACGTAGCCCTCCCACGCAAACAAACAGCCATACACCGTTCATCAACGACCCAGTCATCCTCAGGATCGAAGGTCATATTGTGGATATCTAGGTGCGTTGAGAGGAGATTGAAGTAGGTGACTAGACCATCCTGGCCGGTAAATGTTCGGCCGAGGAAGGGGGCTAGGTGAGGGGAGGCCGTGTTCGTGGCATTTTGGGGGTGGGGATGTTGTGAATGTTGCCAGGAGTGTTTTGAGGGGGTTTGTTTTTGGAGGGTTTGTTAGGGCTTGTAGGAAGGTTTGGGTTGAAGATGTGAGATTTGTGCGGGGTGTCATTTGTGCTTCTTCTTTCAGGGTTTGAATACGGAGGAGAGGTTGGAGTTGATCTATGGGATCTTCCAAGGTTGATATAAGGTTGATCAGAGATGCGAACTTACATAACCATGACGTTTTAATTTATGTTTGTTGATAGCTACACGTCTTCTTCTGTGTCTTGGATGCAACTATAGGATATCTCATTTTTAGTAAATAATAGCTCATCTGATTCTCCATTCTCTGTAAAAGCCTGCTAGGCTTCACACCGGAAAGGAAACGGAAGTAGAAAAAACACCCCTCAAAGTCCGCGAAAAAAAAAAAAAAAAAAAAACTCCAGTGTTGGCTTGTAGTCCAATGTTGTATAGTAAGCCCGAAGAGGGAAAAAGAGGAAACGAAAACAAACACCAGTCCCAGAGAAATAGTACACACCCCCTTCGAAGAGCTCTCAACCTCCCACACTCACTGCCGCCAGGACTTGCCGCAGTTTGTGCACGTACAGAACAGAGTCATCGGTTCATCAGCACTGCGAGTCTGAGCCTCGGTGTAGGTCACCTTTCGCTGACCACACTTGCCGCACTGCAAGCTCTGACTGATACTGCGTTCTTGCTGGGGAACCATAGCCTTGTCCATGTTCTCCTTGCGAAGCTTGGCATCAGCCTCACGCTGCTCAACAGACTTCAGCTCATCGGAGGTCATGCGCACGAATTGCTCAGCGGTGATCTCCCCAGAAACCACACGCACACGCAGCTTAGGGTTGGACTTGTTCTTCAGATTCTGGAACAAGCTGCGGATCTTCGTCTTGTATTGCTCCTTCGTCTCAGGACCGAGATGGTCATAGGCAGCAATTTCCACGGCAATAGCCCGAGCCAGAATAGTCTTGGGAGGCTCGGTCGAGCCCATGCACAGTCCATCATACATCAGACCCGTGCAGCTGTCACGCACTTTGCTGCCACTGTGGTTGATTTCCACCTTATCCGCCTTCCAGGTTCGTTTATCTGGTGGCACAGACAGCTTTGACGCCTTGTCTGACGGTGTGGCTGAGGCTGGGGTTGAAGCTCCTGTGCCGTTCTGCCCTGGCCGGGGCGAGCCGCTGGAGCCACGGCTAGCTGCTGAACCTCCGCCTTGTTTCTGCTTGTTCACTTCTGTCCGCCACTTGGACACAATCTCGCTGGAGAGACGCGCGATCTCCGGGCTCTTGCTGGACTTGAACTTGTTGACAAGGATACCAATGCGGGTCTTTCGCAGCAGATCTTCCGTTGGGCGCACGCCGGTTTGGATATCCTTCAGCAGGCCCAGAATCACGGCTGAGGACTCGTTCGATGTCGCAGCCTTGCCTAGGTCCTTGGCCTTAGCCTCGATTTGTTTGGCATCCATGGCCATAGTGTGCGGGGTAGGTAGATAATGCGACCAGAGAAGGTGGAGGAGACAGGAGAGGATTTGGAAGGTTCAGAGACCCTAGAAGCCGAAGCTGTCAGTAAATCATTGTAAATGGTTCAAGCGCAGGGTCTTCGCAAAGCCCCGGATGCCGGCGCATTTCACATAGTCACAGCACGCGCATTTGGTCTTTGGAATCACATATCACAGAGCACACATGTATTCAGTACACGTCGCACAGAGTATGGCTCTCGATGTACCCCATCATATGAGCCCATGTGAGTGAAGGTGGCACGCTGCCAAATTGCACGTGTCCACCTTCTCCCTAAGACTTCGTCTCAAACTGAGGCATGCTCTAGAGTGTTGGAGCTGATGCGCATACTATGAAAGCTATTGCGCCCAAAGCAACATTGGGGTCTGGCACAAAACCACGATGCGGTTGAGGGGTGTTTTGCATAGGTACTTACCTAGGGTATTTCACGGTCGCGTCGTAGGGTTGGCCGTCTGGGGCTGCAGCTGTGGAAGATGTAAAGATTGAGGTCTCAATTGAAAGAAAGCAATGAGAACAACGAGAGTGGTGTATGGGATGTGGGAGGAGCAAAGAAAAAAATGTCCTGGTGAAAGAGTTGGACCGTCCGAGGTTGCGCCAAGATTTTGCTTCCCTTTTCGGAAATTTCTATCAGACTTCACTTGCTCTGTTTTGGGATGGCTACAGTTTGCATGTCACACATCTAGATATCTAAAGAATTTCTAATATTGCTTGTCCAGAATGTATTCACATCTATCTGTGTATCCTTCTCAAGAATCGTAGGGTCCATGGCTATGCAAACAGGATATGGATGAAGCAAACAGGATTATGTGCAGATGCGGTTCGTCATCGTAGGGTGTAGGGGAGGGGGTATAACAAATGGGGTCTTTTGAAGGTAAAGCGTAAGCATCGTCAGTCACATCCTCGTACACGGGACCCAGGACTTGGGGTATCTCGGTCATAAGAGGGACCATGAACAACGTCGAGACAGTAATTGAGCCACGGACAAATGTCTCTCGCGGCTATGTCTTGGTCATTGCTCGAATCTGGATCGAGCGAGCCCTATTCCAGTGATGAAAGGCAGGTACCGAGGGAAGTGACAATTGTCCAACGGCTCAAGAGGTCTAGATACCGGTCTTGCCGAGGACATCGGCAAGGGCATCGACATCCTTGTCAGACTTCTGGGCAACCTTCTCTTCCTCGGCGCGATCGGCTTCCTTGAGGTCCTTCTCGGCCTTGCGCTCTTCCTCTTCCTCTTCTTCCTCTTCTTCCTCCTCTTCAGAATCCTCCTCTTCAAGTTCATCAAGCTCGTCAACACCCCAGGTGTCCTCCGGGTCGTCATCGGTGCCGTGCTCCTCCTGACGAGCCTCCAGCAGCTCACGGAGCTCGGTGACATAGGGGTCATCCTCGGAGAAGATGTTTCCGTTGAGCTCGACACGGCGCAGGCTGGGCAGCGCAGTCTTGGCAGCGTGAGTGAAGCCCTTGACAGCCTCAGCCTTGATCTCGTTGTATTGCAGACGCAAAGTCTTAAGCTTCGGGTTGTTGTTATCGGCCAGAGCCTGGGCGACCTTCACTCCACCACGGGCAGAGAGGAGGCAGTCGCCAACACCAAGCTCGAGCAGCGAGGACCAGCTTGCCAGGGAGTTGGCGAGAGCTGTACTACCCATGACAGTGAAAGTGTTGTCCTGCAGATCCAGAACCTCCAGGGCGCGAGCATGGTACAGACCCCGAGTCAGGAGGTGGGAGATACCCTCCTGGCGGATGCCGTTCTGGGTCATCTTGACTGACTTCAGACCAGCGGCGTGGGCCTTGTAAGCGCGAGCCCAGGCCTCCATACTGCCGTTCTCTAAGCGGTTCCGTCCGCAGACAACGCTCTCCAAAAGCGCAATCTCCTTTCCGCCCTTGCGAGCTTCCTCCTTGCGCTCAGCCAATTTTGTCAGCGCATCGGCAACCTGGGTTCCGGCGGCGGGGCCGAGTCCGTTGTTGTTCAGGATAAGGTGGCGGAGGGGCACGTGGCGGGAGAGGAAGTCGACGAGTGGGGCCGAGGTGTTGAGACCGAAGGCGTTGTCGTTCAGGTTGACAGTGTGGACGGTCGAAATTTCAAGGACGGCGTTTAGGAGGAAGGTCAGAGCGGTGGGGATCTCAGACAGGAGACGGCCGGTGAAGATGTCGTCAAGGTACGCAGCCTCAAGGCTCTTCTGGGTCTTCAAGACCTCAGCAAGGCGCTGGGAGGCGCCAATGCCCAGGGTGTTTCCTCCAAAACGGATCTCAGTGTAGTCGGTGTTGTCGATCAGGGGCTTGATATGCGCGTCAATGTCTTCCGCACTGTCGAGCTTGAGGACTTTGCCCTCGAGGGAGAAGACCTTAGGAGGGGCCATGGTGGGGTAGTCAAGTGGGAGAGTGAAAGAATGAAATGTGAAAAATAAACCAGGTAGTCAATGGCGAACCAAATCCCAGAACTAGACCCAAGACCCAATAATGAGATGAAAAAACCAGACAGGCAGTGAAGCAGAAAAGGAGGCGAGTCCGGGGCAATAATTTGTTGATAACCAAAAAAAAATAACTACGGCGGACGCGAGAGACCAGTTGCGCTGTCATTAATAATGTCCGATGGTGTCAGTCACGGAATTAACATTTCACATTTTATCCTTCACACTCGCTATTTGTCTTTCATTTCCTGGATATATCCACGAAGCACATCCACATCTACATCTACTACAATGTCCTGGCTGTTCGGTTCAAGTGGTAAGTTTCAATGTCTCCTATCAAACCCGAACCCGACACTCGCGCAATGCGCCTGGCTTACCCATCACCCGGGGAATCAATACAGTGGCTAACACATGGACTTACAGAGAAACCCGCTGCTCCCGAGCAAGTACCCGCTCAACCTGCCCAAACCGAGAAGCCCAAGGTATGAACCGACACTGCCGAAGTAAGCACAAGTAGCGACTGACCTGCTTTCTAGCCCTGCTGCGTCTGCAAGCCCGAGAAGACCACCCGCGACGACTGCATGCTGTTCTCCAAGTCCGACAACCCGGAGCAGGAATGCAAGTCCACAATTGAGCAGTACAAGGCGTGCATGGCTGGGTACGGCTTCAAGGTCTAGACAGCAAGTGATCGTCTGGCCTGTACTATACAACATTGTATTATAGCATTCATTGGTGGGAGTTTTGTTCCTTTCTTTTGATATCATCTGGTTCTTGGGTATGCCTGCTTGGTGGCATATTTGACTTGGTGAGAGCATTTGCGGTTTAGATGATAAGCATTTAATTCCCAATACAACATCTCATCTCCTACATAAGACAATTTTGATATCCTGAGCAATACTAGATTGGAATAAGCTCCCAGCTAAACTGGTCGCTAGATAATAAAAATAGGGTATCTCTGAAAGCGCACCGCCATCCACCCAAGAATAATTTTGTTTATTGCTTCTTTTTTTGGTTATCCTCCTCTGCCGCTTGACGATCAATTTTGCGGCATTGAGTGAGCAGCTTCCACATACACCAAAGGTAGGCAATTCCGAACCCACCAGCCCCAATTAGGGCGTTCAAGACGACCCATAGGTCTGGCTTGCCTGGCGGAGGGGAAACAAATGCTTCAAGAACATGCCAGGCAATCATGGCAAGATAGAAAGCGTAATGTAAGAGCGTGGTGAAAATATTGGGCTCAAGATGAGTACTGGAGTTCTCTAGGTTTGGCCGACTGCGGTAAGTCTCGAAAGAAGTAGGAGGAAGACCGAGAAGATAGGCCCAAAGCAAGGTCATGACGATATAGGGAACCCGAAGTTCATCGCGTTTGAGGAGAGGGTACATAGTCCAGGATCCAAGCACGTTGGCCCAGCCGACCCAGGCGCGGCTTTCCTTGCTCAGTCCACCATCACTGGCAAGTAGCAGAGTCATCGGAAGCAGAGGCAACAAAACACTCTTCTCATGCACCTGGAAGGAAAACAGGAAGAAGCCCCATGAGACACAGCATAGAGCAGGGAGGAGAAGCGAAGCCCGGGGATGACGGAAAATGATGGCGCAGGGGACAATGATCGACCCTAGGGTAGCACCGAGAGATGCCCGCTGTAGCAGAGTAGCATCAAAGCGAGTCAGCTTATAGAACGTATGGATGGCACACCAAGCGTTGGCAACTTTGTCTTCGAAAAGGCCGCGCGCGAAGGGGAATACGCGGTGAATTATTTGCGTTAGCTGAAATAGCACTCCATAGAGTACAGATCTTTTGTCAAGAGAGATAGGGATTGCCTGGATCAAGGGTGGCACAGGGGAAGATGCGAACACCTTTCGGGCTTCATCGTTAGAGGCACAGACCAGAAGCGGGCCTAGTAGCAATGCAAAAGTAGCTAACGTGACGAGGGAGATGTTGAGGAAACGTAAAATGCGAATTCGAGGGAAAATGCAGACGCCAAGGAGGTAGGCGAACATGACTGGGGCATAGTATAACGCCATCTGCTTGAATCCCAATGCACCCACAAAGAAGATACAGGCCCACAGCATGCGCCCAGCCAATATAGCGTCCAAGCTCGCGACCACTAATCCTAGCATGACGGTATTATACTGGAAGTGGCCGTGGTCGATCAGAATATTGGCTGGCTGAAGGAGAACTGCCGCAAGAACAATTGAGGCGGACCAAGCGTGGACACCCTGCATCCGAGTGTAGCGGCGCAAGAAATTGACGACGGCGGGGATGAAAACCAAGTACTCGGATATGACGACAGTTGCACGCATATAAACCTTCAAACGGGGATCTTCAATGCCCCGGGAACTGTCTAGGGCGAACCATGCTGGTTCAACGGCGGAGCCACTAAACAGAACAACAGGTTAGCAGCGTCCAAGGAAATCCAACAATTGAATCAAACACCATAGACATACATTTTGCCAAGTAACCAGCTGTGATACGCGGTCAATGGAGGGTAATCGAGGCCCCAGTATTGTAGGTCGTAAAGGTACCATTTGGCGACTGGAAGATGTGTGGTAATCTCCATCCAATGCCTTTGCGCTTCAAAATCACCGTGCATCGGGGGGACCTGGAAGCCTGTATAGTCTGTCAGTAAGCGTATTGCTTGCAGCTAGGAACCAGCTCCGATACCAGAGTATCCCCATAAGCTCACAGCCCAGCGGAACAGGCCAACGGTCATGAGAATAAGAGGGAGGACCAGCCATTGTGAGGCTCCTGCGCGTGCGCCCCAGAGAAAAGAGACTAGCGGGAATGCCGGGGACTGCTTTCCATCACCCTTGTCCAATATGAGGTTATTGTTGGAGCCCGGGGAAGTCGCGAACTTTCTCTTCTTGCGGGGACGGTGTGAAGACGGCGTGTGAGGAGCCATCGCGATAGACGAGTAGCCTAGTGTACCATTGACTTAAATGAGGCCGTAAATGGGAATATGGAGAATCGACCTGTCAAGCCAAACATACAGGCACCAGGGACGGTGAGTCGTCCAAGAGGTACCCGAGAGGTCTCCACCGTACTAAATTTGTTCTGGCAGGCGGTGTAGTTCTGCCAGCCTCTGAAATTTTTTTTTTTCGGCCGTCCTTATCAGAGCTGACGGTCCCCCAGAGCTGCTCTTTTTTTCTTCTTCTTCATCCATCCTCTTCACTTTTTTGCTTCCCCCTTCTCCTCTAAGCAATCTTCCGGTTGCTTACTTCAATAACACCTTTTCTTTACACTAACTAACGCAGTCGCGTGGGTTCTATTCGTAAGTTCAGACTTTCTGTGGGCATTGTCACTCTGAGGGCTGTGGGCTTTGTATACATCTATTCTGTGGGCTCTGTGGGACATCTTCCTCGTGGGTTACATATCATAGACAGTATTGGCTGTCAGTTGCTTGTGGGCTTGAAACATCGTGGGCTTGTGGGTTAACGTCCGGTTGTGATTAGATCACTCCTGGCAGTTCTTTTCTGAGGGCTGTTGTTTTCTATCTTTACACGGGTTTTCTGAGGGATCGTGGGCTTTGCCGCACATACTACAAGAAATTTTCACTTGTTATCTCAGTATGTGCCACCCTACCCAACCCAAGCTCCAAGCCCCAAGCCTCCCCTCCTATGAGACTTGCTTGTTATGAAGATCACTGGCTAACCTCTTCTTCAATAGACACAATGTCTAAGACTACTAAGGTTTCCACCAAGGCTGAGAAGCCCTCCAAGACCGTCAACAAGGTCAAGGACGCTGCCGTTACCAAGGCCACCAAGGCCAAGACCGCCGCCAAGGAGGACAAGACCTCCAAGAAGAACAAGAAGAAGGAGCCTACCCCTAGCAGCTCCGAGTCCGAGTCCGACAGCGATGAGGATATGAAGGATGCTTCCAGCTCTAGCGAGTCTGAGTCCGAGTCTGAGGAGGAGAAGCCCGCCCCCAAGAAGACCGAGAAGAAGGCCGCCGCTAAGGCTGAGTCTTCTGACTCTTCCGACTCTTCCGAGTCCGAGTCCGAGTCTGAGTCCGAGTCCGAGGATGAGAAGCCCGCTCCCAAGAAGGCTGAAAAGAAGGTCGCTGCCAAGGAGTCTTCCGACTCCTCCGACTCCTCTGACTCTGAGTCTGAGGATGAGAAGCCCGCTCCCAAGAAGGCTGAAAAGAAGGTCGCTGCCAAGGAGGAGTCTTCCGACTCCTCCGACTCCTCTGACTCTGAGTCCGAGTCCGAGGATGCCAAGAAGGCCGAGGTATGTGTCTTGCACTATCGTTCATTACAATCATGATGCTAACCCATATTCAGTCTTCCGACTCTGAGTCTGGTTCTGGCTCCGACAGCTCTGACTCCGAGTCTGAGTCTGAGAAGGAGACTGTCTCCAAGAAGCGCAAGGCTGATGACGAACCCGAGGCTGTTGCCAAGAAGTCCAAGACTGCTGATGCTCCCGAGGGTGCCTCCGCCAACCTCTTCGTTGGCAACCTCTCCTGGAACGTCGACGAGGAGTGGCTCCAGCGTGAGTTCTCCGAGTTCGGTGAGCTCTCCGGCTGCCGCATTGTCACCGACCGTGAGTCTGGCCGCTCCCGTGGCTTCGGCTACGTCGAGTTCACCAACGCTGCCGATGCCGCTAAGGCCATGGAGGCCAAGAAGGGTTCCGACCTCGACGGCCGTACCATCAACCTTGACTACGCCACTGGCCGCCAGAACAACCAGCAGGGGGTGACCGTGCTCAGGCCCGTGCCCGTTCTTACGGTGACCAGACCAGCCCCGAGAGCGACACTCTCTTCGTTGGCAACCTTCCTTTCAGTGCCACTGAGGATGCTCTCCACGAGGTTTTCGGTGCCCAGGGCAGCGTCCTCGGCATCCGTCTGCCCACCGAGCAGGAGACCGGACGCCCCAAGGGCTTCGGTTACGTTCAGTTCTCTTCCATTGATGAGGCCAAGGCCGCCCACGGTGCCCTCCAGGGTGAGGAGATCGAGGGTCGTGCCATCCGTCTCGACTTCAGCACTCCCCGTCCCCAGGGTGGTGACCGTGGTGGCTTCGGCGGCCGTGGTGGTGGTCGCGGTGGTGGCCGTGGCGGCTTCGGTGGTCGCGGCGGCGGCGGTGGCTTCGGCGGCCGTGGAGGTGGTGGCCGTGGAGGTGGCCGTGGTGGCTTCGGTGGTGGCCGCGGCGGTGGCCTCAACAAGGGCAAGGGCAGCATCCCCGAGTTCAAGGGCACCAAGATGACCTTCTAAGCTCGTCAATTGTCTCCTGCATACGTTTGAATTTTGCAACTAACGGTGTCAACGGTTCTTTGACTGGGAAACAAAAAGTTCGTGTTTAATTATGTGATAATAGGCTATTCGTTCAAGTATCTTCAATGTGATACAGCATTTCAATGTTTATTTCTTCTCTTGTAGTTGTAGCTTGACCTTACGAGTATACTGCCACTGGTGACCGCCCTCCCCGCAATCTTCTTTGTTTGCGCGCATCACCACATCCACGGATGTCGCACTGTCTGGATCTTTGCTTTCATTGATCTCTTGGGGATCGATTGTCTCCTATTAAGACACTCTGTTCCGGAATTCCAGAATATGCTCTCCCCTTTGACACCCCTCACATCTTCTATCGGCCAACCCCGTCACGGGCAGCAAATCACCTGTTTGGTCTGCTGATCACCTCATCATTCGATTCCCAAGGTTGGTCTCCCTTCATGACCGCATCTTCCACCAAGTTCAACCTGGAACTATTGCAAAGCTTTGGCTCGACATTTTTGGAAGTATCTCTGGGCTTACCCTACCTGGGCAGAAGTTGAAGTCTTTGGGCATCAGTGGAGAGATCGTCAGCTCCACATTGATAAGATTATCGCATCCCCCACGTTGACCGCTCTTATTGTACCCAGGTGGCCTGATCCCCTTCCTCTTTTATTTATTGCCCTCCCCTTCTTTACTTTTTAATTCAACCTTTAGCCATGCAACCGAATCACTGCGACCTTCTGGGTCAGGTGCGTGAGCCCAGAGCCGCGAGTCGGATGACGCGCGATGGCCAGCCGCATCAAAGTGGTCAGCCCCAGCCATCCGGTGCACCCATGAGATCAGAGGGTATGTGGTCCTTTTTATAATCTGCCTGGTACCTCCCTGTCCTGCAGGTCCGGTTTCAACATGCATATACACAGGTCGCTTTCACATCCTCAGCACAATGTACTCACTGCGCTATTATATAGATTCATGGATCGATGTTTCGTCGCAGCCGTCATCGTCTTCCTTCTCATCGGCTGCTACCAACGATGATATAATAACCACCGGTCTACGAGTCGAGCAGGGAGAGGCGGGGGCATATCAACGCCGTAACCGTCGACGTCGTCTACAACATCTCGCTGCTATCACTACAGCCCAGGTGGCTTATTCATCACACGACGCCAGTCAAGCCAGCAGCAGCCAAGAGGAATATGAGGAGAGCGAAAGTGAATCCGACCGAGTACTCAGCAGCTCAAACGAAGAGATGCGCCGCCCGACCTTCCCAACTACTTTACCGATGCCCTCTGAACCACCCTCGTCCGGCTCCGATGCTGCCTCCAGTGACGATGAAGATGATACCTCTACTGCTTTGGGAATGGGAATCAGCCCGTCTCCATTTGTCCCCCAACCCAACGTATTCACACACCCTCCAGCCACCTCGGACACATCGTGGTCTCACCCTTCTGATGCTCGCCGTCATCAAGCCGGTGTATCCAACTCGAGCCGACAAACAGCGATTCGAAGAGAGTCATATCCCAGTTCACGGTCATCCCGAAGAAATCAATATCAGCACAGCCCTTACAATATGATCTCCCCCTCTCATCATGCAGATCATGATGCCGCCCTTCGCGCTAGCCTGTCAACCCTTCTATCATGTGCAGCTGCCGCAAGAGGCTTGCCGAAGAACGACAATCAACCTTCAGCCTCACCAGCTGCTCCCCCATCCACTGCACAGCCCTCAGCATTCCGTCTTGTTGGCGAATCAGTAGTTATGGGAGAAGAGAGCGGCGACGAGGCAATTGGATCTTCCCCTCAGTACCCCCAGACAAGCCCGTCGATAGGGCCTCCAGGGAGGGATACACGCCCACCGACAATTCCATCAAGCCCAGCTGTTGCCAAAGCAAAGCGTCGGTCAAGTTCACCCAAAGACCGCAGTGCTGCGAAGAAAAGCCGCCGCGCGACACTGGCAGATTCCACAACTCCTGTCAGCCCCACGATCATGACCTGGGTCATTAGTGCCGGTGTTGTGGTTTTATTCTCTGCGATAAGCTTTTCTGCAGGGTACATGCTCGGCCGTGAAGTTGGCCGAACCGAGGTGGGCATGACGGGAGACAGTGTTCCTGGCCCCCGGTCATCGGCCGCGTGTGGCCAGGAAGCAGTCCGGGGCGGACTCCGAAAACTGCGCTGGGGAACTGCCGCCGCAGGGACTGCCAGTCTCGCATAAATGATGTGATGCCTTGTTATGCATGGCCAAAATGATTAAAACGAATTACGATGTTGCCATGATGTATTGTGGCACTCGGCCCGCATGCCTCCATTATCATGGTGTTTCACTGCTTTCTTTGGTTGATATTCATCCTGCCTTCCTCCATTTGGCCCGGATTGTCAAATGGAGGGGCGGTTATGTGAAGGGTCTTTCGTAGACTCTCGGTAATCAAAAATGGCGCCTATCTTTTTCTTGCGTTCTTGGACTAGGCGATTTTTGTCTTGAAGAAATGATGCTTTACGCCTAGTCTCGGTTGGATTTTTCATGGTGTTTCCGATATGATTTTATGCAGTCTTTAACCTATACCCTCATTCTTTATCATACTATCCTGATCATTGAATGATTTCATGCCAGAATCGCAATCTGTTTACTTTGTTTCCACCTAAAGTCATCGTATATATTCATATTTCAGGGATCATATCAGTCGCACTTGAGTTGGTTACTGCAGGCCAATATTATAAGCCCCAGAGTAATGGACGAATCACGCAAACACCTTTCCGGTCCCCACCGCGCTAAAGAGGCTAAAATATACGAGCTTCGCAGGGCTGTAAGCCCGTTTGCTATTTCTAGTATGCAGCTGCCTACGTGGTCATAATTGCTCATAAATGATCCTAACAGATGCCTCACGCTAAAATATACGATTCTCGGCATTATCATTCTCATCTTCGGCCAGCAACCTTGCAACATATAAAGCAGTAAAAGAAAGATGTCCTCACATTGTATATTCAAATCTAATCATCTCACGATGCGTCCATTTCATACCCTCTTTGCGTTCCAGATGGCAGTCTCCGGGGCGACTGCCTTGTCAAGCACAACAATCCCACTTGTATCCACTGAATTTGGAACAGTATTCGATGCCCCCGTGAAGATAGGGAACCAAACATTCCAACTCTTGGTCGACACCGGCAGCAGTGACACCTATGTCATGAAATCCGGCTATACCTGCATCAATGCAACGGACAACCTCGAAACCCCCCAGGAAGACTGCCTATATTCAAACAAAACATACCACATATCCAGCACATACAAGCGCATCCCGAACCATATCTTCGGAATTCAATATGGAGCCGGTCTTGCAAGCGGCATCATGGCAATCGAAGACGTCTCAATAGGCGATGTCACCACCAGAGGCCAGAAAATCGCCATCGCAGATCACTCCAACCCTATGGGCGATAAAGTCAACAGCGGACTTCTCGGTCTGGCGTATCCATCCATCACCTCCGCACACCCAGCGAACAAGACAGACAATACGACATATTGGTTCAATCGTCTGCCATACGATCCATTGGTCAATACCATGCACCAGCAAGGACTGATCGAACCATACTTCAGCCTCGCACTTTCACGAGGCCCCCAAAACAAATCTACGGCTTTCGGAGGATACCTGACGCTTGGCGGCCTTCCACCTGTCAACCACAATCCCGAGTTCGCAGTTGTTCCAGCTGAGATAACAGAGACTCTCCCTCTGAATTATACGTCCGGCAAACGAGTACGTTCTTACTGGACTACTACAATCCGCGAAGTCAGCTTCGGCCTCTCTCTCAACAATTTGACAACAAACTCGACTTCGTTCCAGGCATTCATTGACTCTGGTAATTACCTTACCTACCTGCCATCTGCTGTTGTCGATCCTATCAACGCCCTAATCGATCCCTCTGCTATGTATAATCCGGAATATGAGGCATATATAGTTGATTGTGCCGCCAAAACTCCTGAATTTGGATTGAAGATCGGTAACCAGACTTTCTTTCATAATGGATCGGATTTAATATTCCAGACTTCTGCTGGGGTTTGTATGTCTAGTCTTGTTTCTTCGGAGAGTGTCTCTATTGGTGATGTTACTCTGAATATCCTTGGTGTGTCCTTTTTAAAGAATGTTGTTGCGGTTTTCGATTTCGGGAGAAATGAGATGAGGTTTGCGAAGCGTTTAGACGGGAATGGGAATTCCACAGAGAGTAGTGGTATTGGAAGGGATTCTTCTTCTTTCTCGGCTGTGCTAGAATAATGCCACAGTTTGGATCTTGAGTATCTTGGGATTGTTATTTGCGATGGTCATGTCATGCCTTTGAGTTTTTGATTCAGTTGCACTTTTATAAAAAGTCGCGAAGTGGCTTTCAATCTTTGGTCTTGGTGAATGTTTATACTGTTCAATCAATTGACTTATAATTTCCATCTTGATCTATGCCTCTTCCATGTTTACGACAGTGGTCATGATTGCGTATACAGTGCCACCGACGAAGTATTGGACGGTCTACAGTCTCTATACGAAAGCCTCAAAGCGAGTATACCGTTTCATGCATTGTTTTCGCCCGACTTTGCCCTCTCTTTTTTTGCACCCAATTTTTGCCCATTTTCGAGTGCCTAGAGGTTGTTTAAAAACGGTATTTTATAAAGGCGGCGGTGTGAAACGACTTACGGCCTATGACTGTATTACTTCGGGCTCTGAGCTCTCCATAATTCTAAGTAACCTGAATGCCTCATCTAGGCCACCACTAGTATCCACAATTCCGGAACCAACATCCTCCAATTTTACAATTTCCGACCCACAACCCTCAGAGACATCGTATGGAGCCAAATATTGCACAACACTTGCTGCCATACTAGCATCCCAAAGACCATCACGGGTCGACACTGAACAACTCTGGATGAGAGAAAGGGCCGTTTTCAGGATGCGGTGATTCCTGGTCTTCATGCAGATATAGTATAGCACAGCAATGATATTTGTTGACAATGTAAATTCTCGATTTGAGGAAGCAGAGCTGGACTCGGGGCACGAAGACAATAGTGATTTGATTTTGGAGAGAGCGAGATCAAACCTGAGGTCGGCTTCAATTGCCATGTTCGACTTATCGGAAGAGATAAATATGTTCTCCAGTAAGGCTGCATGGAAAATCATCGCTTGGATATGTAGTAGCAGCACGCGCTGTTGTTGTTGGGGCTTTTGGGCCTTTTCATGTGGCCCAAGAAACAGGTCCTCGATCCCACACTCTAATCGTAGAAACTGTATCTCCAGTTGCTGTCTCTCATGTATAATATCCAAAGGAATCTGCTCTTGAGCCTTCTCTCTGTGCTCAAGCGAAGAAATGAGATGATGTATAAGCCAGTTTTGCATGACTGTTAGTGAATGCTCAGCATCAGACAAACGAATAAAAGAATCTGGTACAGTAGATGAGAATTCCGGGGCCTTTGCAAGATTCAATATGGGAGCCCGGTCATTACCAAAGATGCTGGCATGAATATCAAGGCGCGAGAAGACTGCCATCAGGTGCCCAAATTCTGGCGCAGAAACAACATCAGGATATTCACTCTGACACCGTTGCAAGAGAGTCAATCCTTGATCTAGATGCCAGATTGCTTGTTGTGAGTTGCCGACAAGGCATTCGAGGATGTAGAAGATGAGGCTGCAGATAAGGGCCACTTCGGGCGAAGCATCACGCGATAAAAGATGGGTGCGTAATTGTTTGTGTGCTTTGGTGATGATTAAGATGTTCTGTGGGGATGCCCTAAGAGATAGGTTTCCCTGCTGTAGGAAATCTTTGTATAAAGAACTGAGGGCGATAAGAGCGTTACGGACCACCGGTTGATGCTGCATACGCTGCATCATAAGGTCCATCCATAGTGTCGAGTCTGAGAATCTAGAGATACTCTCAGATGCCTGACAGTGATAGAAATGAAGTAATTCTCGATCTGCTCGACTACCAGGAACTTTGAAGGGGAGATTGTATATTGTGATCGCCGTTGGTTGGCGGATCGGGACAGAATAGCCAGGGCAGTTGCGGCCAGTGGAGACGCATTTTCGGCACTTGGGCCGCTGCTCATCGCATTTGATCCGACGTATCCTATTCCTCTTAGAGTTGCATTCTAATAAATACTGGGTGACGTACTAACTTGCAGTTTGAGCACCCCGTGCGGACCTTGGGCATACTCCGGCGCAGTCTCTTGGTCAACATGTTAGGATTGTTTGAATAAGGACAAAGCTAGGAACCTAGCAGTGCAAATTAGATCCGTGAAACAGTAATGGAAACAGCGCGAATTAAAAGTACTTTGCGGTTGGCATCCCCTGTTAGATGCGGGTGGGGGCCAAAACACGCATATCAGGCTGAAACAATACATGAAGGTCGACCTTTCTATAAATATCTAACAGAAGAGATGGCAGTACCCAAGGCAGCAAAATAACCAGATCTCGACCAACTGGTCGTATTAATCCAGTTCAAGCAAGTTATTGCGCAACCTAACTTAGTCAAACTTCATTACCTTAACGTTGGTTACTTACACGTAGACCTCCTGTATGCCGTATTCCTCGAATTTGAACATTCTGTCTCCATCTCACCGGTTCCAACTATGTTTCAATGTAACCATATCCCTTTGCTTTGACATCAAAATTAATATCGAGGGCACCTGGGGCTCTGTCCACGGCCCACGGGCATGCTGATTAACAAGGTTTCCCTCATACGTCTCAAATTTGAGGCCTGCAGAGGGTATCAACTTGGAATCCAGTTTGTTCTCTGCCTCAGGTCCCGTGAAAACAAGTTTATCAGAATTGCTCTCGAAGACAAGCATGCCTCCGAAAGAGACACAATGACGTCTGCGCCTACCCGACGGAAGCATCTGAAGAGCCGCAACGGCTGTATCCAATGCAAGAAGCGTAAAATAAAATGTGACGAAAATGGATCCATTCCTTGCGCACAATGTGTCAAAAGCCGGCATGTCTGCTCCTTCTCTCCTCCAGTTGTTGGTTCAAACTTCTCCACGACATCCCGTCTGGACCTTGAGTTACTCCACAACTACACCACCAAAACAGCATCCTCTCTATCAGAGAATGTCGAGAACCAGAAATTTTTTGGTGTGGAATTCGTCCAGCTTGCGATGCAAAACGACTATTTGCTTCACTGTATCCTGGGCTTATCAGCCTTCCATATGGCAAATCAACATGGGAAGACGGAATCGTCCCAGTTGATAGGTCTGAGCTACTCGAAGGACATCTATCTTCGAGCAGCATATAGCCATCATGAAATTGCGCTAAAAGGCTATCGTCAATGCCTGTCGACCTTGAACCAAGACACTTGTCATGCCAGTTTTGGTTGCGCTTGTCTCCTGTTCATTACGTCCTTCGCCCGGCCACCAGAAAGCAACGATAAACCAAATCAGCCCCACCTTCCTGCACATATATGGCTCGGCTACCAGTTATCGGAATGGATCATTCTGATAAAAGGCCTTCCGTCCATCCTTACCTACAACGAATTTCTGTCAGCACTTCAGAACGGACCCGTGGCTCCTCTCATAAAAGAAATAAAGGACCACTCTGCAGATGACGGGACACCTCCAATGGAGAGCGAGATTGTCTACCTTCGACTTCGTAATCTATCAAAAGCTATCGGGGAGCACTGTTATGATGAGAGAATCGCTCAAACCTGCCAATCCTCGATTGAGACGCTCTGCGGCATCGTGGCTGAATTGAAACAATCAAGTGACCATGTCCTTGCATTCGTTTGGCCCATCAGAGTTGACCCAGATTATCTCATCATTCTCGAAGAGAAGAGACCGGAGGCATTATTGGTATTCGCTTACTACTGTGCTCTGCTCTACATGTCGAGCTCCAGATGGTGGACTAAGGAGTGGCCACCACCAATCGTCGAATCCGTCAGAGACACGATTGATGAGGGGTGGGCCCCATGGCTCCAATGGCCCCTGCAGATGGTTTTTTCAGATACCGGAACAGGTTGAGACCAGCGAAGGGTGACAAAATTCGGCACATTCGCTTTGATGTAGATAATGATAGTTAATCCCTCTTATACCACACGCGTCAACGTTTTATGTTTTGTGTCTTGAATATCAGAAGTCAATGCGGAGGGTTGGGCACTTCCACGGGGCATTATTTCCTTTAGGGCAAATTTATAAAACATCACTGTTCCTCAACAGTTATAACAGCCATTCCCACCTAAATTCGATCCAGGATGGCGGAACATAACAATATATATGTATGCCACGCATTCATCGCATTTATTAAAATGATTTTTTTCAAATGTGTCTTTACTAAGTGTTTGTCATCACTGAAGCCATCTGTCGGTGAAATATCCCGTCACGAATGCAAAGACTGCCTTATGGAGAATATCAATGACCTGCTCATTAACTGGCCACGTCCTGCAGCCCGTCAGTGCCAATTCCGAAAAATTACGTGTAAAGTAAAGCTAACTCACCACGGAAGCGCCCCAACGCCAGTCATATTCTCCAGGGTCTGATCAATCAGAAGCCGTACAGAGATAAACATAAAGTCGGAAAAGGGCCCGCGAAGACCATTGGCGCTCATGAGAGCTCTGATGATCGCCGCAGCTGCTCCCTGTCCGTAATGCATGGCCATGTTTAGCCCGAAGCGCTCTGAATCAGGTCGAGTGCGGAGCGACAGGAGGCGCTCAAGCGTATGTCCAGGGACGTACGAGCTAGGCCTACCGGTGAAGTGTTGTTCGATTTTTTCTCCGATCGTCATTCTGCCTGTATTAGTGTGTTGTTGCTTGAAAAGGATTGAGTACGACTTACGCGGCGACTCCAAGCAGTCCTGCTCCGCAGCCGTAGATGATGCAGCTCCCCAGCGCGATGGGCCGAGAAGGCCGTTCAGGGACGGTAGGGCGACGAGACATGTTATGGTCCCGTTCTATATGGTGTGAATGTGGATAGTGATAGTCGCGACGGTAAACCTGGGGAAGCAGGCTAAATTACTAGCCTATGTCGTAGCGATGACGTATAACGTATCTCCCTAGCGAGCTGGCCACCCACGATGGAGAAGAAAAGACAGGAAGGCAATGTACAAAGAGTTGCGGAGTTTCATTACCACTAACATAAGGTTAGTTGTTTTCGTTTTATCTTCACGCTCCAATCTTCCCAATTCCCTCGTTTACCACCCAGAAGTCCGTCAGGTCCAGTAACCAGGATAGCTAACGACTATTTTCCTCAGTACGGAATGGACCGAAACATTCCTGGGGGATTTGATGAATTGCAGAAATAGAGTTGTATTCAATGCTCTTTTGACATGGGGATTCAATTGGCTGGAAAGAGGAAAAGTAAATTTTGCGGAATAAAATGCTGTAATAGCATCGTAAAGTGCATTCGAGAGACCATCTGCATTAGAAGGATTGAACAACAGACTGCCGTGTTTCATGAAAGCTGCTGCACCGGTAAAGTCAGAGAGCACCAATAGGCCGTGTCGGGGCCTCTTGGCAAGCGACGTACTCGGAAGCAACAAGGTTCATCCCGTCCCGGCTTGAAGTGAGGAGACAGACATCAGATACAAAGTACAGAGCTGTAAGCTCCGCAAAGGAGACTAACCGGTGGATGTAAAGCAACGGTGTCGATTTTGGGGTAGCTGATTGTTTTTAGCATAAGATCCATAGATCTGCCACATACCAATTTCAGAACTCGCGGGCCAAGCTAGCTTGTATATGGATTATGTACTTTTTATGCAAGTAAGAATGGCCTGTTTGTATGGTAAAGGAAAGTTACATGATTACAGTACGTGGAACTCGCTGGTATGGCAATACTTAATCTATAACTCTTCACCTGCTGCTTATTAGATATGTTGGCGCCATGCTTACACCTCATTGAAGGGATGAAGGAAGAATTGTCACTATGCTCTCCATTAGCTGAATAACTGCAATCATACTGACTGCGCAAGTCAGTGGCTCCATGGCGAAAGTATTGCTATGATACAGTAAAGTGTTGCTAATTCTCATGTCAAGTTCTCGAGGCTGACGGGAGAGGGGCATGCCGAGCAGGCCAGGCAGCGAGCACAGCATGGGAATTGTCGCGACTGTCTCGCGAGGCGACTTTATTGCCAGAATGCATCGACAGTCACTCCACTGCGTGGCTGAGTCTAGGCGACTTGAACTAATACTAGGAAACTACGTAGAGTACCTACCTAGGGAAGTGTGATGCAGACAGTCGCCCGAAGTAGCCTCGTCTTGGCATTGGGTTTCTGTGGCTGATACCGCAGTTGATAGCCTTGCCTTCCCTGTAATAAAGCCCGCTGCGACGCCACTACGTAGTACTCAAATATTTCGACTTTTACAGAGACAGCTATGGATATTCCATCTACCACGTCAAAGACCATGCAGCGATTTTTCGCTAGGTATACACCTCCTGCGATTTGGAGCGCCACTTCACTACACAAATTAGTCACTATTTTTTATGATGCAGAATTTATCCGCCTTTGGAAGGAAAATAAAGGCGATCCACTACTACTGCAATGCGTTCTTAATATCGAAGTCCTGGGGGTCACCCGTCGGATACGACGATACGTGTTGAAAGACTCAAAAGAAACGTGTGAGGTTGAAAGAGTCTTACAGAGACACCTTGGCGATGGAAGCTGTTGCAGTAAGTGTTTTCAGATTGTGGAATTCCTACAATTTGAAATATATATCTAGAACCATAATGACCGCTAAACTCCCGCGAAGTCGGCAATCATCGCCCAGATAGCCATCACCGTGCTCAGCCTTTCTAACTTCAACACCGTATATTGGCCTGCCACAGCCTGTGCATATTCGAGTCTTATCTGTGGCGTTCTATCAACATTCTTTGCCTTTGTAGTCCAGCAACTTCTGAGCAATCTACACAACCCGGAGGATGTTCGCGTGTGGCTTACGGCGACACGACACTCTTACCGGCACTGGCTGTACTGGATGTTTTTTGGGACTGAACGTGCCACGAATCTCGAAGATAAAGTCCCGTCTATCGCATCTGCGATAATTCTCACAACGCCTAGCAAGCTACTCCGGCTGTCGATTCTCTCCTTATTCGTTGCGTTGGGCATTTACCTCGGCTGCGTGTATCAAGTTGGGCTGGGCAACCTTGAAGGCCGCAACGCCAATATGTGGGTTTTCATCTTCTTTATCGCCGTCTCGGCGGTCATGGTTTTTGACGCATTCCTCCCAATGACGGTAATCCCTGATAGTGAGACAAGGCGAAGTGATGAAGAGCTCCAGCCTTCGAACAATGGTGCGTCTAGTATTGCGCCGAGTGCGGGTGATACTTCTTCTCAGACTTGTGGAACAGGGGTTCTTGTAAGAGATGCGCTTGAGTCGTCAATTCGTGCTCAAGAGAAGAGTCTAAATGCGCAAAAAACCTTGTTGGACTTTTTAAATGCCCAACCATCTGCCTTGTCGCTTACAGCCCCAATCCCGTCTACCTAGTTTTATATTTTCTGGCTTATTATTTGGGCAATGCATCTCGGCTTCCTACAATTTCCGAAGGTTCAAATCATTCCTTCTTCAATCTTGGGTCACTGCAGCACGCATCTCAGGCTTCTTTGTAGGAATCAGATGCACCTTCATCGACGTTGGCCAGCCCTGTTAAAGACATTGGGTCCCCTGCTGATGAATATGGAACGCCAGAATGCTGAGACCGCACACATGAAAACATGATTAAAACCTGTACTAATCTACCTACATAGAGGGTAATCGCAAGGTAAACGGGGTGGAGGACCAAATAAGATTATTTAAGAAACTAAGCATGCTTGTCGCAAGGCTGGGTTGTGTTAATTAAGCTGATGTCAAATCCGTACCAGCTGCGTCTGCAGCAGATGAAGGCCAGTACCGAAGCTTGCATATTCCGATATAATTACCATGGAAAGCTGCAGTAATCTAATCCAATTAGTTGATATATTCAGCTTTCCCTAACTGCTCAGATCAGTGTAATGACCACTTTCATATCAAGTGATTAGGCACAGTTTTTCAAATAGAAGCACTCCTTGAACGAGGGGTTTACAGGAGCCTCAAGTTTTAATACTGCCAGATTGCCAAAACGCCTTTACTGTTTCTGTTTGCAATGAAAATTCCAGAATCCTGTATCATGAATACAGTTAGGATACACCACAGGCGTATTTTTCGCGGCCGGCCACCCTTGATTTGGGGCGCTTTGAGGCTACCAAACAGTTGAAGTTTTGAACGGAGTCTGATGATTGCGCGTTTACTGCACCCCGGGAGCTTCTGCCATTTGAGAAGTTGTTAGTTCTCCGCTGATCAACATATCATGGATGAGATCGAAAGTCGATCGAGCTAGATTAGGAGCCATTCAAATGTTACAGCGCAGCGGTGTTCAACTACCAAGGTTGTTCTTGCTGAAATGGATTTTGCAGACGCGCAGAACGACATGTGGTCTTTGGGCGACGAAAGAATACAGATCTGGTTATGATACCGTCTGATATCTTATCTTACATTACAGCTACGGATTAACAGATATCCCTAGTGTGTGTGGATGTGGGTTAGTGGGATTTAGCGTTAGGGTTACAGAAACAATCAAAGAGTGTAAGTGGTGACACCGGTATCCGAGGCACTGTACAAGCTTTGTATTATGGATCGGGCTCACGAAGAGTGAAAGCAACAAATAATTCCTGGATTACTAGGGTCTCGTCATGTTTCTGCCCAAGGCCCACGAAGAGTAGAAAAAATGTCTATAAAAGGTAACTAGTCTAGAAGTAAAAGAGGGAAGTGGCCCATCCGAGCTCAAATCCAAGTCCTCCAGCAAATATACATGGGATCGATCTGAAGGAAAAACGGCCCCAAACCTATAACGGAGGTTTGTTCCAAATTGGTGGACAGTTAAAAGAACCAAATTGCCAAAGAAGTTCACTCAGAGTGAGCATGATAGTCAGAAAGAATAACCTCGGAGATCTTCTCAGCCATCCCATAAAAGACGGTCATGACATGAGAGGATAACTGCGTTGGAGGGATTGAGCCATCGATGACACGAAGGCCCTCAACATCATAGACACGGGCGGCCGCGTCCACGACACCACCTAGCTCTTTCGTCATCATGGAACATGTACCAACACCGTGATAGTTGGCACGGAAGTTCTGCTTGACATAGTCCACCCAGTCGTCGAGAGTAGCATTGTACGCTAGGTTGTTTCCAGGAATAGTCTCTCCGTCAAAGTATTGGGTCATTTCACCCGTGTTGGAAAGATCACGAGCCAGCTTTGAGGCAGCTGCTTGTCCGAGGAGGTCAAGTTCATTTAGGAAGTACTGGGGATCGTATGCAAAGCGACGCAGATAGGGGTCACGGTCCATGATGTGCACATATCCGCGTGTGAAAGGAAGCAGATCCCATAGGTCAAAGCTTAGCTTGCCAGCAGTATCAAGGAAAAGCTCGGAAAAGGAGACATCTGTGCTGAGAATCCAGTCACGGTAGTTCTGATATTGGACCAGGAGTGCAGTTTCATTGTGGAAGCCACCACGGGAGACAACATCTTTTGCCCATTCCTCAAGCTTGGTGTTGAGGAGATGATGAGCACGAGGGGCATCGTCTCCGAAAGTTTCGTTGAAGGTTGCAAAATAGGCAGCCTGGCCTTGACCCTCGCCACTTGCTTTGATACTAGATCGGACAGTCGTGGTAGTTTGGTCTTGAAGGTTGAGACCTACTGGCAGGTCAACAAGCTGATCGATGCCAACCTTATCGAGGGCAGACTTCAAGCCAATGCCGGAATGCTCAAGGATTTGTGGAGAGACAGTAGAGCCAGCGGCCAAAAGCACCTCGTGTCGGGCGAAGACATCAAAATTGACATTTTTGTGGGTTCCAAAGTTCACTCCAGCGGCCTTAGGGGTGGAGAAGTTGTTGTTGAACAACACGCGTCCCACCATCTGACCAGTCAAGACCTTAAGGTTTGTCCGCTTGTAGTTCGGAAGAAGCCACTCGCGGGCAGCATCTGACCGAGTTTGATCCTTATGCAAGCTGTTAGGAAGCATCGAGATACCGTGAGGGATACCACAGCCTAGATCCTTTTGAACAGGAATACCCAAAGCCTCTCCAGTATTCATGAGACTTTTGATCATTGGAGAGAAGCTCTCTCCCGTGTCGCGAGCGCCAACATGAACAGTGCCATTCATGCCATGACAACTGGCATCAAAGTGGTGTCCGGCAGCAATCTGCTCAGGGCTCGGGGAACGGGCTTTTTCGATCTTCTTCATGTACGGAAGCAGACTGTCCCAATTCCATCCATCCATGCCAAACACACTTTCCCAAGAATCAAGCTGTGCTTTGTGTGGGCGTGTCCAGGAACCTCCATTCACCAAAGTTGATCCCCCCAGCCCATTTCCTGATCTAATGAGCTCAGTCCGGTTGTGAATCGCAAGCGGAACTGTTTGGAAACTGTGATCGGCGGAAGTACCAAAGGCATCGCCGTATTCGTTGAGGTCTTCAATGATGGGGCCTTTGTTCGATTCGTAGAAACCGCTTTCTATAACGAGGACCGTGATGTTGGGGTTTTCAGTGAGTCGGGCTGCAACAGTCAAACCAGTCAAGCCTCCGCCAGCAACAACATAGTCAAAAGTTCTTCCAGCTATCTTTGTTGGATCGGTGAGGAGGCTAGACTGGAGGTCTAAATCCTTATGTGGAAGAGCGGCAGCGGCGAGAATGAGCCCGGGAAGTAGGGCAAGGGTCTTCATCTCGGAAGAGGTCACAGATTGAATTAAAAGATAACCTAGCGAGGAAAGGGGGGCTGGATGAGTTACAGAGAAGAGTATATTTTCTTCCTGATAGGATGGATATTCGGGCACCTTTATATCTACATCCATTCGAAAGCGACAAATGAGAGTTGGCTCCAACTACAGCAACACATATGCATACGCACGGTCAAATCCATTGGCCCACAAGTATGGACAAAGTCTTACCAGGCTGTTGAGACCATTTCTCATTACTGATAGAAGTGAAGGAGATAGAGATCTTGGCGCCCAGGATGGCAAACACGATGGTTCGCCAACGGTGGGCGAGAATCATATCCACCCTGAAGTATGGTTTTTACCCCATTGATCGTGTCGGTGAATGCAACTCAAGCATGGCAACCGAGATTTGATCCTTTCTCGTATACTTTAATTGCGAAATGATGCATCTGGCGCTCTTCTATCCCGCGCTGACGGAGCTAATTTCACAGGGTTGCCGTTCTTCGTCGATGTCACGTTGTGCAACCAGGTATTGGCCCGTGAGCACATGGGTAGATCGGCATGCCGATTATCTTCGCGGCATACCGAATAATGATCGCCAAGTCAGCCAAGATGGAAAATGATGTACACATCCTGAGTACCGCCAGTGCCAAGCGGAGGGCGGGTCAACGGATGCCGGTTCCACCGCCATGAAGGTTGCTCAATCTTGCTTAATCTTGGCGCTCCCCTGACTATCGAGCCAACCAGCTACGCCAACGACACTCGTGCTTCTGCAGACATTCGGTCCGAGGTAGCATCATCCTCGTATCCACCGGTCAGACATTGCAGATCATCCTTAGAGTTTACACCGAGGACAATTGAGGGACGCTGTTCTAGAGTTGCTCTGCTTTGAAATGACATCCAGCCATTGAAATACCCCTATGCTGAATAAAATAGTTGGCAATCTAGATCGCGTTTGCTGACAACGCCCAGAAGTTTGCCTGGAAAGTAATCCGAGGTGGCGTTAGCAGCAATTTTCAAGGTTCACGCGATCTCCCACTTAGTCCATCCGTGCCTGCTCACTTCATTGATGTGTCCTGCTTGACTGCTTTCGCCCTCCAATTCTTTCCACAATCAACAACAACTTGTCAAAATGCGTCTCGCTCTTCTATCTACAGTATTTTCGGGTGCAACTTCGGCGGCTACCCATATATATGCGGCATCCTATGCAGGCACTGTGACTACTCTGTCTTCACAGAGCAAGAATGGAAGCTATTCGCTGTCAAAGGTTGCCCAGTCTAATGACTGTGGAATCAGTCCATCGTGGTTGATGTTGAATAGTGAGCACAACTTGATGCTCTGTCTCAATGAAGGAATAGGGGCTGCAAATGGTAGTCTTACTTCCTTCAGAACAAATTCCAATGGGTCTCTGACCACGCTGGATGTCCTTGAAACCCTTACTGGCCCCGTCATGTCGTCTGTCTACACCATACCTAGCAACCCTCAGCAGCGATTTGTTGCCGTTGCACACTAGTGAGTATCACTCGAAGATTGCTCAAAATTGAACTTTCGAAGTCATGCTAATGTGACTGGATGTTTTAGCGAAGCGTCCGCTGTCACAGCCTATACATGGAATTCCTCAACCGGTCACTTAGCCCGAACTCAGACTTTCACATATCAAATGCCTGCCTCTGGTCCAGTGCCCGACCGACAAGATGCTTCTCATCCACATGGCGCCATCGTTGACCCGACTGGTCGCTTTGTGCTGGTTCCTGACTTGGGCATGGATCGGATCCATATATTTGAGATCTCTCCGTCAGATGGCCGCCTTCAGCCCCAGGCGCCGTTGCTAGTAAAGCCTGGATCGGGTCCGCGACATGCTGTGTTCTGGACACCTAGCTCAAAAGCTGTATCTATTCATGATACTGTGATGTATCTTGTCTCCGAGCTAGATAATACCTTGAGTGCATTCAAAATCCGCTATACCCGGAATGGCCTGGGCTTTACCAAGGTTTTTGAAGAGAGCACATATGGTGAAGAGGCTGCACCCGATGGCTCGAAGGCCTCTGGAATCCAGATCACGGTACGTCCAACTACATGTGCAGTATTATCTTCGTGCTGAATCTAACAATCAATATTTCTCCAGCCCGGAAATGACCATATTGTGGTCTCAAATCGCGGCGACGCTACTTTTGGCAAGCAAATTGACTCATTTGCTGTCTTCAAATGTGCTCGTTTCCACGGAAGCAATGCCACGAATGTCTCATTTGTCGGCTTGTTTCCTGCGTATGGGCCCTTCCCCCGAGAATTTGATTTTAACGGCAACAATGGAAACATTGCTGTGGCCTTGCAAAACAGCCATGAGGTTGCTTTGATTGAAGGTAATGCACAAACTGGTGGCCCAGGAAAGCTTCTCAGCAAAAAGACCTTAGATGGGGAAATTCCTATCGCAATCTGGGGTCCCTGAAGATAGCCGGACGGGATTTGTATGTAACAATTATGGAGCTGTGGCCCTAGGGAAGGGTTGGTTCAAATAACATATAGATATCCAGAGTATAACGCACTTGACGGAGGACCTTTTGTAGAGTAAAGGAGAAGTTTGGGATCGCGTTTGAAGACAACTCCAACATTCTGTGATTCATTGCTGCTATTTCTAGTTGCTTGTATAGCAACATACAGGAGAAATAAATCATACGAAATTGTAGTTGTCGTCCGCCGATCCAATTAGCCAAATTCGCAGCTCTTGGAAAGCGTCGAGATTGTTCTTTTCCAACGAGACATCGACAGAAGGATCATGCCACTGGTGGGTTCTTTTCGTCTTGGTACTGCTCAAGGACTCCCCAATATAGCGGCAGCTATCGAAATCAATAAGAACAAGGGTGCCGTCTTTGTCAAACATAATATTCGCAGGATTGATGTCGTTATGCACAATGCTGATTGAGTGTAAATGTTGAATGCCATCAAGAACTCCCTCTAAGCTAGATATGGTTTTGTCGGTGACCAGCTCACGTCCACTTGAAGCAAAACGCCGTTTGTCTAAGCGTCCTGGATTTACCGCTTCAAGTAGGATGGATGTATACCGCTTATAGCATACCCCAGCGACTCGACCGTGACTCTCTTCATAGCCGTAATAGATCGCAATGTTCGGATGTGGATTCTGGCGCAGAATCTCGCACACATCCACTTCGCGGGCGATTTGCGTGTCGAGATTATCATTGGCATAGGCGAGAAGACTCGGTCTTTTCACGTAGACCGCTGACCAAGTAGTATTCACTTCCGGGCCCCTGTTTTCCTTTGGAATTTGCCTAACTTCCTGAAGATCTTGCAACGTTTTGGGAACTTTAAATCGATTGCTCCATTTACCGCAATATAAAATGCCGTCTTGCTGGACAAAGACCTGGACGTATGAAAATCCCATTTTGCCGTTGACCTTAAAGGCCTCGTTTTTTTGCACAATTTCCATGCTACATAGGCCGACTAGATTACGAGCTAGACTGGAAACGATGCAGCTCGCAATAGAATGTGTGGAGGTGTGGTACGTGGTTGGGGGGTGAGGTGACGATCGTAGCCAGGGAGTCCAAAGACGATAGGAGCCCAAAGATCACACCTTGGCCAGCACACCTGCAGCATCCCTGTCAAACCATTTATAATTACATATCACGTGGTTGAAATATTTGGCGCTTTATGAATGAGAGACTGGGCTGATGTTTTGTTTGAATTGACTTATGTCTGAATCTGACCTCCTTGCGATGTTTTCATCCACGGGCGAGATACGCGAGCCTCAATACGAGCCAGACTCCGATTCGACACATTTACTACATATTTGTAACACAAGAGTCTTGCCCCGCATTTTACCCGCTCCTAGGAGCTTGAATGGCGAGCGATGATAGTCGGACTATTCGTCGGGATACTAATCGACCTATACAGCGCATACGTTTCTATCCATCTATAGAACCCGGGGTCGTAGTGGGCTTGTTAACCTACTCGCGATTTTGGCGTTTCCACTACTACCAGCAGCACCGTATTCAATGAGGGGTTTTACAGGAAGATATCCGCATGCAACCCTTGGAGCTTCCTTGTGGATTTGATGGGCGGGTGTAGACCCTGCAAGCCAGTTGTGAGTGGCGACGCAGCCACTCAAATTTCTCCCAAAGTCCGAATCAGGCTTTGACTTGGGGAGATCGTTGAAGCATTACTTGGTGGGAGGGAGAGGGTTCCTCGTAATTGTTTCCGCGAGCTCCAATGAGTTGTGCAAAAATGGTTCAAAACCAAACAAGAAAACAAGGGATTGGATGGTCCGGGACAGGTTCTGGAATATATATATCTTGAAATGCGAGGAGAGTATGCGATCGTGAAACATACGAGTCTCCTAAACCATACAGGGATCTTCTAGAAGGAATTTATATATCTTCTGGGCCTAGAACTATTCCAGGCGCACGAGATCTATTGCCTCCGGTATGTACTTCGGGTTCAGTGCTACTAATATTCCAGTCTGCCTGATACTCAAAGCTTTCTGCCAACTTTAAACGGAACCGGGGGAGGGGTCGCTACCGGAGATCAATCGCGGATCCAAGCGGGTATACGTTTTCTATTTGCTCGTCTATTTGCGCTATGTACCTAGATGGCACTAGTTGGCCAATCATGCCATATGGTTTTCCCCGGATGAATTCTGTAACATGGCGGGATGAACTGCCTTGTGTGGCACGTGACTTCCGGCTGGTTCGGAAAAGCAAAAGCCGGGAACGCGCCAAGAAAGGGCAATCCGCACCAACCAGAATGCGCACAAAGCCAGCTGAGTCAGGATCCCTGGTGTGGCGCGGGTAACATATGGGGGAATAGGCCGGGGCTTACCCGCGGGTAAGAGCTACTCCGGCAACCCCACGCTTCTATAATAGCGAAGGCAGCCGCCACTCGGCTGTTGGGGCTGACCGATGCACGAAACACCGCTCGATAATTCATTCGATCAACCCGTTCGGCAGGTGGCGACGGTATTTTTTGGGGTTGGCACCGTTGGATCTCCCCCACAAGGTTAGCCAGCCGACCGATATGCCGTCGCTGTCCGTGTATATAGACCTCCACGGTCTCTCTGGATTTTCTGAGGTTCTCATTCTCATACACACTCACAACTGACACCATGCCTCGCCAATTCGACCCCAACTTCACCCCCTCCGTCATCAACGGCATGGGCCCCAAGACCCCCGAGCGTGCTCGCGTGGTCTTGGGCTCTCTCATCAAGCACATCCACGACTTCGCCCGTGAGGTTGAGCTTACCTCCGCCGAGTGGATGCTCGGTGTTGAGTTCATCAACTCTATTGGCCAGATCAGCACTCCCATCCGTAACGAGGGACACCGCATTTGCGATGTGATTGGCCTTGAGTCGTAAGTCCGCCCGCGACCGGCTTCAGCCTTCTCAAATCATACTTTTACTAACTAATTTTATAGTCTCGTTGACGAGATCGCCAACAAGATCATCACTGAGGACGGTCTCTCCCCCACCTCCAACGTCATTCTCGGTCCCTTCTGGTCTCCCAATGCTCCCTTCCGCGCTCTCGGCGACAGCATCATCCAGGACCCTAATCCCAACGGCCGTGTTACCTACATGCACGGTGTTATCAAGGACATGGAGACCGGCAAGCCCATCCAGGGCGCCGTCCTCGACATCTGGCAAGCCTCGGCCAACGGCCAATACGATTTCCAGGACCCCGCCCAGAGCGAGAACAACCTCCGCGGAAAGTTCACCTCGAATGAGAAGGGAGAGTTCTTCTGGTACTGCTACCACCCCACCCCATACTCTCTGCCTACCGACGGCCCCGCCGGTGTTCTCCTCAACCTCATGGACCGCTCCCCCATGCGTCCCGCCCATATCCACTTGATGATCACCCACCCCGACTACGCCACCGTCATCAACCAGCTCTACCCCAGCGACGACCCTCACCTCGAGATCGACTCCGTCTTCGCTGTCAAGGACGACCTCGTTGTAGAGTTCAAGCCCAAGGATAACGACCCCAAGGCTTCTCTCGACATGGAGTACAACGTCACCATGGCCCTCAAGAAGCACCACCCCAACCCCAATTCTGCTCCCCCTGTGTCCTCTTTCGAGCGTCACGCCAAAGCGGCCGCTGGAAAGCTGTAGAAAGCCATTGCACCATGGGACGGCGTTTTCTTCTTCTTGTATAGTTAGCATTTTCATATACTCACGCATGAATGACATTTCTTCCAATGGAGTTTTCCCTTTTTTATATCATGTAATATGTTCCACCATGACTTCGCCTCTCCCTTGCTTGATCTCGGTATGTGGCTTGATTAAACAATGACGATCTCCCTCGCGCCACTCACCTAGTCGCTGCATAAAAGTGTAAATCGGGACCCTGACCCCGGATTCTGTTTATGCAGATCTTGGCAACGTATCTCACCTAAATTCGCCATGGAAGGTGGCAGAGAACAGAAATGTAAAAAAACTTGATGCTCATAATTACCTACCATCTATTAACCCATAAGAAAAGAGCCACCAAATAATTCAATACTAACACCACCCCCCTTCAAAGAAAAGAAACACTGCCTGAAATGATCAAGTACCCAAATTCTGCGCCTCACACATCTTAGGGTAAAGCCGTCCCCTCGCCAGTAATTGCTCATGCGTGCCAGATTCAACAATCCTCCCACCGTCAAACACACAAATAATATCCGCATGCCGAATAGTCGAAAGCCGATGCGCAACCGCAATCGTAATCCTATCACCTTGTGAAGCCGCCTCATTCAATGCATCCTGAACAACCCTCTCGGACTGCGTATCCAGCGCACTGGTCGCTTCATCCAAAAGCAGTAAATGCGGGTTACGGAGGAGAGCTCTGGATATCGCAATACGTTGACGTTGACCACCCGATAGCTGGGTGCCGTTAGGTCCACATGGTGTGTTCAGACCATTTGGTAGAGAAGAGATGAATTCCCACGCATTAGCTGCCCGACAAGCAGCCTCGATGTCTTCTTCTGAGACTGTTGTGTCGTCATTAGTTGGCGCACCCATAGAGATATTCTCGCGTATTGTTCCTGGATACAATGTCGGCTCTTGTTGGACGAGTGCTACCTGGCTTCGGTATAGCCATGGGCTCATATTTGCCAGGGCTGTGGAGTCAATGTTGATTTGGCCGGATACCGGGTCGTAGAACCGTTCGAGCATGCTGATCATTGTGCTTTTTCCGCAGCCGGATGCTCCGACGAATGCGACGAATTGGCCCTTTTGAATCTGTGCAGTCAGTTAGTTTGAGTGCATGGGGTGTTTATCTCCTGTTGACTGTGAAGCGTACATCGTGGAAAAGAGTATACATACCTGGAGGTTGAGTCCACGAAGTACGCAAGCGTGGGGTCTTAATGGGTATGAGAAATACAAATTCTCCAGTTCAAGACTCTTCCAGTCTTCCGGTCCCACGTGTTTGTTCTCTTCGGTTTCCCGAACCGTTGGTTGAAGCTGCTCCAGCCAGAAGATGTAATTTGCCGCGTTTGTGGCAGCTGTCATACCTATACCCTGTCGTATTAGCATCTGCAGATGGATACAGGGAACCTGAGAGTGTCTTACTGCTTGAGAATCCGAACAGGATGGAGGCTTGCTGGCCTGAGAAAAACACACCCAAAAAGGCGATGAAGAAGTTTCCCATGGTTATCTCTCCGGCTGAGACAAGTCGACATCCATACCTAATGACACAAAATATCATTGTCAGCATTGTGGGCTTTCACTGACATCCCTCGAGGACTTACCAGAACCCGAGTGCCATAAAGGAATATTCAACACTTTGAGTGAATGCGAAAGGAAACATGACAAGAAGCAGGGGCTTCGTAGCAGCATCAACCGCTTTGTCGAGCTCTTGAGTATAACGATCCAATACAGAGTTCTCAATGGCCAAAGACGATACTGTTCTGATGGAGTTCATTGCCTCTGAAGCAATCGAAGCACTTTTGGAGAATGATTTCGAAATTTTATGGTCCATTGCACCCTCCATCCTGATGCGAGCGTAGCCGGAAACCAACATGGGCGGAAGTCCCGCTAAGAGAATGACAAGGCCGAGTTTCCATGCATATGCCAGGGCGAGGATGCTACATGCTAGGACACCGACAGATGCTATAAGAATGAGAGCAATGTTGAATCCCATCAGTTCGAACACGGCCTGCGGATGAGTTTCCGCCCGGCTGGCCAAGGCGCCTGTGGTATTTTCGGCGCGGTCGAAGAATTGAAGATCCTGCTTGACCATGTCGTTGACTAGTTGCTTCCGGTACTTCTGGCTTATGGTCTTTGATGATTTAGTGAGATGGTTCATGAACCGAGTTAGAACTAGAAAAACTCATACCTGTGCCACAATGTTTGATGTCCACCCGAGGACGAAGTACATAACAAAAGTACCGATTGCGAGGACAAGGAACATCAATGCAAAGAAATTTCCTTTAACTTGCATTTTGTCTCCAGTAAGCTTGAATACTTCGATGAATCCGGACATCAGAATAGTTTGACCGGGTAATGCAGCAGCTGCGACTTGGTTAGTGTCGGGTTGGACTTCAGAGTTTGACAAGTATTGGGTCTACCTCCTCCTAGACACGCAGAAACAAGAAGCAAATATGTCCACTTGAGTTCTGGGGTTGACTTGACAAGTCGCCAGATGGTATGAAGAAGCCCAACTGTTTCCCAGTGGTCAAAGTCATCGCGGCTAGTTTGATTCGCCACAGCTAATCGTGTCAACGTGGAGTACCGACTCAATTCACCAGTGAGCTCCAGGTGGTCTTGCTCGACTTTTTGCTGCTCATCCTCTGTATCTTCTTCGGAGGCTTCCGCGTCCACAGAGAGATCTTGAGCACGCACAAGTCGTGCATAAGCCCCATTTTGTTCCAAAAGTGACGCATGCGCACCTTGTTCGAGAATGCAACCCTTTCCCATGACCACAATATTATCAGCATCTCTGATAGTGGCCAATTTGTGTGCAATGGTGATAGTCGTGCGTCCTTGAGACACATTGTTGAGGGCTTCTTGAACAACCTCCTCGGCGTGAGGATCCAACGCACTAGTTGCCTCGTCAAGTAGAAGAATTCGTGGCTCTGAAACAATACTTCGAGCAATTGCGACTCGCTGCTTCTGACCACCCGATAGCAAGCCGCCTCTCTCCCCAATAGCAGTATTGTAGCCGTGGGGAAGCTCCATGATGAAATCATGAGCAAAAGCAATCCGGGCAGCCTCTTGTATACGCATCATTTTTTTTCTTGGGACTCGTTATCCCACGGTGTATCAACGAGTCCGTATGCGATGTTTTCAGCAACTGTGCCAGCAAATAGAATGGGTTCTTGCTGGACAAGCCTAACTTGCTGTCGAAGCCACTTAAGGTTCAACGACTCGATAGGCTTGCCATCGAGCTTCACCTGTCCTGATAAAGGGTTGTACCATCTCTCGAGAAGTCCAATGATTGTGCTTTTTCCAGAGCCACTTGCCCCTACAAGCGCCGTTGTTTTACCAGCAGGGATGTGAAGCGAGAATTCCTTCAAAACTTGTGCGACAGGACGAGTCGGATAAGCAAAGGAGACTTTGTCGAAGTCCAGGGAGCCAGCCGTAGTTTTTGGCTTTTCTCCTGAATCCTCGAATGGATCAATAGCCGAGGATCGGTCCATGACTTGAAAAAGTTCTGATGCCGCGGATGCAGCACGCGTGAAATCCATGAAGTAGGGTGCAATGGATGTCAAACTGGTAGCTGCTACAATAACAGACATGAGCACACTGCAGTAAAAAGGTTAGAGTTGTGTTATCCTGAACAGCGAGGCAGATAAAACTCACGTGAATACATCGCCAGGATCTTTTATCTCCCGACTGGCTATCATCCCAACACCTTGCCAGAAGCAGAGACCGAACCCTGCAAAGATGATCGAGTATTCTGCTGAGAACATGAAGCCGTAGAGAGCGCCCTTCTTGTTCCCAAGCTTTCGAGAAGCCTGCAAATACTTCCCGTATTCACCAATTAGGCGAGACCGAAGCCCAAAGGCATGAACTGTCCGCGAGCTCGATAAGACGCTCTCCGCGAAAGTTCCAGCTTGGGCTTGAATCTTGAGAATTTTCGTCTCAATTGAGGCATCAATAGTTGCGGTAATACCAATCACGAGAACTGTAGCCGGGGCAATGCAGCAGCAGATGAGTGTAAGCTTCCAGTGTGTGACAAATGCCAACACAAAGGCTGAGATGAACGCCGAGATTCCCTGGACGACAAGGCCCAGTTTTTCGGACACACCATGTTGAATACGTCGCCCATTTGAGGCCGCTTGCATAGCAATAGATCCGCTACTTCCCATGTCAAAGAAGGAGATATCTTGACTGAGCCCTGCTTTCAAGTACAGACGACGAATGTTTCGTGTGATACGGTATGCAGCAAGTGTAAATAATGTGCTGTACCCGTAGGCGAAGATAAAGCGAGCGAGCCCAATAACAAAGAAATAGAGACTATTTCTATATTAGTTCTCATCTGCAAAGTCCTTTTTGGTTTGCTTTATACATACCTTAGTCTTCCAGCGCCGTTTCGGAAGGCGGCAGCGTCAGTACGATCGTTAGTATAGTCAACAATGAGTGTGACGAACTGGCCGAAAACCAAGTTGACAAGGGTCATGCCAATGCCAGAGCCAAGTGCGCAGGCTGTGGCACATGCCTGCATGCTATACTCTTTGGAGGAGCCATAACGAAAGATTCTCTAGTTGACATCAGATACGGGATTTTGTAGACTCGACGACGAAAGGCATACGAACCATATAGCCATTGAAGGCTCCTCCTGCCTCTGCTTCTCCTGTAGTTTCTTCCTTGAGAGATACCTCGTCTTTCTCCAGCTCTTTCCCCATAATGGCAAATCGTTGCTAGCGTTTGGGGTAACACCTAGGCTGGTATGTAAGTAAGGATAGATGGATTAGAATGACACACGAAGTACCCGCCATCGAAAAAGAGCAGTGCCTATACTTCATTATGTACTAGTAGGCCAAGATTTATTCAATCATTGGTATTACCTATTCCTGTGAGCATCCTGTCTCATAGGATAATAAGCTATCTTGACCCACTATGGCCCAGAATCCGGACGGGGCCCGCGGGACCCGCGGGCTGCGCGGGCGATCCGTCTTCTCTTACTACCTAGCCAACCCTTAAGGTGCAATAAGGGCCAGTTATTACTGATGATCGATCAAAGAAAGTGTCTATGTTTAATCTCTGCTATCCATAGCCTTCTCGTGTGGCCAAGGCAAACCAGCAAACCAACTGGAGGCCTGAACCCTCAGGCACGCATCTAACCCAGGCGTAACTAATCTATGATTCCGGTCAAGACATTACCGTTCACAATAATGTTGCTTTGGTGCAAATCACCATACGTGAGCACCTTTGTTTTATCTTGGTCACCCGATACTAGAATTCTCTCAACAAGTGACACATCTCTCTTCGTGAGCTGCGCATTGGGTCTGGAGTTGCGGAAAGCCTCTACCACTCCTTAATTGAATTCCTTTCTTGTCAAGAAAGGCCCATAGCGACGGGGCTTTGCATCTCATGAATGTTGGAAGAGAACATCTTCGCATAAACCGCCATCAATAGATCCGAAGAGCGGTCCTTCGATCTAAGCGATTCCCGAATAAAACCGCCGAGCTATCGGATAATAGAATTTTTGACATCCTGAGTCAAATCTTTCCAGCATTGTTCCAGAGGGATACCAGGGATTTTCACCATCAAAATGAGTCCGATATCAGCAATTGTGTAAGCATTGAAGACTTCAGGGACAGGGACTGATGTCCTTTTCCTCAGAAGAAAGAGGGCGTCTACTTCTTTCATTTGAACCATAGGTCCCGCTTGCAATAGTGATGCCTTGGTTTCTAGGATTTTGCAGCCTCCCATACTATGCGGACATAGGTCTTTCGCACTTCGGATTTCTTACAGTGTGACAATAGAAGGCTGGTGTCTCATCGAGGGGGCAAAGCGAATGTTGATATTAGACGAGAGAATATAAGGGATGTAGTTGAGCAAGTCCCATTTTGAGGGCTATCAGATGGTTAGATGATTCATTCTGAAGAAGGATGCACGTACAGCCATTCTCGAAATCAGCTTGACCAGTACATATTTATACACTCTTTCTCAGCCCCACCGCCAAGGCTTTTAGCGTAGATCATTTATTGAGCGGGCCGCCTGAAATAGAGGGGGCGCAGCAAAAGGTGCTTTGTGAATTACAGTACCCCGTACTGAGACTGTAATACACTATACAAACGAACTGTCCGTAGAATTCCATGGAACCACACAGTCTATCTCGTCAAATCCAACAACACGAGATCCCCTGTTGCCTTGTACCGAGAAGATCTACCTCATAGCATCAACTCTCCTGCCAGCCTGCACGATGTGGATCTGAAATACTTGTTACTACAGTAGTACACAACTGCAACCAGGAATATCAGGTCACCCCCAAAACTCCCGTCAGCCAATGATACCTGGTATTTAGAGATCGGACAGATTAGAATGTGAGTCTCTTTCGGATGCTGTCTACGTGGTCAATGGGGTTTCGCCTCAACCGAAGAGAAATCAAGTACAGGACCAACTACTACTGTAAGAATCCACCGGACCAAAGCAACTATGTGCTATGTACCGTGTAGGCAGGGCACAGTAATAATCTATTTCCAATTCGTCATCCTTAACGCGTTTAATCTCTCCATAACCTGCTGCGTCCTACTGTGATCGGGACCTAGGGCATTCTCGTAGCCTGCCAGTGCTCGCTGGTACATCTTCTATGCCTCCTTGAGTTTTCCCTGATCAGAGTAAAGAAGACCAAGGTTGTTGACAGTAGTGAGAGTGGACGTATGGTCTGGACTGAGGGTATCCAGTTGATCTGCTTCCAAAGGAGTAGAGTGTATTTTTATTGTGGATGGCCTTGGAGCTCGTTCAACAATAGAAGTCATCTTTGTTCTATAAGGATTTCGTCTTCAGCTATTGGAGGGCGAACACTCGATCGGTAAAAGATTATGTGAGGGGGTAGTGGTAAACACGCCTTGAAAGGGTAACTACTTCGTCCATCTATACGTTCTTCTTGGATGAGAAATTATAATGATAAATTATGTAATTTTTTTGTTTATTTCATTTGGTGGGAAGGCTGACCCTCCTGCAGATAATGTGTAGAAACCTTCAAGATATGGTAAGGCCAAAGCAGATACATTCAAATATCTCACGAAGCTCTTCTAGATGTACTACCAGAGGCGTTGAATATGAACAGAAGTTGATGGTCTTAAAGGATTTCAAATACGCAGCTCTTCTCTCACATTCTACGGTCTACGCATACGTGGTACATATTCACAATGAAGATGATAACCTCTCGGCTCCCCTTATATCGAACAGAACCTCAGAACAGTCTTATTTCCATTTCATTGAGCCTCAGCAGTCGTCTTTTTCCATTTTTATTGACAATGAGGTAAGCCTGTGCTTTTCTTTTCTTTTTTTCTTTTTTCTTTCTTTTTTTTTGATAAGAATTGGCTGGGTTACTGACCTCTAAGCTTTCTACTGTACTTCTTCCGTGGACAACGCAACCTAATCTGATGCTTACTAACCAAAACGTAGAGTACCAATTTAGTGAATGGTCCCTTGGCTTACCCGCACCCCCGCCTCGGTCCACCATCCACCATGTTTAATTAAAGACATGTGCGGGTAACGTCATTAAGTCCGGGGCTACAAAAACTCAATGACTTAGCGTCCTATAGATCCACACTAAACCACCTTTGTGTAAGCTTTGCGACCCTGTTTGATGATTGAATTTCATTCGTTCAGATTATTACCGGACTAGGAACAGGGTTTACACTAGTCGAAATAGTAGTAAGAGGACCGAGCCGACTGTACTTTTGGGAGAGAAATCACGATAATTCTTATGTGACCAATAATGTGACATGAATGATGGTCTAGTAACCGGTATATCCCGCTAGCCTGAGACAGAGCCTGGATTGGAACTGAGTCATATAAAACTAGTCTCGTGCATACCTTCAGACTTCGTTGTTCTGGTCGCGTTAAATGTCCTCCACGCCAGACCGACTCCAGGCTATTCATCTATTCGGTTCTACACCATAGTTAAAATGCGTCTTACTGCTGCTATTGTTGTGCTCGCCGCCGGTGCCATCGCTAGAGCTCAACTATCTAATATCCCCCAATGCTCTGTATGCTCTATCCGCTCAATATCTCTGCTCAGTGTCTCGTTTCTAACTAACCCGTGCTTGTTTCTTCTTTCTCCTCCAGCTTACCTGTTTTACTTCGACCCTTGGCGGGGACGGCTGCTCTGAGCTTACGGATTTCGCGTGCCATTGCCAAAAGCCTGGCCTCGCAGCGGAGATTGTGCCCTGCATCAATAAAGCCTGTGATATCACGGACCGACGAGGTATGAGAAGACACATTCCCTTTCGTATGACCCGGTCTAACTAGGCCCTATAGCCGTATCCAGTGTCGTTGAATCCTTGTGTTCCGGTGTTGGCCATCCGGTCTCTATCCCCGCGGTGGACACATCGATTCCCACAACGACTGCCATAGGAGCTATCCCAACCTCAGCGAGGAGCTCCAATTCTACCACGGTCAGTGGTTTCGGGTCAAGCTCCAAGACTTCGTCCACGATCAACACAGCTTCGCCTCAGAGCACCTCCCAGTTCAACGGTGCCTCCGGTATTGCACCCGGGGCTGTTCAGATGATTGGTAGTGCTATCCTGTTAGCCAGCATGATCTTTTTTGTTTGAAGAGTTGTGTGGAGAGACAATATAATGGTTTTTTGTCTGCTGTCTGCTAAACTTAATTTCGCTCTGGTACCTCCTTCCATTTTCATTGGTTCTACCAAGCCATATCAAGCTACACTCATTTTAATACCTTACTATTCTAGAATAGAGTTTTCAAACATCGAATGGTGGGAGTTTGAATTCCAAGGCGCATTTCTTCACTAGATATATTCATAGTCTCAAGTGAGACTCCCGTCTCCAGGTTTTGGGTGACTATATAGGAAATACCAAACAGGTAGAACTGTCACAGACATCAATACACCATCATACAAGCATCCCACTATGCCAGCCTCCTACAACCGAGTGTGGGGAAAATTGGATGCAAGATCGGCAACAGCGAACTAGGAAAAATGGAAAGGAAAAAAGGAAGGAAAGGGGAAATATGTCCGTCGTCCGAAGCCACTAGATTAGTGTCGTGCGTGGAGAAACCACTCATGGCATTTAACTTCATTGCGATTCTGTCCCTGATGACAGCTCATTTCCCCGAGAGGTCTAAGCTGGCTAGATGCGACAAAATCAGCTCCTTCCAACAGATATCTAGTCGAAATAAGATCGAACGGCCAGAGGGGCGTTCTGGCAGTGAGATTTAAAAACCTCAATTGGCCCATCCCATACCCCGTAAGTCCTAATCAATTAGACTTTGAGACATATGCTAAAAACTCATGGGATGCGCTCAGGTCCGGGGGTTTGAGAACTTGGAGAACCTCGGTCGATGAATCTCTTGCAGAATTTGGTAGCAAAACATGTGAAAATATGAACAACAATTTTCTAGCATGCCAACTCTTTCCACAGCGAGAAATTAATTATGCGGCAAAGGGCGCTAGACAACGCCACCATAGCCACCTAGCCCACCGACCAAAGAATTACGCAAGAGAAAGCTAGGAAGACAGGACGAGAAAGAGGGGTTGGAGAAGATTTTTGGAATAGTACGGACCTTGAAGGGGTTCCTTTTCTTCGTTTTCTTCGTTCTGTAATTTTTATTATGTACAGTACCATAAATTAAATTCCCCCCTGCCCGAACGCGCCTGCGTACTACGCATCTTAGAAGTGGTGTCGCATTTACCTTTAGGCCCATTGAGAACAAAACATGCAAGCCCGCATAAATGTTACAGTATTAGGGAATTAAATCAAAATCCTGCGCATGTACCCAGCTCTGCTAGAAGGTCCCCCGCCGTGACGTCGATACCGCCAGCGTCTGAATCCTCCCTGCCAAAAGCTAAGAACAGTGTATCATCAATGAACCCATGGTACTTTTGGCCATGGCTTTTCCAACTGATGCTAGTCATGTAGAGCATCTCGGAGGTATCTTCCAGTAATCCTGTGGAAGAATCTTCATTTGACTTCTCTGCTCTAATGCTGCGACCAAAGATCCAGGCTGGTTTTGACGAGATCGCATAGATCTCAAATGGCATCGAACGCCGCATCAGCACCACATAGGGCTCATATACGGGGTGAAGACCGTGTAGTGTCTTTTGTTGGATGATGAAGAGCACAAAGGTGTTGGTCGCATCAGGTTGGCAAAATTGGTCAGATCGTGCACATAGAGTGATAGCTAGCGAGTTTGTCGCTTGATGAATCTTTCCCGTCTCAGGCAAGAATCTCGTGAGACATTCTTGGTCAGAAGCAGAGGTCGTCAGCGCCAAGTTTGGTCCAACAGAGCCATCTAGCTCGAGTTTCGAAAACACACGTGCCGGTGTAATTTCATGGTGTAGGAACATTTGTCCCGAATCATCCCAGAAGAGAAACCAATTCTTCTCAACAGCATTCCATGGCATTGGACGTTGAAGCTCACGATACTGCCGGAATTCGTGCTCATTTATGGTGTCTATCCCCCAATCCACCAAGATTCGAAAGTCAGATATCCATTGTCCGAAGCATGTAAAGAACGAATTGGAGCCGTAAATGGTGTACGGGATCTCGGGCCCGTAGAACACCCTCGCATCATGAGGCCCAACGCTGAGACTAAAGTACGAAAGGTCGCCGAGACACTTGCTGGAGTCACCAAAGGTCGCTGGGATGGGCAATTGCAGTGGTGGCTCCAGACAGCTCAAGACTCTCTTGTCGTCCGAAAATGCGGCATTGCAGACGAGTTCAGCGAACCAGACTGAGGCAGTTCGTGCAGAAGGAGGCTTGTGAAGTTGTGCAGTGATGATCCAGGTGTCAAGCAGCTCGGGGTGGGGGATTATACTGGGATTCAAGACGGATCTTCTTCCGAAGTCGATCCTAAAATACTTTCGATCGGGATTCGATACCGAGTATATTACGTGGTGTGTCCGAAACATATCTTTGTCGGATTGTCCGGCATCAATGTGTGATTGTCTATATGGACCACCCGACGAATAGTCCGTAAATAGAAATCCCGATTGCAAGCTGAGATGGTTGGATTTAAATTTGGCGACGAGGATCACCGCGGACAATAGCCCTGCAATAAGTATCAGGTGTGTGGCTATTTTTTTGGCCATGTTCAGTTTGACGAGTGTAGACGGGATGTAACAGTAAGAGTTTATAAGTCTTATTTCAGAGAAAGCCTTGCCGAGATTGGTCGTTGACACTGACTAAAAAGGGGGCTTTGACTGACACAGGCAGTGGCTGAATTGAGGGGTTATAGTTTGTTAGTTACAATGGCGATTAGGGCGATCATGCACTACTCTTAACAATTTTTACCACCATGATCACGAAACATGGCTTAGTGACCCGGGTATCTTTGCAAATTATAGGAAAACAGCTTCCAGCAGAGAATTTTCAATATTGCAAATAGTACTGCCAAATCTAAGGTGAACCTCGCGATGCCATTACAAGAATTTATGATCAACTGGTATCCTGAGCTCCGGGCTCCGGGCTAGCAGTAACTTTCGTTTCCGGTTGCAAGACTTTTATTATACAGCAATTTATCATTTAGAGGAACGCTTTGCATTAGATACTCAAAAGCAAACCAGGCAGATCATGGACACATGCAGAGGGTTGTCAGGTTTTGTCAATCAGCGCCCTTTGGTAGATCCACTGAGAGAACTTCACCGCCGGCTCATCAACTAGTCTAGTCGTGACCTCTGCCAGCCAGATAGTCAAGGGCAACAGAACCAGATTCGCGACGAGAAAGTTGACTTCAAGCCCAAGAGGACCAACGTTAGGCAAGGGGAGGCGATTAATCCACCAGGGACAATTCTCATAGTGTGAATCGCGTACGAAACCCACTGCAGCATAGAGCCTGTCACCCAAAGTCCACAGAACCGGTCCGTGAACCAGATAGAATGCAAACGATATACGGCCCAAGTACTGGTTGAATGGGGCGTTAAAGAATGTCTTGAGCCACTGAAGGTGAGATGTGCATGCGACGAGAAAGACAGCGGCCCAGAACAGGTAGAACCACTTGTAATCGAACACTGCCTGTGGTTTTAGGAAGGACAAGAGGTACCACCCTGGTGAGTCACGTAATTGTTGCAAATTGTCCGTATGTGAGGGGACCCCTCCAAGATAAAGGCTTGCATAGAAGAGAACAGTCATGATGGCTGTCTTAAAGGGACCCAGTCTGAGAAAGAAGCGGGGCAAGTCATTTCGCATGGCGAGGAGGTCGAGATCTTTTAAAAGCATGCCGGCAATAAACATAGCATAGTGTGATCCATCCGCAACGTACAAAAAGTACACAACCAACACGACTTCGCCTAGGAGCCGGGCATCGCGGCGAAATCTTGAAAAGGCGAGAACGGCGATGTATACAGCCAGAGAGCCTCGATGTTCGACGGGTATAGACCAAGCATGGAAATTGTATGTGAACCAGGGCTCGCCGCCTGTTCGGAGAGGGAAACTGAAATTCTTGAACTCGGCGTACCAATTCCATAGCTCCGCGCGGTAGCTTCCTTGAAGCTCTGGGACAGCGGTGATCTTAAACAGGTGCAAAAATGTAATGTAGCATAATGTTGTGCAAATGACAGGAATATATAGACGAAACCATCGGCGAAATACGGCTGAGGAAAGGCATTTACCTAGTCTAACGTAATCGCCATCCTGGATGCTTACCAGTGGCGACATTGAAAGAACGTACCCAGAGAGCACGAAAAAGACGCTGACGGCAAAATGCCCCCGGAAAACAATGTTCGAATACCAGGAAGGCATGCGAAATAATACTTGCTGTCGTAACCGTAGGCCAGCTCGAAGGCATTTCCCACCCCTCCGCCATCGTGGGCCCAAAGTTGGTGATGTCCCCAGTAGACTAGTAGAGCCGCAAAACCTCGCAATCCATCTAGGTATGCGGTGGGCCTGCTAAGTACCCTTTGCTTTTCATTCGCGTTGTTGTCGCTATTTGTCCGCCCAGTAAGTATGGGTAGGAAGGGAACCATGCAAGAGGAGAGTGACATCCAATGCCGAGAGCGTGTCATATGGGCAAACTGTGGTTTCCACTGTCCATCCTCGAGGGCTCGCTCTGGGCTTGATTTTAACAACTGAGGTGAAGAGTTCTCGATTGAGGGGTGTAGCATAGGCATCGGGCGAGTGGATTAAAGTGAAGAGAGTCCTTTGAAAATTTAAGAAAAGATCAATAGAAACCCAAATTTCACCGCTTGAGAATTACACAGCTCTCAGTACAACTCTGTAACACGTGAATCCAGTGCATACAGTGAGTAGTCCTTGTTAGCGGGTGAACCCCAGTGCCCAGTCGTGCCGAGGCTCATAAAGACCTGCTGCTAGATTGGGTTTCATATTAATTAAAGCCCGCGGCCCTCTTCCCTTCCCCACAAGTCAGGGCCTGAACGCAGATTCGGGGGTATGGCCCGATGTGACTAACGCCATGCAGCCACGATCTCACCCCTGCAATGTAACGAGGCTTGGGGTCGCATGTGAGTACGCACCATTCAATCCGGATAAAACCTACGGAAGCCTAAATGGCGTTTTGAACTAAATCCATTATTGACTGCCCCCACGAGGTCTCTACTGTTGGCCCCGCCACCCGAATGGCTGAAGGTGTTTTACGGCTCTAGGAATGATCCAATCAGTTAAGCTTCAACCCTTGACCATTTCCGTGCCAGCAACAGGTACTATTGCGTTCGCGAATGTACCGACAATACAGCCTAGCAAACCAGGTACAAACCTGCGAAGATGATAGGGAGTAACGTGACCCGAGGCAATGCATTGTAGACTTAATGAATACCACATGTTAATTACGATGACATTTACTGTATGTAATCTACTTATCAGTGAAATAAGGCCCTGCCTTCCTGTACCAACAATCTTTCTCCTTTCTCGACTTCGATGCTTGTCTCAGACAGGAGGCCACTGAATTGAACCCCATCACAGGCCCAGTCATGCTGGAGAAAAATTTCGTGTCGCCCAGTCTCTTTCCGAAGAAGGCACGCAGATTCACACATGGCGGCCTAGTGGCTTTGTGTCTGTTCATCTACTTCTGTGTCACCAGGACGTCGCACAAATCTGGCGAGAATAAATCGTACTCTGCTCAGCTGACGAGCAATATTGGCGAACAATTTCCCAGGAAAATCTGGCAGATCTGGAAAGTGAATCCATTGGAATTCGACGAGCGTGATGTCGGGGTAGCGCGCAGCTGGATATCTAAAAACCCGGGCTATAGGTACGAGGTTCTGACCGACCAGAATGACCTCGGCTATGTCGAAACAAACTTCGGACCCCTTGGGCTGAATCGACCAGATATCGTTGAAACATACCGATCTTTAACGGCTCCAATCATCAAGGCCGACCTACTTCGGTATCTTGTTTTGTACATGGAGGGAGGTGTCTATGCTGATATAGACGTGGAGGCATTGAGACCAGTTGAGCGATTCATCCCAAGCGGCCACGATGAGAGCGAGATCGACATGGTCATTGGCGTCGAAATCGATGAGCCACACTTCCGCGATCATCCTATACTAGGTCAAAAATCTCAATCCTTCTGTCAATGGACATTCATGTGCAAGCCTCGACAGCCCGTGATGATGCGACTAGTAGAGAATATCCTCCACTGGCTCAACCAGCTCTCCATCAAGCAAGGGAGGCCAATCTCAGAGCTTCAGCTGGACTTCGATGATGTGATCACAGGAACCGGGCCTTCTGCCTTTACAGGCGCAATACTATCTGAAATGAGCCGTGCAACGGGCAAGGATGTCACATGGAGTATGTTCCATGACATACCAGAGTCCAAAGTTGTCGGGGGTTTCTGGTTCTCACGGTTGAAGCGTTCGCCGCTGGGCAAGGCCATTCGGACTCGGGCACCCATAATTCGCGCACGGCGTTGGTCAAGCACCATTACCATGCATCTGCGTGGCCAAACCGTCACCCACGATTCTATCACCCAATCTTTGGAGAGGTCGAGAGGTGCAATTGGAATGTGGACTGTGTGAGGAAGTGGGACGAAGAAGCAAGTGCTTTTGCTGCTCTGCCTCAGGAAGAGCAGGAACGGCAGATTGCCATATTCCAGGCAATAGGGGAAGCACTAAAAAATATGGAACCACCCCCTGAGTAGGGAATGTTTTGATTTTTCTTTTCTGACAATGTGATTATGTGTTCTAGATATAAGCGGTACGCCCTCGCAGAACCCTCACTAGAGCCTGTTGTAATATGAGGCTGGTGCAGATCAGGAATCAAGCCGCCCCAGCTGAATTAATTCCTGCATTGTCTATACAAAGAACCAAGTTGATTTTCAATCAACTTGATCTTCTCATTGTATATATAGCCTCGGTATTCCCTCTGTTATAAGAACAATCAATCTTCCTTTGACATACAACAGGTTATGAGCCCGGCAGCAATCTCTCGCCGTTGTGGGAGATGGCCTAAACTAAAGTCCGTACTAGTTATAGATAACGCATCTTTCCACTGTTCTAATCGTACAGTAAGTTAGTATTTCACTTAAGTTACTGACGTTCCTGATGCGACTCGACGCGAGATAGATCCTCACACAAGAACCAATAAATATCATTATCTTGCGGGCTTTCATAGGAGGTGCTATTTTCAAGGCATGACAAACAACGTTTCATATGCTTCCCTTGGCTTCCCTTGGCTTCTATCAGAGTCACCACAAACAATATCCATTCCGAGTGTCCCACGCGCGCCATCGCAGATACTGTTACATGAGCCAGATTGTATTGACCGGAGTGAGTAGACGGATTTGAAGAAGAACTGCCAGCAAAGCAGTAGGAGTATTGTTGAGCGGAACATCTTAGATCTCCTTTCTCAGTATAAGGAGAATCGAACCCCTAAAGAGGGGAAATAAAAGGCCCCCGAAGACTGAGCTTATTTTTGTCGCATGGCTGAGCGTGGAGGCCCAAGACATCGGCTATGCCTCGAGCCCCAGTGTCACCGCCGATTTTATCCGGAAGTGGCATTTCGATATGCAGTCTTGCGGTCTATGAATGGCTTAATATGTGGTTAGTGGGGGTCAAAATGTGGGTGCGGAGGTTTTTGCTGCTTGAAATTGGCCCTATTCGCGGGAAAGGTATGGGAGATGAGCGTCAGCGTCCATTTTGTGCTGCGACCAGATTAGGGGTCCTGATCGCAGGATGATGAGGCTGTTTTGCAGTCAACCGGGGCTGAAAGTCGCTGAAATATCAGTGGCTTGTGATAGGAAACGTGAAGCCAATGTTTCATGCCATACCAATCTTCTGACTTAGGGATCTTCATTGGCACGAGAACCGTGCATGACACGATGTTGGTGGTCTTACTGTCTATGAGATCTAGAATGTTGTCAAATGATGCAATAGGACGATATCATCAGATATTCCGTCACCTATAAGCAATTAAGACATAGAAAAGCACAATTAAAGATGGGTAAAATGTTTAGTAGATACAAAAAATCGGCCAGTTAGACCTTGGCCCTATATCACTGACGACGAATCCAGGGAGGAACACGAACAACATTCAAGCCCCCGCGGGGAAAAATGTATTCTAAATATCTAGAAATCTCTTACAGTAAAATGTATAGACAGAAATAAGGCAAAAGCAAACCCACAAAGCGAGCTGAATATACACAAGCTAACACCCCCTACCACGAGAAAGTCTCTTCAAACAGATCAACTGTCTTCTCGCCTTGCACATTCCTGACAGCTTCACGCACGCTATCGCCCAGGCCGCCAGGACCGCACACGCTAACCGCCATCGCACCAATTTGCTCTGCCTTTTCCTTTTCTAGGACAGATTGGATACATGGCTTGCCATGGTGAATACTAACTGGTACACTTGGAGGGGCGCAATGAGTCCATGGCGTATCTGGTGCGGGGATATATTCTTCCACGGTGTCTTTGTGTGCTGTGACATGGAGGCTGATTGATAGTAGTAGCTTTGGGAATTGGAAATATGAGTGGCCGTTCTGGTTTATTGGACTTGACAGCGAGTCGTGGCCAAGGATCTCTCTCATAAATGTTTGGATCCATGTGAGGTGGTCTATTTATATGGTTATGATTGGTGAATGTGTGCGTGGAGGGGTGGAATTACCTAGGCTGCGAACGATCCAAACCAGACGGACCTTGCGTGTAGCTGTTTTCTGCTCGGCAAAGGTGCCAACGACCTCGTTCAGGTACGACATTGGGTGTGTAATGCCAATGCCGCCAGCGATCAAAAGCAGAGTGCCGTACGAGTCGAGTGAATGGATACCACCTTGGAAGTGATGTTAGCGGATATGTTGTACAACCCCAGGGAAATTTTCAAAAATGGGTTGATACCAAATGGTCCCTCCGCCAAAGCCATAGCATTGATCCGTCCCTCGGCGGAGTCCTCCGCCTTTTGAATAAGTTTCTTCGTGAATCCATCCTGTCCCTTGATAAGGACAGACATGGTAGTAGTTTCCGACCCTCCAATAAGAGCCTTCAGGGAGTCACTTGAGCTGCGCTTCTCGCCCATATTCAAAGAATCTGAACTAGTAGATGTCCACGCAACAGTGAAAGGATGTGATGTCCACAAACCCAAACACGGCAGGTAGAGATACATGTACTGGCCAGGGCGGAAGCGCCAGGCTCGAGAGACAGCGACATCGACACGGGCGACAGCCCCAGGCAAGGCTTCAATGGTGGCAGTTGTGGGTTGTCTGCCAATGTTTCTCCAGAGTAGTATACCGAGCCGACCTGCGCGATCGAGGCCCCATAGGATTAATGTACCTAGAAGCACTTGCTGTTGCAATAGGTTCTGCAGATGATACCAGAGGGCAACGAAAGACATCACTGCCAAGGCAATATGCAGGTGAAGGAATAGTTCGTAGAATGAATGTCGGACCGGCGACAGTGATTGAACAACAATGAAAATGAATCCAAGAACGGCCTGTATGAATATGTTTTAGATAGATTCTTCGATGATAGATTTGTCGGAATACATACCACAAGGCCACAGATGTAGAGGCGCTGTTGCCAGACAGCATAGAGAACATATTCCGTACCGTCTGAGTTTGATGTTAGTGCATACTTAAGTCATGTAATTTCAGCCGACTCACGCATATAGGCTTGGTTAGCCAACACTGCACTCATGTGGATCACCGCATTGGTAGCGATCACACGTCCCACCCAGCGATGCATATAGTTGAAGCCATCGAATGAGATACCAAGCAGATGAATCAGCGGATTATTCCGCCCAGCACTCAGGACTAAACCCGGTGTATTCATGACAGCCAGATGGCCTGCAGAATACTTAAGCTGGAACATCTTCATGGAGTAATCACTGATCCACCAATCAACTGTCACAATGATGAAAATGATGTTCAAGCCTAGGTATATCAAAAGGCAAATCACTTCCAGTCGCAGTGGAAGCGATCCCATGTGGAGTCTGAGGAACCGGAACTCGCGACTATGACGATTACCCCATAGCGGAGCGTATAGTAGATGCTTCTTCAGGGAGGCATTGAAGCGATTTGTCCGTGACAACTGTGTTTGGTCTGTTCCTGCCCGTGCCTCTTTCGAACGTTGACGGTGTCGAATGCGAATGGCGGTATTCCAGGCGAACAAGATGGCGACGAGTCCACCGGCGACGAATAGAGGGACCGCAATCGTAGGGTTCATGGGCGCCTCCCCATGGCCATTTCCTTTCAGTTCTACACCCATTGTGCCATTCGAAGAGGCAGGTGGAGCTTGAGCTGCAATACGCTGGTATGGATACTGTCGCAACCACGTACAGCGTGGAGTATCCGGCGACTCCTTGAAGAACTCCAGGCCAGGGGAGGAGAGGGGAAGAGGAGCACAAGGTTTTTAACAAATTGATGCTATAAATGGGGTTGGGGTCGCGTGGGAAAGAAAGTAAATTCAAATCATGGCGTTGTATTGGAATTTCCAGGACTGACGTACGTGGATGCCGTCATTGACCCCTGCAAGGTGCAAGTCTATTCTTGTCGGGACGAATGAAAGCATCTTCGCATTTTGGACAAAGCAGGACACATGACCCGTGTGGGTGAGTGTAACGCCGAATTGGGAAGGATAGATAATGGCACCTATTTAGGTTCTTCGGGAAGGAGATGCGCGCGGTAACCAGGAATTCTAGATCTTCGAGAACTGCTTTGTCATGAACAAACGTAGAAAGGCTGCGTAATTCAGGCGCTAATAGTGACATTTGCGGGTTGGAGAAAGGTATAGGGTCTAGACGCCGTTGTTCGTCAATCCGAAAACGGAATGTTGTTAGCCGCCCTGCAGCATTCCTCCCACTTTCGGTCAAGGGGTAATATGAACATCTAGAAAACAGGAATCCCTTTTTGATCGTATTTTCTGCATTGTATCGCTTTATTTTCCAGACGATCTTGTCCAGCAATTGTGTGAGGGTCCGATATCCCGACGTCATTTCTTAGAAGTCTGGACGAGGGCTCAGGCCGGATCTCCGGTTCACTGGGACGCAACTGCAACGCTATAAACAATGGTCAAGTTCGAGTAAGTGGAGACTGCAGCGTAGCAGATATGACGCCATGGTACGCAACAGCAAATCCCGTCGAAGTTTGAGTGCGATTACTTCTATGATTTGGCGATCCAGCCATAGTTGAATCCGGGCAGGGGCCCGTGTGTATAGATGTCACAGATGCCATTGCGACCATTACCAAACGACTTGTCTCACTTTAGATCAGGCAATCTAGGCCAACTTGGCTGATTCCTTGTCACGCGCACTACCCCGTTGCGCTTCACGAAATGCCCGAAGCAGCGTGAGAGCCAAAGCAGCGTGGAATCGCAACGGGGCTGGTTCTTCTTGACAGATGCACCATAAGTCTGCCGAGACAAATCGACAGATAGTCCCACTGGCTCGTCACAGGTCCCAGTGGGAATAGCGTCATGGTAACCTCCAAGCATAATGTTCTAGACTCGCCGCAGAGCATCCTGGGGTAGGAATTCATCAAGAAAATGTTGCAAGGCACAGGTTCTCGTCGCACTAGGGTCTTGTTCGTCAGGAAGGAGCGAGCCAGTGATGTCAAGATTTCCAGGGCCAGGACCATGAGATAATTCTGTGACAAAAACCGGATGCTGTTCATGTCGAGTCATTCGTGGTCTCTCGGACACCGCACAAGTTGAGTGGAAAAGGAGTTTCACGGGATACTCAGCCCCGGATGCAAATTTGGACCAAATTTGCTGAAGATCATGGCATGTGAGTCCGAGCATCAATAGGGAGTTCATAAAGACTCTACCATAGGCAAATCTGCCGCCCTGCCTGACCCGTGAAATGATGATGCCGGTGAACACTGCCAGAATTCGAAGTAAGCCAGTTTCAGGAACTCCCAGGTACACAAAAGCCAGATATTCCCGAGCAAATAGAATGTCAGTCGAGGGTCATAGTAAACGATGCTGGAAAAGCCGCCAAAGTTCCTGGACTTATTGCCGAGATGAACGTATATTTTACCAGCTCCATTAAATGACAAACCCAAAGTATCTTGGAGTAAAGCCTGGCCATTCCCCCTAGTCAAACTGACTGTATGGCTACCAGGCATACCACGATGCAAGGAATCTGTCCCCATAAGATATCGCATGAATCACATTGAGAAAGGATGCGATCTTGTCATGTTTTCTTGCTATCCATGTATTGTCTCACGCACCATACATCCATGTGTAGTGTTCGGACGTGCTCGCCAGTACCACCAGTCAGTACCAGGCCAGCCAAGCTCATACCAACGATACGCACATTGAACCGGGCCGCAGTCGGCATCTCGTATACCAGCCCGAGGAGGTCTTTGGATGGGGTTGAGCAACATGATGCCAAAGGCTGTGGAGTTGAGATTCCGAGGAATCATGACTGACTAGAACGAAAAAAGAAAGAAAAAGTAAATTTCACTAACAAGTGAAGCGGCTTATTCGGACCTCCTTCCCTTGTCGCCGTCACTGCACCATCCCTTCACAATGATTCAAGTCCTCGTTTTCTTTGTTTGGGCCAACGAATATCGGACTCCTGCCGACCAAGCAGCACGAGACCATTTCCGCAACGCCTTGGGACCAATCGTTGAAGAATACGACCTGGTCTGGAGCATTCACCACGCTACACTCCGAGTTCACACCTTCATACGATGGGCCAATGCATCTCTGGAGTGCACAGAGTGATCATCTGAAAGTAGCGTAATATGTTCGCCCGGTGGCTTTCGCTGTTATGCTTGTCTCTGCTCATCTGGGTGTGTGGGCGAGGGCCATTCCAATCATCAAGACCTTTGAGCTTTAGTAGGAGTTCGCTCTCTTATCGTATTCTGTTTCATGTGGTTGTTTGTGCTTTCGAAAAAGGAGGGAATCAACACATGATGTTGAGTTGGTTGGAAAAACTTAGTGACGTGCTTTGGTCGGCGCCAAGACGTACTATCTAGGTAGCGAGAGGAACTTAACCAAATACTCAATAATGTTGTTTCGCAGACTTCATAAAATGCCTAGACAATATTCTATTTAACTAACGCTTATTTAAAAAAGCGCCATTTCATGATTCCATTTCCTATACCAATCCAACCCTCCCTCTTTTCCGTATGAGAAAACCCAAAATACCCAAACCACAAACCAAATAGAAATACAAAACCAAGAACGCCAGAATCATTATTAGAGCGGCATAGCAGATCAAAGTTTCTAAGAACATCTTATTCAGTGACCTCTTGCACAGTAACAGGGGCCTGAGCGTGGGCGTGGACCTGGGGGATACAATGCAATTCCTCCTCAACAGAAAGGCTGCCGTAACCCGTGTCATTGCTAGCAGATCTCTCGCGACGAAGCGGCTTGCCAACATTGGAGGCGGACATATCTTGGTCAGCGTCGCTTTGAGAGGACTCATTAGAGCCGGCCCTGCGACGACGGTGCTTGCGTCTTTTTGAGCGGTTCTTGTCCGGTGCTGTGTGGACATAATCGTCGACGTTTATACCTGCATTCCGGCAAATTGCTGTGCAGGAATTGACGACTACCTCGACGAGGGTAGGTGAGAACCCATAAAAAGCCGGGTTGTAGGCGTTTCGGGCCCAGTAGATGAGTTCGGCGGATACACGGCCGAGGTTTGGGATGTCGCGGGGACAGATGGAGAGCTTGCGGGTTGGGCGGGGCTTTTCTTCGGCTTCGTCGTCGGCAGAAGAGGTTGCTTCTGAGACGGGGGTGGATGGTGAGGATGAATCGGATGACGCGATGTAATCTACGTCGGAAGCGAGGAGGTGAAGAAGATGGTAGACTGCTGAGAAGCCGAGGAGGGACAGTTCAACCGGGTCAATCGGTAGCTGGTTGAACCAGTTGATGGCCTTTTGGATGGTGAAGAATTCGGGCAATGAGGTGAAGTCGCCATTGGATCGTGCTGTGACGATGGCAGCAATCATAGCACAGCGTACCGCGATGGAGATTTCATCGCGAACGGAAACGGGAATAGAGGAATCTAGGAAGTTGGACGCATGGCTTTGGCTTCCCTTTCTCTTCTCCTTGGGCAGAGCTGCAAGGACTGCACCGACATTTTCGACGCGGTGTTGTTCAAAGAAGACTGCTTTCATCACCAGGGCACGGGTGTATGCCGCAGACAGCCGGGGCGCTACGTCGAGAGACATGCGAATCTTCTCCTTGAAGGCATCGCGGCTTGCCTTGGAGACGGGACCCTTCTCGCTTGCTTCGAAATAGTTGAGCAGAGCGGTTTGCAGAAGATGGCTGGACCACCAGGCGGCGAGTGCGTCTTGAGAACATTGAATGGCAGGATCCTCTTCCACAACGTCGAGGAGTACCTCTTCATCACCGGTACCCTCTTGAGTTGGCCGGTTCCAGGTCAAGTTGACTGCACGTTGAATAATAGTATCAATCATAACTTCCTCGCAATCTAACTTGACTAGGGCTGCAAGGTGACTGGGGAGCCGGTCAGGGTGCGTCTCAGGCAAGGCATTGTTAAGGTCACGAGCAACCTCCCACTGGAATCGTGCGAGAGACCGAGCAATGTCGTTGGACATATGGAATGACCAAGAGCCTGGCTCTCCGACACACCAGAGAAGAACACGGACATGCAAGGCCTTCAAGATCATTCTCATGGGGCTGGTAGGGAGAGTGCCAGCAGCAAATATAGTGAGCACGAGGCGGCTCTTGCTAACTTCAGCATCCCCACCTGTGAGTTGTGCATCAATGGCGATATCCCAAGTTTTCACACGGCCCCTCTCATCCTCCTCGGTAATCCCTGTGGCCCAGGAGTACAGCTTCCAACCCATCATGCAGCGCAACACATACTCGAAGCATCTCGAAGTGACGACATACCACTCCCGGAAGAACCTGTGACGTGGAACGCCGACTCGTTGCATGCTCGTGAGCCAGGCCTGTCGGCGGAAATTACTGGATGTAAGAGGCGCAATCTGGTTCTCGGAATTCGACTTGGATGGACCACGTTGCGTAACGGGTTGGGCATTGAAGAGGTAGACAAAAACGATGAAAGCACAGCCAACGACCAGCGTTGCCAGGAGGAGGAAATGAGAGAATGCGCGGGCCTGCCACGAGTACCAGAAGTGCTTCAGGTAATATTCCCAGTGTGCCATATTTCGTGTTTGTAAACGGCCCAGAAGGCGCATGGGAAGTGCAAAGAGACCCTTTGACTCGCTCTCGGAGTCATCAGAGCCCATGCCCTCGAGAACCATCAGGCCAGCTAGCGCTCCCAGCATGTATTTGTTGGGCATTCTTGAACGCCGACGAGAGGTGTCCTCCCTGGCATACTGAGGTTGGTGGGCTGAAGATGATGGGTACTTGATATATGACTCGGCGAAGATTCCTTGTTGTGCAGTCTCTGCTCGCATCCGCTTCCACGCATCGGAAACTGGGAGTAGTCCCTCGGGAGGGTTGTGGGAGCTGTGAGAGCTCTCGCTGGAAATCTCTTCAGCCTGGGAGAACACACTAGGGGATGTACCGGAGCCGGAGTCGGTCGAGGCGTAGTTGCTGGGCGAGGAAACAGATGCGGATGATGTGGCAGCCTGATCAGCGGCCTTGTCGGCCTGGCGAAGGCGGTTCTTTAAACCAGTGTTTTCATCTTCCAGACGTTTGTTGCGAATTTCAAGATGTTTAATGTATTCGGTGGCCTTTGACAAGATAGAAGCCTTGTTGAGCTTGCTCGCAGAATTTGCTTCCGCTTCGTCATCGTCATCAGCGGAACCTCCGGTCTTATTTGTTCGAAGGCTTGGTACACTGTCGCGAAGTTCCGCAATCTTGTCGTTCAAGTTGGCTCGATACCGCTTCTCAATGACGTTGTGAGCGCGCTTTTTGGCTGGCATCTTCTTGCCTGGTTGCACTGGACCCGTCACTGTAGTGGCATCGTCGTCACTGCCTGTCTTTCGCTTCCGACTAGTTCCAACACTGGAAATGGGAGACACAAGACCAGACTGTGGTTGCTGGTTTGTTCCCCAGCTCTGCGAAAAGCTACTTGGGTGACCGTGGACGTTGTTGTTCTGCTGAGATGGAATTTCCATCAACCCGAGAGGCAGATGTGGGGAGAAAGCTTGATTTTGGGACGGTGAGCTCATGTCGGTATGAGGAGAAATAGAGGGCAGATCTATAGATGAGCCCATTGGTTTCTGGTCGCCTTCCGAGAACATCGGTTCATCCCATCGCATCCATTGAGTCCAATCTTGATTCACATTCTCTCCATTTTGATGTGACATTAAGTGACCATTTGTTCGTGATTCATCTCCACCAGAGTTACGTGGAGAAAATAGCTGGAAGTCGTTGTCCATGGTGGGACCAGACATACTGGAGGTATCCGGTTGGATCCTTGGCCAGTGCCTGTAGCAGTCTAAACCTGGGTGATGTAACCGAGTGCCCGAATATTGAGCACTGTTTGAAGCGTTAGACCTGATGAATAGTAGACATTTAAATAGCAAGCGACTTGAAACAGCGCAATTGAGCTGCCTAACTGGACATGCTCAAGGTACAATAAGTGGCTAAGCCCGTACAGGCTAGCTTAGACTGTGATAGGGTGATATTTGACACTCACTGGGTTCAATATCAAAAACAATGCTCGAATTGCACGGCGTAAAACTCAATAGATGCAAATACGGAAAGTGCGATGTAAAGACTGAGTTGCCAGGAGGGGGAGATGTTAGAGTCACAGTCACGGGTGCTGCAGGCGATTGGATGGACAAAAAGCAGGGGTGCGACAGATACCCACCTGAACGGACGGTGGTTTAGGCAGTCAAAGCCTTGGGACCAAGTGGGTTCTCGAATCCGTTCTCTGTTGCGAAGGTGATCGTCCGCGCATTAGAGCATTAAAGGAGGGTGGATCAAGGCGCGCTGCAAAACGGGAAAAGCACGATGAAGCTATGTCAGAGGCATCGAGCTTCGACTGTATCTCCATGCATGAAGATCAAGGGAGACGGTGTTGGACCGAGATGGCAAGGCTTGGGATAACAATTTCGGTCGTATGATCGCGGCTGGCCGCCCTTCCGGCTCCGCAACTGCCACCCCTGATGGTCATTACAGTGTTAATTTCAAATCCCGATCACGTGAGACTAGTTAGGGAATGTATTGGTGGTTTAATTACAGTCACTTATAACGGTTACCATTGGCTGATACTATCCCCACCCACATGGGATGACTCAGCCTCTTCCCACGGACATGTGACTTCCAGGTTTCACTCCATCTCGCAGTCCTCAACTCCGTATTTTGCTGCTTTTGAACCTTTGTAATTCACTTGGAAAACCACGGCCAAAAATCAGCTCATCCCCCCTCTGACTAACTCGACACGTCATAATGTGGCGCCTTGGCGCCCCGCAGGGAGGCAACACGGGAAAAAAAGGGCGCGTTATGATCTTATCTGATCGAACTAGTCTCCACTCCTCCATCGCCAGTAGCACCAGAACCCATCGAGACGACGCAGAACACGAATGAGATCAATCAACCAGCACAGACTTTGTGGATCTACAATCCGGTGTCGGCGTTAAAAGGAGAACCCAGTACCACTTTCTCAGACATTCCCAAGGATGTCTCTGTAGAAACACCAACGCCCATGCGTCATAGGTTCTCCGCTAACTCCTTGGAGATCCATTTCAACTCCAATCGGGCTCCTTTCGGCTGGTACTCGGCTTTTTGGTCTCACAAAGTATACACTGAATTCACAAACTAACAATCCCAATCCATGATTATGGCCTGCAGACTCATAGTACAGCTTATATCGCATTTTCAACGCTGGCAATAGCCCCCATCAATTCCCTGACCGACTTCTGGACCCCGTCCCCAGCCTCTTCATATGGAGTCCGAGGCTTGAGCTTCTCAAGCGCATTCTCCACTCCAGCTGCGGGGGCCGAAAACAATGCCACTGCATATTTGGTCGACGCAATTCCACCCTTACAAGGTGTCTCCGCCAACGCCGAAGACCGCTGCAACTCCATCGCCTCAGCCACCTTCCCATTCTTAAACAAGTCATAAACCTTCGACGCCGTTTTCGGAAAGACGTTCGCAAATGCAGAAATACACCCCGACGACCCAACCGTCAACCCAGCAATAAGGAAATCCGACTGACCGCCGAAAATCGCAAACTCGCTAGGAGAAAATGTCGCCGCTAGGCGTGTGATCTTCCCCACCGAGCCGCAGGTCAATTTAACGCCGACGACGTTCGAGACGCCGATGGGACTGGCTGCTGCTGATTCCTTGACTATCTCGGTAATTGTCTCCGAGTCAATATCGACGCCGTTGGTTACGCCGGGGAAATTGTAAATCAGCACTGGGAGGGGGCTATTCCTTGCGACGTCGGCGAAGAACCGTTTCACGACTGTCATGTTTGTCGCTTTGCCGAAGTACGCAGGCGGTAAGATCAAGAGATAATTCGCGCCGGCGGCTGCTGCGTCGTGTGCTAGCTCGAGCGTCTGTTTCGTTGAGTGTGTGCCTACGCCTGCCATGAGAGGGTAGTCTGGTCCGACGGCTTCGCGCGCTGTTGCGATGAGTTGTGCTCGCTCTTCTCGGGTCAGCAGGAAGGCTTCGGAGTTCGTGCCCATTATTACTAGCCCTGCTAGGCCACTTCGCGATAGGTATGCATAGTATTTCTTTTGGGATTCGAGGTCTAGTGTGTCTGTTGCGCTGTCGAATATCGTCACGGCTGGGCACCAGACTCCAGACTTGGGGATTCGGGGCTGCGGGGAGACTCGAGGGGTTTGTCCCATTGTGAATAACTTTAAGGCGTAGAGGATACCGGGTGGCGAAAGAAGGAGGTTCTTAAACGTAGTGATTATACCGCTTTGATAATCCAAATAGAGTATCAATGCCACTGCACGTTCAGTATGTTTTATAGTCACCTGTATACGTGCGGGGAAGAGGAAAAGAATCCGTGTCGGCCCCGACTCCGATGATAAGCCGCCTATCAACACTGGGCCTCTTACCCCTCGGAGGTGTGCCGAGTTTGCGAGCGGACTTGGTATTACTTGTACAAGTTGACACAGCGATTTGTAGATTGGGAGAAAGTTGTATTTTAGCCTAAAGTGCTACAATACTCCGAGAATGTTTTGAGTACCTTGTGTTCCTACATCTTTCTGTTTCTGACAGCTGGCCACAATTTGAACCATCCACATCTCCTGCACACCAATTCATGCAACAAACAAATCCGTGACAATGCTACTAAGAAAACTGTATGTAGGTAACACATAAAAAGCAGAGAACTACCGAAACTGAAAGTGACGTATTCTATCTTCCGGGTCCACCAGAGCGCCATCGAGGCAGGCGTTTAATGCTGCAGAAATGTCAACTACACGAACCCACAATAAGCCAGGACGATCCCTCAAACTTACAGCAATATCCTCCCACTTCTCCCAGCCACGTCCCTGAACCTGAGCAAGCTCAGCAGCGGAAATCTGCTTGCCAGTAGTGAAGTATCCAGAGTTGATCTTAGCATCAATCTCGACGCGCGAGTCACTGGGGATCATTTCTTCGGGGATAGGAATACGCTCGACTATCTCGATGCCCGAGTTCACGATGGCGTCATACTTCATGTTCGACATGGAAAGCATGCGATCGATCTTCTTTATGCCGAGCCAGTGGAGAATATCCGGCATGAGAGCTTGGAAGCGCATCTACAGCGGAGTAAGTAGTTAGTGAGCGAGGCGATGTCTAGGGCAACAGGGATAGGGTCAGGGACAGGAGTGGAACCATACATCTCGAACACCGGCGATGTTCTCTGTCCGGGTGAAGTACTTATCGGCTGTGTCGCCTCCGCGCTTGCGAGCATTGTAGACGAGGTACTTGATCACCTCGCCCAGAGCTCGTCCTTCCTTCCGGAAGTAGATCACTACACCGCTGCCACCATTCTGAGCTTCGCGGATCGCTTCCCGGATACCGAAGGCCAGGTATGGCCTGCACGTGCAGATATCCGACTGGAAGACATCACTGCCGTTACACTCGTCGTGGATACGCAAGGCCAGCTTGACATTCTCATCGGCGATCCGCTCCGGTGGGCCGAAGATGTATACGGTCAGGCCTCCGATCGGGGGCAGGAAGATCTTGAGATCGGGCCGAGTGATCAGCTCCGGGTAGCTGCCGCCGGTATGCTCGAACAATGTCCGACGGAGTGTTCCCTCATCGACGCCGAATCGCTCGGCAACACCCGGCAGATACCAGACTGGCTCGGCAGCGACCTTAGTAACGCGGACTTCACCAGAGGAGTCAACGAGAATCGACCCATCCACTTCAAGCAGTCCATTCTTCACATCGTCGGCAATCTCCGCCAGCTTCATGTTAGCCCGGGTCACCGCCATGGTAGGGCGGATATCCCATCCTGCTTCTAATTCCTCCTTGAACTGGTTAACGATGTCATGGCCATAGGGGTCCATAGAGACGATCTTTGTCTTATCGGCCCAGGCCTTCTGCGAAGGGAAACTGAAGGTCGGCTCGCTGTTGCGGAAATCCGGTCGGAAATCCGCGTCCAAGTCACCTGCAGCGATTGCGAGAGCGTTGTAGATGCTATAGCTACCGCCGTGGGCGCCGATGGCATTTCGGCGCTTGACGAGGTTGCCGCTCCGCGATACAACTACTGGACCCCGGGATTTGGCGTCGGATGCGCCCCACTCGAGTGGAACGGGTTCAATTCCACTTTGGCCTGGGTACGTGGTCAACTACACTCGAATCAGCATTATCTCATTGGTTTCCAACTTCCAGACCATGCATACGATAATGTGCTTGCTGAACTTTGGGGTTGAGGTCGCGGGGGAGGTTGGAGTTGTTGGAGACGGCTGCTGGGTTGGCATGGCTGGCACAGTGGTGGTGATGGGTTCTGTGTTGGTCATTATGCCAAATAGAAGGGAATACAGACAAGGAGAATGAAGCTATGAAGTTATGAAGAAGAAAGAAAAAGGAAGAGAGGGGGAGTACAGGAGTACCCCGTGACTTCTCTCTCCGCATGTTATCGGAGGGGCTTATCTGCACGTCTACTGAGGATATAGATAGTCACGTAGTATTGATAGTATAGGCTAACTAGTATAAAAGAACTAGCGGTCACTATGTAATTTGATGTCAGAGTAGACGTCTCCACCACTGGACACTGATCATCTCCACCGGTTTCCACCGGAGTTCTTCGGAGCTCAATTTGACTGGCCGGAGTAGCGAACACCGAACACTCTTCCACTCACTCGTATAATTGCATCGTTTGATATGCAAAGCCGTAGCCTTCGCATTTGTCCAACTTAATGAGGTAACACATAAACATGCCTCCGTTTGTTTGAATATCCCCAGCTAACCGCCCACAGCACCTCGCGCCGTCGCAATGGCAAACCGGCCTCATGTGAGCCATGCCGCCGAGACAAAGTCCGCTGCGACCATGCATTGCCTGTCTGCACGCGCTGTCGAGACCGAGGAGTCTCGACCCGCTGCTTTTACCACCCAGCTCCCCTAACGCGGGCCAAAGGACGTCGTGTATTCCCATTGGCAGAGGGTGTTCCATTTGATCGAGCTCCATCGATAAGGTGCGTCATTTACGACAGTATTCTTTTATGGTTTTCTTGCGATTGCAGTCAGTTTGTCGATCATGGACTGCCCAATGGTCGGATGTTCTCGCCCGAAGCATTCCTGCAGTTAGCCGTGCGCAGAATGGAGTCTGATGACCGCTTGCCAGAAACCCTCATATGAGTGAAACTTCTTTCAATTCATATATGCCCAATACAGTTCAAGATAGTTCTGCATCCCGCACTATGTCGCGGACTCAGCCGTTACTTTCTGGATACTTCGGCCCAACGAGTTTCGTATCCCCTCTCACCGATGATGTTGACCTAGGGGTTCCAGGCCAAGGCCTAGAAGTGGAAGCCTCTCAGCGAGTCCTTCCACCATACTGGGTACAGAAGATCTCAGAGGTACTATCGACCCTGGGTGATTTCACCAAAGTCGAAGCTTTGATCCGCGAGTATTACGCTCTTAGTCAAAGCGCTGTGATAGCAGCGCCATTCGTGCTGAATAGCCTTGGACCAGTCAGTTCCATGTGCAAGGAGTTTGTCTCAACTCCAAATGTGGATGACTCGACATCCTCACTTACTGTACGTATAATCCAAAACACGGCGGAAATTTTCCAGGTGCCCGCAACGACAAAGGGGAGGGATTTCCATACGCTCTATACCGGTCCGGCCATTCGTCTTGAAATCATTGGGATATTATGCGCCCTCGCTGGTCGGGCGAGATATCTGGGACTCGCTCGTGATAGGTGTGATGGCAAAACATCTCGGACTCAATATGCGCGCAAGATGCTGGCAGCCGGTGATGCTGCGTTGTATATTTGCAAGATCTTGACTCCACTCAATGATCTGACAATATGGTTGGTGCATGAGAATCTCTTGCTGACAGATTTGGTGAATGGCGATTCGAGTACGTCAATTGATCTTACCTGCACCATTAATCCCACTAACAATATCTAGGTCCATCATGCTGGAACAGACTAGGCGAACTCTCAACAGACATCTTTGCGCTCGGTCTCCATCGCGATACCAAGACGTCCCCCGAGCTACCAGAGTTTCTGTTAGAAACGCGCCGGCGGCATTTCACCGCAGCATACCAACTCGACAAAAGCATAGCCACCTTCCTAGGCCGGCCACCTAGAATGCCATGGCGATATGCCGACTGTCGCATGCCTCTGGATATAAGCGACGAAGCACTCGCTACCGACAATATGGTTCTAGATTACTCCCACGACTACATTGATTCCAACGGGTGGAGTCTTCATGGCGTCGTGCAACGGTCATCCTGGATGCGAGTACGTTTCATCGTCAGCACGTTCCGCGATGAGATCTTAGAGGTTTCCCTCCGGAAGATGACGCCTGAGATGGAGGATATGCTGGAGTAAGTCAACTGCTCATCTTTACAATTCATCTTTAGTCACTAACAGAGGGCAGTAATATCTCCCAGCGCTGCCATCTAGCATGGGAAGCCCTACCCATCCATTTACGCTATACACCACAATGCTGGGATAATAACTCACCCGTAGCAGTGTGTCTCATGCTAATCATCTCCTACCTCGCATACCTCTACAACGACTTCCTCATCCAACGACTGATAGCTGGAAAGAACAACCCTCGCGGGAACACAGCGCTCCTTTCTGTCAGTGCAGATATTTTGTCTACAGTCTTGATACTCGGCACGCAGCGCGAGCAAATGCTCGACATACGACCGGATTTCACATGGACGGTACTGTTCGCACAATGTACTTTAAACTCTCGTCTCCTCTAATGTTTATGCATAGGTCCTACTATACGGCTTCCCAAGCGCAAGTCTCCTAATAAAAGCCCTCCAACACCAAAAACGAACAGGGGAACCATTCCTCTACGACGGATCACGGTCCGCGCTGATTCGTAATTTGAGTGTTTTTATCTCTCATCTTGAGTCAATTGTTCGACCGGATAATGCGAATTATGCACTATTTCAGCGGGCAAGCCAGGTATTCTCGAAGATTATAGATGAGATTCTTGAGCCGCAGTCTCTGGTATCGGATTCTAGTCTGAGGGATGCTGCTCATATGGATTTCGAGCCCGTGATTGATGTTGATGGGTTGGATTTGTTTAATAATATGGATTTCGGGGTTGCGTTTAATCAATGGTTGTTTTGAGGATGGTTTGTGGGTTGGGACTGTTTGTGTATATTTTCGTGAGAATAAGAGGGTTCTTTGTATTATATCGATTCGAGAGGCCATGCTGCTCAATGAATCACGTAATTTGATGGAAATTATTAAAATGGACTAGCTATAGCTCAATCGCAATCGGAATTGTTCACCACAGGATACATTATGAGGGGCTTTACCTTATATCGCGCTCCAACAAGATCACATCAAGTGCGCTCAGTCTCGCTCACAGACACCGTCTTAGGCTGGGAAGTAGCATCCGCTTCCGCAGCCGGCGGAGTTGGGTATCCCTGCGGACCGTGGGGAGGATATCCCTGAGGCGGATACCCTTGGGGGGATACCCGGACGGATAAGCCGCCATCGGGGGCACAACAGGACCCGCAGCCCCGGGAGGCGGATACCAAGAACCAGGAGGAGGGTAAGGAGCAACAACAGAGCCAGGGCCCGGTCGAGCAAGAGCAACAGCAGCCGGATCCTTACGACGGAACAAATACTTCAGCCACATGCCCAACTTCCGTCCACCGGACATATCCTTCCAATTCGCCACGAGAACAGCCTGCTCCTCGGGTGTCTTCGCAGGATACTTCTTGACCGTGATGAGGAACAAGCACGACAAGATCGGACACAGGAGAGCGAAACCGTAGGGGAGACCACGTCGGGCTTTCTTGCCGACCATAGCCCTGCGGAATATGAACCAGCTCTCGATCAACCCAATGATGAGGAACAGACCAAACCAGCCGAAGAAAATGGCTAGGCCGAGACCCCATGGTGGGATTCCCCATGTATAATGGCATCCATCTGAACAGCAGTATCCACCCGAAAACTCAGAGCTCCCGAGATACCAGATGAATTTGCTGCAGCCAGCATAGGAAGTTGAATCATCATCGCCGCTACTGTAGTACGTGCTCCTTCCCGAACTGTAGTAACTATCACAAGTCTTATACATAGAAGGCTTGTAAAGAGAACTAGCAGAAGAAAACACACTCGTGGGAATATCATCGATATCCAACAAAGCCATGGTCCGCGTATAGCGGTACGTGTTGTACTGGTAGGTGATCGTACTGGTATACATGCTGGGATGAACAAGATCCTCCGCATCAAGCGGAACGTTGATGGGGATGGCGGTTATGAGGGTCTGGCTTGTAGTGTAGGAACAGGAGGAAGGCGCTGTATATGTGACTGTTGCGTAGTGATTGACATAGTCGTAGCCTGTGTTCTGGACGCCGGCTGTCGGTTCCACGACTAGTTGGATGGCGGTGACGTCGCCGTAGTATGTTTCCGTTGAGGTTATTGTGCTCAGGACGGCTGGGTTGCTCTCGGTTGGTGTTATTACTTCTGTGTAGGTTCGGACTATTGGGTCATTTGTTATGTATACGCCGGTGTAGCCGTCGGCGATGGTTGATTCGACTATTGCGACGTATTCAGTGCCGAACCATGGTGAAGCGAGGGCGAACTGAAGGAGGGCATGTCCCAGGAGGGTGTATGTGGTGAGGTGCTTCATTGTTTCTGGTTGGGCTGGTCTCTGTCGACCTGGGGTGTCGCGAGCAAGAGCCAACAAGAAAGGGAAAGGACGGATCTCGGGATAAAGGAGGCTCCTCCCTCTATATATCCATCCAAACACAACTTTTCGAAGTCCCTGAAGAGGCTCCACCATCTAACTATACCCAATGTAGCCACATCTAACGGAAAAAGCCTTCTCTCAGCGAAAGGAATAAGGTCCAAAGACAGGGCCAAGATTAGGGCATGCTGGAATCGACCGACGAGATAATTTAGGGGAATGTGATTGGGCTGAAGAGACTTGGCATAGGATTATGTTCGGTGACTGCTTGTTAGGGCTCGTATTCAATGGCTTCGGGCGCCGGTCCTTGGCCTGAGCGCGGGTGAATACGAACAGCCAAGCCTTGAGTGGACTTTGAGTTCATGAGCTCGTGAATTTTCACGTAAGGGTCCTGGTGGTAATTTGGTGGAGTCTGTGTTTTAACATCATCTGACCTGTGCTGTGACGAGGTCTGCCCTCCCTGGCCGCATAGAGAGCCAGCGTGTACCAAAAGACATGTGGAACAAAATCGACAGGTGCGAAAAAGAATGCTTGTCTAGATATCAGGTCTGGACAGAGACGATAGAGAAAAAAAGGGGAAGTATAAGGTTTTCCTCGCAGTAGCGAGTTTAATTTTGATATTTGCTAAGCTTGCAGTAGTCCGCTGTACCACTGATAGGAGAAGAAGCAGGTACAACAGTGTATGAAATGGGCTGCAGAGGCAGCGTGCCCGCAAATTGGTATCAATTGTGCCTCCCAGAACCCCTGCCGACCCGCAAAACAGAAGAGAAGACATCACTCTTCGAGACATGGAAACGTGAGATAAGCGGCCTTGGGCCAAGAGTTGAGATTTAGTGGAGGAGCCGATGAATGCGATTGACCCCGATCTTTGGCGCGATCAGTTCTTGAAGCTTGACTGGGCGCGGCTGCTCTTAATGGTCTTTTTGATGATCTCTTCCACCTCATCCCAGTCGTTGGTATCGATACGCTCAATGTTGCATCCGAAGTGCTCTTGGATCTTGCGCAACATCTCCCATTCGCCTCGGTTGGCGACAAATGAAATAGCCACACCGATGCGACCGAAACGACCAGTACGGCCAATGCGGTGGAGATAGGTCTGGTAGTCCGGTGTGCCAGATGGTCGGTTTTGAGCGTACTCCTCGGGAACATCCTGAAAAAAAAGGTCTTAGTATTGATCGGATGAGATATCCGGGGGAAGAACTCACGTAGTTGACCACCAGAGAGACTGTGGAGACGTCAATTCCACGAGCAAGAACGTTAGTTGTGATAAGAACCTTGGCGTCACCGTTACGGAAGGCATCGATGACGGCATCACGCTGCGAGCCTTCAACACCACCAGTGAGAGATGCAACAGTGTGTCCCTCGGCAACCATGCGTCGCTCGATCTCAATAGCAGAGGTACGAGTCTAAATCAGGATCAGTAAATGCGCATGTCTTGGAAAATACGGATACATACCCGAACAAAGATAATGGATGACCCGACGGTAAGTAGTCCGTAAAGCTGGACAAGATTTTGGTACTTTTGTTCTTCATTATCACAATCCATATAGAGCTGCTTAATGCCCTCAACGGTCAACTCCTCGTGCTGTAGGGTGATTTCGTTTGCATTGGGAGCAAATTTGCCCGCGTAACGGTACACATGAGCGGGGAAAGTGGCAGAGAACAGGACAATTTGGACAGTGCGAGGGAGCATACTGAAAGAAAGGTTAGTCAACACTACTGTAAGTGGAATATGCGGAGAACTCACGCCTTGGCACGAATGCACTGGTCTCCCAAGCCTTGCTGGTCAAGCATGTTATCGGCCTCATCTAGAACCAACACCTTCAAATGGGCCGGGTTGAGGTTGCGTCTTTTGATCATATCCTGAACGGTGCCGGGTGTGCCGACCACAACCGAGCAATCCATCTTACCGGTTCGGGCATTGGAATCGGCGGGAACAGCAGTACCAATGACAAGCCCATCAAGGAACTGGCCCATAATTTGAATCACACCAACAATCTGACGTGCAAGCTCACGGGTAGGGGCGAGAATGAGAGCCTGTGGCGAGCTCGCCATTTCCGGGGTCGAGAGATCGAGGCGACTGAGGACATTGAGAACGAAAGCAGCAGTCTTACCGGTACCAGACTGCGATTGACCGACGAGGTTCTTGGGAGGATTGCTCATGAGGAGAGGTAAGGCGCGTTCTTGGACCTTGGAAGGCTTGCGGAAGTTCATGGTGGCGAGACCCTTGAGAATGCGCTCGTCGCTGAAATAGGAATTGAGTTAATTCTAAAATGCGCAATCGCTGCAGCTCCATTGGGGGATCTTACAGGCCAAGATCTTCGAAGCTCTTGACGGAGAACAGGGGGTTGTTGGGATCCGCCTGCAGATCACTCAGCTTGACCTCGACGGTGTAGTCAGGCTCAGCAAGCTCTGAGCCCTTGTGGCCGGCGGGGGCGCCATCCTCATTTCCGGTGCTGGGCGCATCTGTAAAATATGAAATGATTAGCTATCAATCGCAGCCTCGTCGCTGTCACGGCCGCGGGGGACTGGGCGATCAGAGGGTGGGTGTGGTCTACGTTCGTACCGGCAGGCGTCGACTCGTCGGGCTTGGTGATACGATCAGCCAAGGATCCAGCACCCTGGGGGGCTTCGGTAGCTTCAGAAGACATTCTGAAAGAAAGCGACGATTGGCGGGGTGATGTTGGAGATGGCAAGTTGGCGAGGCGGGGTAGATTGAGAACTGGAATGTAATTGAACCACTTCGCTTGGGGTGAGAAAAGCTCAGAGAAGTTTCACAAGAGAAGAAATGTACAGGAGGCAAGGAAGTGCCGCGAGAAAAGGTGAAGCCGAGAGCAAAAACAGATGACGCCCGAAGAACACTGACCCACGCTAGACTGCATTGGGCTGTGAAATGGTATTGTAATGAGCCATCGGTTCAGTAGTCAAAAGCCGCAACGTGGATGTTTCGTATTGTCACAGGCACCGGGCTTCTCCCCGCCTTGGTTATCTGCCTGAATGGTCTCAGATCGCCATCACCATTGTCTCATTGTCTCTTATTGTCTGATTGTCGCGATATTCTTTCACTGCAGCCCTACCCTGTTGATCAGCGCTGACACCCTTTCTCGCCACCCGACCTTCTGTTCCGCCCATTCCATGCGCGTCTGCCTTCCGACCTCAACCCAGCCATGGCTGCCGATGTCGCTCCCCAGTTTGGGGCAGAGCTAAAGGTAGGAATGCCGGATGATTGTCGCAAGAGCTGAACTAACTCATTTAAGGATTCCTTCAAACCGGTCAACAATTGGGTATGTCTTCCTTCCCCGCAACTCCGATGGTCTTGTGCGCGAGTGGAGCTAATGCAAGTATGTTGCATAGGTCTCAAACGGTATATCGTGGGTGGACGAAATCCACCAATTCTATCGCGAGCGCAGTGCTATTGAAAAGGAATATGCGGCCAAGTTAACCGCTCTGTGCAAGAAGTACTATGATCGCAAGTCGAAGAAGATCAGTCCCTTGAGTGTCGGCGATACTCCTACCCTGACTCCCGGATCCCTTGAGAGCGCCTCCTTGACAACATGGACAACACAATTGAATGCGGTGGAATCCCACGCCGCTGAGCGGGACAAGTTTGGCTCGGATCTGGTGGTGCAAGTGGCGGATCCGCTGAAACACGCTGCAGCTCAATATGAAGAGATTCGCAAATGTCATGTCGATTACCACGGCAAGTTAGAAAAGGAACGAGAGGCAGCCTATGGGGATCTCAAGAAAGCCAAGGGAAAATACGATGGTGCATGTCAGGAAGTCGAATCTCGCAGAAAGAAGATGGAGTCGTCGTTCGATCATGGTAAAAGTAAGGCGCAAACGGCATACCAGCAACAAATACTGGAGATGAACAACTATAAGGTATAGTCCGATTTCCCAAAATACCATGCTGTTGCTAACTCACAGACAGAACCTCTACCTCATTAGCATCAACGTGACAAATAAACTGAAGGAGAAGTTCTACCATGAATATGTGCCGGAGATACTCGATGTAAGAATCGAGTCCAGTTACCCCCTACATTGTCAAGTTCGCGACAGTACTAACGTTGTGTGTTAGGGTTTACAAAGCCTCAACGAAACCCGAGTCGCAAAGATGAACACGATGTGGACACTTGCAGCTCAACTCGAGAAGTCATGCCTCGCAAACAGCACTGAGCACATGGCAAATCTCCTTGTCGAAATCCCTCGCAATAACCCCCGACTGGACTCTTTGATGTTCCTCCAGCACAACGTGACGCAATCGCAGGAACCTGCAAACCTCGGCTTCGAGCCAAGCCCGGTATGGCACGATGATGCTTCGATCATCACAGACGAGGCAGCAAAGGTCTTTCTGCGCAACGTTCTGGGTAAAAGCAAAGGCCAGGTCCGCGAACTACGAGTCGAGGCTGATAAGAAGAAGCGGGAAGTTGAAGCTAGCAAGAAGGTCCGGGAAGCCATTCAAAGTGGCAAAGACAATCGAAACGAACTAGATGTAGTGCGCTCAATCTTTTACATGCAAGAGGCGTTGCACGAGGTCGATCGGAAATGGGTGACAGCTGAAGTGGAGACGGCAACAATCATGGCAGTGGCCGGAGATTTGTCGTTCGGTGCCCAGAACCATAACTTCCGCTCCCAAACATTCAAGATCCCGACAAACTGCGATCTTTGCGGCGAGCGAATCTGGGGATTGTCCGCCAAGGGCTTTGATTGTCGCGACTGTGGATACACCTGCCACAGCAAGTGTCAAATGAAGGTGCCAGCCGAGTGTCCGGGTGAGCAATCAAAGGAAGACAAGAAGAAGCTCAAGGCTACGCGGCAAGAACAAGCCGGTGCCATGCCTGCTATTGATATCGATTCACCTACTGCATCCGCTCGCCCCACATCACTTACACGGCAAAACACGATGAATTCTCTAAGCTCCGGATATGCGGCCAGTACGACTCGATCAGTGTCCAACGTGGCTTCTCAACCTACTCCAGAAAACCCAGAAGAGGAGGCTCCCACTCCTGTCGCGGAGACCAAGCCAGCTGCCGCTAAGAGGCACCGCGTCCTTGCGCCTCCACCGACAGCATACATGGCTGCACCTCCCCCAACCGAGTCGAGTTCAAAATCTAAAGAGCCGCGCGGCAAGATGCTCTACGCTTATCAGGCCACCGGCTCGGATGAGCTTACTGTAGAAGACGGCGATGATGTTGTGATTGTCCAAGCGGATGGTTCGTCCCGTTTCCCCTGCATAATTCCACACAAGCTAACATTTGCGCAGATGGATCTGGATGGATGCGTGTTCGCACCGGAGGAAACGAAGGTCTCGTTCCGACTGCATATGTAGAGGCCGCCCCAACACCTTCCCCCGTGCCATCCCCCAGTCCTGCCATGACCGACCGGCCAGGCTCTGTCTACTCCAACTCATCCGCATCACTTGCCGGCAGCGCAGCACAAAAGCGCGTCGGTCCAGCCGTTGCACCGAGAAGAGGAGCCAAGAAATTGCAATATGTCGAGGCATTGTACGAATATGAAGCCCGCAGCGATATGGAATGGAACATGGCCGAAGGAGATCGATTTGTTCTCATCAACAAGGACAGCGGTGATGGCTGGGCTGATGTTGAACGGGGTGGTGTCACTAAGAGTGTTCCGGCGAACTACATCCAGGAGGTGTAGACTCGGGCGGATGTATTGTATGGATCGCTAACATACATTTTGCGGCGGGTATATCTCGTGCGTTCTGATCCAGAGCGGTTCGATGTTGATATTCTTCATCTTTTTGTACAGTCGGCATTATTAGTGCCGTTGCCTTTTTCGCATCAGCAAGGAGCATTGGGGGCATTCGTGCTTGGCATCCATTCGCGAGTCTTGGATATAGCATAGGAAACGTCGTTTTGCTCCGTGAATCTCCATCAATCTACTATTGTTCGATAGGGTCATGGAATCTGACATTAGTGTAGCCTGAAGTCCGAGACAAAGGGTTGCCATCTTTACCACCCTTTTCACATTTGATGCACCCCAACCATCCTGCAGAGTAAACCCAATGGATCAAAATCATCAATCATCATGCGAATTTCATTCGAGTGGCTCGCAAACCAAACCACTCGTGTTATCGAAGCACAGGAGTAATGCCCATATCTAGATGTTCAAACCCGGTCTCTGGCGACCACATATACCTCGACCAATCCTCAACATGAAAGCCTTCTTCAACAGGTGGCAATTCCACATCCATGCTCATATCCACATCATCCAAAGAACCCAACCCGATATCCCCCAACGCCAGCGCAGGGTCCAGCGGGAATTCAAAGGGGTTCGCCCCTTCGAGCGGACTAACCGACGGCAACGCCTGCCCAAGCTGGGCATCTGAAACCGCCGACGACGAAGGGAGGAGGGAGTACGCAGAATCAAAAAGCGCCTCCGAAACAGCGGGATAATCAGCCAAGGAGCTAGGAGCGGAGTTCGAAAGCGGAACATGAGATCCAAATCCAGCCAAGGCAGTCTCGCTCGACACAGTCAAACCCGCCTCCGGGAAAGAACCGCGCTGCTGAAACGAGACCTCAGCCCCAGATACTGACCCAGACCCAGATGTCTCAGAACCCGACCAATCGCCCGCTCCAGCAGCATCATAGTAATGAGAAACAGTACCCTTAGCCGACAACGAAGCCGACGACCCAGCCCGAGAAGGCCTGCCCGAAGCCGAGACCGACCCCGATCGAGAACCCGACGCCGACTTGGACTTCGACTTGGCGACGACTGGGACGGTGGTCGACATCGTGGAAACCGACGCAGCCCTCCCACCCGGATCGGGCCCGGGACGAGGCGCTATAGGAAGGAAACCGGCCGTGTTATGATGCCGCGGATAGAGTCTCCCGTTTGGGGCTTTCTAGAAAAAAGAAGCATACAGCATCAGCACCATATCGTCTGCGATATTTTGTCTTCTTTCATGTGCCGAAGATATGGCTTCCGAGGCTGATGTTTTGTGTTTGCGTTACTTTTGAACATTTGAGCTCTGCGTCGCGTTTTGCGCGCGCGTGCTCGGTTGGAGCTGTGCAGGGCGTTGCATTGCAGATTGTGCAGGTTGCAAAGGGCCGGCCTTTGCGTTTTATGCGGATTAATGGTCGATCTGGAGGGTTTGTCAGATGGAATGTTGGCGATGGTAGAATAGGGAGTAACTATGTATTGTGTTATGTGTACTCACCATGATGTTTGCAGCTGGTCACACGATGGCCTCGTATGCAAGCTTCACAAGCCCACTTTTGACCGTCGATCAGCATCCCTCGTTAAGATGAGAGTGCAACATGGTGGACGGGACCAGCCTTTATACCCTTCCCGCTGGTCTAAGGTGAGATTGAGGACTATGACATAGGATGACACGGGATTTCCCTTTATTTCTGTGTGTCGCGAGAAACTTGGGTTCGCATTATGATTCGACTCACAGCCACAGAATCGAGTGGGTGGGACTGGCTCATGCAGACAAAGGTCGGAACCATTTCGTCTATTCCGTTCCGTCCTCATGGCGTGGAAGCTTGGGCCAGAGTAGAATGTGGCTGCAGGGTATGAGGTACTTTCTGCACAGGCACGGGCGTGGGTCTGTCAAGCTACTACCACAAGAAAAAGGACTTTGGGTCGGATGGAGTCAAGCTGCTAAAGAAAATGATCTATAGCCAGCACTAGTCTCGTGGAAAAGTAGCCCGGGAACCGATTTTCTCTGAGGTATGAGGGATTTTCCCACCTCGGTAGATGAATTTTCACTTGAACTACAACCAGAGCGGAGATTGACACCGGAAAAATCCCCAGGAGACAATTTCCCAGATACCAGGTCATAGCAAACTAAAGAGACCAGCTGGCAATGTTCCCGGGCTACTTGATCGGTGCTAGATCTTGGCGAGAAATGCCTCATACATTTCGGCTAACCGGTGCTCCAACTTATTTTTCGGGCTACTTTGTTTCCAGTTTACCGAATGTTGAAACGTGGAACAGCCAACTCCTCGAATTGAATACCTGTTCAATATAACAATTACTCGGCAGTCACAACGCCCGTTCCACCATGGGGCTGGTGAAATCGTGGATTGATGCTAATGCACGCCGAGACACACAAGCCAACCATGTCATTCACAGTCACATCTGCATCTGGAGGTGGCTGTGCTGAACCTCGCTTAGGTGGCGTCGCACTGTACCATTTCCTGTCAAACGCAGGAGCCTCGAAAATTGGACTGTTTCACCACAATATTATTCGTAACGTACATGGACTCTGGTAGGCAACCACAAAACTATACCGCCACTCTCCAATTTTTAGTTATGTTTTTCTTTCCCTCGGCCTCACAGTTTTTACACTGTAAAGAGATAAGCAGAATTAAGGAAAATTAAGCTCCACCATACTCCAATCATAGTCGCGTGAATGAAAACACCGATCAGACCCGCGAGAGCCGCCGAGCTGCCATAGGTGATGTGCCCCACTTGGGTCTAGTATGCGCCATTTTATACCTGAGGCATTTTCCTTTTCCAATTGTTGTTCCTTGCCGGTTGCTCACCGTTCAATTAAATCCCGTTGCAATTTGAAAAATTCTGTCGCCTGCTGGAGCGTCACAGCGGGTTGGAACGACGGTAACCGTGAGATGCCCGCTAGGAATGTGGGCATTCTTTTTGTTTCTCCGTCGGTGTGAAGAAAGTACCGGTTTCTTTAGTTTCTGTCCGCGCACAGTATATCCTACACGTGAAAAGAACCATATACGCAGCCCGCGGAACCCGTTCTTGTTCACGGATTCAGGATACTTGAGATGACTGTACTCTCTTCGGGTCAGATTCATCCTAATCAAAGAAACAAGTATCTGTGAGCATGGTTCTTGTCGGTTTAACAACCTGTTAGTAAAATGGTACATGCTGCAGAAACTGACCTTCCAAGGGGATTCACAAGATACCCTGCTTGTTCCACGCGCAGACTTGGTATCTAACTGGACGCATTAAGCTTGAGAACTCGCGCTTATATGTTGCTGCTTAACATTATTTTGGGCACATGTGTCTCGAAGTTCCTCGGTCGCTGGCAACGAACAGGTGGAATCTGAAAAAAAGAAATATTTCGAGAAGAAAAGACAAACGACAAAGGGAACATCGCCCACATTTATATCCCAGAACTTCCCGGGGTTGTAAATTGCTATCTGTTAATGAGGCCGGAGAGATTACATGCTGTTCGCTATCATATATTGCTCATATGCTGTCTATTTTTGAATCCAGGGAGCCTATGGCAACGGTAATTCCCTCTTCGGATACCGGGTTTACTAAATGCTTGATCCTGGAATCCTTTTGTCGCATTAAATTATGTTTGGATCCATCATGGTCAGGTATAGGTACCTGGCATTTTGGCACGAGAACATTACTTTTTCGTTTTTCAAAATCATATGCCAGCGAAGGAATTATTGCCTGATTGAGCAACACCTCACGAAAAACTGACGCGACCGGTATGTTATCACTAAAAAAATAGGCACGATTGACGGCTTTCCTTTCCGTATTAGGAAGTCGGGTCAATGTACAGTACAGGGTCACGTCCATCAGCAGCAACCCCAAACAACAAGCTTACTCAGACAAAAGAAGAGAAACGAGACACGAGGGAAAAAAGAAGCATCGAACACGAAGGAAGGAGAGAAAGACAAATTACCCTGCCCAGGCGAGGTACGTATGCCCTACGCTCGTTGATCTTCTGGGGCGCCGGTCCTGGGCAGCAGGGCTACCCGAAGCGCGTAGTAGATGCCTAAGCGTGGACATCAATCGTTTTGCTCATTTTATCCTTAATTTATGTCACACTGGCGATGACTATGATCTACCAACCTCACTATGCAGTTTCTTAAGTGAACACGCACTCATGCAAGTGGCGCACCATGTGTCACAGTAGATCAATTCTGGCATAATTTACATATCAAATCTTGATTAGAAGATCAGTATCGCATCTGACCGACATTTGCCCACTGCCTAGCCAAGACTTGGAATAGTATTAATTGAGTGAAGTCATTTCTCGAATCAAAAAGCGATATACAGCGTGTAGATACATCGACTTACGCAGAAACAGGGGACTGCATCCACTGTCCCGTCTTGGGGTCCAAACACTCCCTCTCCGCATCCCTCCACTCACGAACAACCAGCTCCGCCCTCTCTTTCGATCTTGCAGTAATCTTCGCCGGGAACTCCTCAGGCATACACACAAACCCCTGCGTCAACCGATCCGGATCAGGTAAGATCGGACTCCCCTTACTATCCACCTCAGGCGCAATATCGAAAGCCCATAAGATCCGCGAAATGCCAAGAAACAGGCTACGCTCGGCAACATGGATTCCTGGACAGATACGCCGCCCTGCACCGAAGGTGAATACATCCCGCTTTGAGGGATCCGGGTTGGCTGCTGCATCGCTGAAACTCTGGCGGTCTTCATAGTACCGATCCGGATTGAATGTTCGCGGGTTGGGGTGGCGCTTTGGATCCATGTGGATACCCCAGACATTGTTCAGGACTCCGGCTCCCTTGGGGATAAAGTAACCCTTGTATTCATCATCCTGGGTTACTGCATGTGGAACGGCTCCGAGTATGGTTGTTGGCATCCATCGGACTGTTTCTTTCATACAAGCTCGTACGTAATGCAGCTCAGAGAGATCTTCCATGACAGGCAGGCGGTTTGGTCCGACGAATCTTTCGATTTCATTTTGGGCCTTCCGTTGGACATCGGGGAATAGGAGCATTGCTTGTACAAAGGCGTACAGTGTACTTGATGTGGTGTCTGAGCCGGCTTCAAGGAGGGTTCCTGAGATGTAAGCGGCCTGGTCGTCGCTAAATTCATCTTGTTTTTGTGCCTCGTACATTCCCGCACAGAAGCATGGATTTATTGTGTTTTGTCGAATCTGTTCTTTAGCTTGTAGCCAGTGACCCAGGTATAACGCTTTTTCGTGCTTATGAAGCTCCTTCGCTTTCCTTTGTGTTGGGAGTAGGAAGTCGGGAAGGTATCGCAACCATGGGAAGAAGTCAATGATTGCAGCTGTCCCAGTTTGATTGATTTCTGCGAATTCAGAGAAGCCGTTGAAAAGTTGAACGATCTTCTCGTCCTCGTATGTAGGTGTGCGCCATCCAAAGACCATCGTGGTTGTGAGGGCATTGGAGTATCGACGAATGTGTTTGAGGAATCCTTGGGGTTGTGTGAGGAGCTCATATAGCATCTGTCGGTTCTCTAGCATCTGATACGGTACGTATTTCTTGGAGGTGGTTACATTAAGCAAACCGTGGACCATTTTGCGGAACTAATAGCACGTCAGCGTTGAATGTTTGAAAGATGAAATTCCATATCTTACCCCACGCCATGTTGGCCCGTAAAACTTGAAACGTTTTGTTAACCGCACATTTTATACTCGGTGCTGCTTTTCAAGACATACCATCATCAAGAGTCTCAAGTTGCCACTGCACAATGTCTGACCAATATACATCTCCGGTCGATGTGAGTATAGACCGCTTCGTTTATCGAGAAGTTCTTTGACTGCCTCGTCGCTCGAGAGTACAATCAGACACTTGGTGCCTAGAATGAGACTATATATCGGGCCGTACTCCCGTGCCCATTTCTCAAACTGGATATGAGCGTTGTGGGATGGCATCTGGAGGAAAATCTGTTAGCCAGTATCTCGTCTTAGATATTTATATCAGTCACCTGGTGTATATTTCCCAAGAGAGGCAATGTTGGCGGACCCGGAGGATAGTTTCTTGGTCGCTGTCCGATTCTCAAGACACGAAAGAGAACAACTGCAGCAATAGCTGCTCCTAATAGCACCGTAAACGGCTGCATCTTGGGTGTATTGATATTTAGTTTCAGGCTAGGGTTTGTCGAATCCAAATTCTTGAGTCCTGACCGCTATTCCTTTCATGTCTCTTCTTATATATATATACACTCACTGTCACAAGCCTGTAAAATATCCGATGTCACCTGGATGATGTCTATTGTGCCTTTGACGTCGGAGTTCGATGTGGGATACTTGCGGGCAAAGTGGGTAGCGGAGTGGGGGTGGGGGAAGATGGAAGATCAACCAAGCATTGATGCGAAACAGACAAACTTATTTTTATTGATATCGAGGTGGTGGTGGGATTGCAGTGGGCTTGACATTGACCACTTGTTCTCTACGGCCGCGCCTGCAGGAACAAATCAAGCATCCAAATATGAGCAGTAACGAAGCTCCTCCAATACCAGCAGCAAGTCCAATAACCAGCGAAAGATGATTTTGAACCCAGGATGAGACATCACCACTCGGCCGGCCATTTCCCCAGGTTCCTTGTCCAGTGTTTCCATTGTTGCCAGTATTTCCAGTATTTCCAGTATTTCCATCATCCGTCTGATCACATCCATCTCCTCCTCGCCACTGGCATGTCACAGAGTCGCAACACTGAGTCTCTTGTTCGTCACAGGCACCATTTCCACAGTCGCATGCCTCTCCAGCTTCAACAACGCCATTTCCGCACTGTCCGTTATTACCAGTGGTATTGCCGGTCCGAGAGTCCACCAAACATCGGCCGTCAACCCGCCCAGAGCCAAGCCGCGAACAGACATTTCCAATCGTGCATGGCGAAAATCGCGTCATACCAGATGCAGATACGGGGTTCATGAGGTACTGTCCGCCGGCATCACAAGCACTTGATGAGAGCGGGCAGCATTGTGTCGAGTCGCTTCCACATGTACTTGAAGTGCAGTCGTGGACTGCTCCGAATGTATGGGCCGACTCGTGACTTTTCTGTCAGCTAAAGACATGATCGCCTTGTGAGTAACTGGTTTGATAACTTACGCAAAGACTTGCCACTCATTTTGTGTTCGAGCAACGACATTAGCACTGGCTCCGCCATAGCTAGAACCAGAACCCGTGTTGCACAGTGCTCCAATCCATGACACCCCAATCTCCCCAGCAGAGACTGAACATCCAGTCAACAAGGTCCAGTATGCGTTCTCGTCGTTCACAGAGCTTCGCCACGTTGAGAAGGTCTGAAGGCGCGTGTTGAGATCTCCCTGTGAACATGGAACATTCCATGCCGTCGTGTCTGATACACTGCTCGGGCATTCAGCGTCACTGATTGTCAAATTCTGTACGGCAAGAGAGATATTAAAACTGTTCTCGAATACCACAGATGCAGTGTTGATCATATTCAGAATGTATCGATGGGCAGAGTCGGAGGAGTTGAAGCTTGCAGTGTAAGTACAATCCGTCATTATACCAATGTATGCAATCTCTCTCGTGTCTGGACAGCCAGAAGTGCTGCCGATATTTGACGTGAGGTCATCGTCACCCCAAGCATTCCACACCTGTCGCTTATCCAAGTGTGTTTCGGGTGCAGTTGCGCAGAGCGAAGGGAGTGACGATCCGTTGCCAGTTGAGAATGCCGATTCGTGTTCGTGGGCTATTATCTCAGTAGATCCATCCTCGCGGGTGTTGAGCTCAATGGCATAGTGCGAGCCCATCATTGTAAATGCACCATCGAAGAGCAGGCTCTCTCCGTCCTCGATTACGGCAAGTCTTGCCCATCCGACATTCTCCCGACTCCCCCGAAGAGTGTCCTGCATCCAGACTGACCCTTTTGTAAACCGAACTTGAGTGTTCGGTAGAGCGCCTGCATCATTAGCATGTCCGTGGACATCAGGATATCGGATTTGCACGTCTTGTGATACGAGATCATCATTGTTTTCTAGAACGAAGTCGATGGTTTGGTTGTATGTCTCGATCCAAGCGGTGATACTGAATTTCTTTGTAGCATTTAATGGAGAGAGGATTGGGTCGATAAGACGAAATGACACCGGATCAACTGGATGAAATAGTCAGGCTTATGTTTAGCTGACACTGCTGAAACACATTGTATACTTACATCCGAGGGCCGATGTCAGCACAATAAAAGCAAGCAATACTAGAATAGTACAGGACAAGGTCGGCTTCTTCATCCCAGTTGTTATACTTTGTCTTCAGCGAAGTATGATTGATTGCCCGATAAGTGATGATGATGTGCAGTGTTATATAGACTCTGTCTATGAAGATTATGCCCCACCGCCAGGTGTCTCGTCTCATATGAAGTCTCTGCCATAGCCAAGATGTAAGCAAAGATCCATAGCTAATGAGTATCAATAGACCAAAAGGCTTTAGGCGAGCCTGTCTAAGCCCCCCAGGAACTAAGAACGAAAGACCCTTGCCAAGTATGGAAAAGCGAATAGGTGAGTGTTGGACGCGTGGCTAGAATAAGAACCACATAAGACCCATGGATGGCCGATATTTGGCTGCCTGGGATCTAATCTAAACGAAAACGAAATGTGCAGTTTGATCTATAAGAATGTGCATTTGTAATCTTAGTGCGGACTTTCACCGTGAGCTTGACTCTGTGGTATGATGAGCATAATCCAATCCGCTGTGGAGACCTTGGCCTGTCAGCCACCTGCATCAATACTCATCTTGAAATGCTGCTGCCTTCCTCAGCCACGATCGAGATCTTAGTTCGGGTCTAGAAAACGTCAAGCTAAGGTAAACCCTTCGGATGATGTCGATCTGCGGGTCTGTCGCAAACTGCCGATTAGTCGGTAATCTCGTTTACGTTGGGTTTGGCGTAAGAACTAGCTGGACTTACCAGGGCGCCATAGATTTGTCTTAGAGAAAGAGAAGTGAAGCTGGTATCTTAGGTCAGGCAAACGGATTGAGAGAGACATACTGGTTCTACGCTTGATTCTTCAACAAAAACCAACATTAAAAAGCCAATTCTGGAAAATCTTCTGTGATTTGAACAATCATCCCGGGTTTATCAAGGGATCCAATTGAGTGCCATATTTGAGACCCTCTGCCAAACATCTCCGCTGTCAGCATCTCCGGCAAACGGTACTTAACTCCGTGCCAAGGCCCCCAGCCACCATCACACGTTATCTTCCAACAAGCGCCAAGAAGGATCCTCAATGCTGATCTACCAAGTCTAACCGGCTTAAGTTCGGAAATCTTAAATATGTTTGTACTGTAGTAGAGGAAACCTTTATGATTTCATGACCCCCAAGATTAGAGTTCTTCTTCCTTCAATCTAATAAAGGCTCAAGGAGCTGCTCGCAATACTACACGACCACGAAGCTGAAACATTTCTCGATTCCTTTTAAGAACAAGTCTTTGTGACCGATTGCGTTCTAGCGATATGTATTTTCGGTCGTTGTCCACGGTGCTTTTTGTGTTGCTTCTGAGTCTACATGCCATGTCCGCGACTATAAAAGTGAGGTCTACGCAAGACTCCGAGACTGATGCCACTCTCCAATCAACAACTCACACGGAGTTGTCATCGCCACCATCAGAGAACGACCCTTCGGTGGAAGTCGCCGCCCTCCACTCTAGGTCCAATCGCAACAATGCACTTGACGAAACTTACGATACCGATACCGATGCCGACGCTTCGAGAATAAACTGGAGAGAAGATGAGGTCCTCAGACTCGAATCAATGCGCGAGGCTGGATTTCTTCCAAGCTCTTACGAAGAGGACGAGTGAGTTTGTATCTAATTCTTTGGGGATCTACCAACCTCTAACACAACTTACCACTAGTGAATACCCATCCTCGTTGGACTACTGGCCTTTACTTCAGCTCTGTGTGGTTTCAGCAATAGTAGTGTGTATTCTCAAGATTTTGAGAGACTGCAGGAGATGACACTGTTTAATACTTGAATATGTATATATTCGAACATTTGGATTGCACATCAACTTTGCCGCATCATAAGCGTGGTTCAAATCTGAAATGTCTGAAATCCCGTAATAAGGTCATTGACTTGCCGCATGCTAGTCTGATCATAATGATTCAAGATTGGATCAAGCGGTCCCTCATCCAGTAGCTCCAATTCACTCTCCGGCTGTGATGTACCGAGTACAGCCAGTCGGTCTGCCATCAGGTTGGCCAAGAGCCAGTATTCAGGGGCGTAGCGGCAGAACCCCATTCTTCTCCACAGGTTTTCAGGCTCAATATGGCTATCTTCTATGGTAATAAATGGAAGGATCCCTAGGCAGGATATCGATGAGAACGACAGCCAGATATCGCGCCAGTTGCTAAGGGCGTTGCTTATCGGAGTGAGCAGCTGAAAACTTCCCACTGCGCTGCGGAATTGGAATATTTGAGAGTGGATGGCTGAAATACTAGCTATTAGTGGGAATGATCATCGTTGGCTTGTGGAACTCACCGGAGGCTAATGCAAATAGAACCAACGGGCCGAGAGAAGAAACCGTGTGGCGCAATTCGAAGGAGAGGTTGTCTTTGCACAGGGATTCGAACGCCCCACGGAATGAGACTTTCCAATACAAGCTTTGTGTAGGCAATGAGAACTGGATTTGCTGGTGGCATTGGTCTGCTGTCGTGGCTTGGAAGCAGGTTTCCGGCATTGCCATGTGCATTCTCATTTCTTTTATCACCATACGTGGCGGCAGATTGTTGAAAATCACAAATGCCGTGTCGAGTAGGAATATCCAAGTAAAGACTCTGTATTCTGTTAGAACCAACTTTATCCTCTTAGTACCAGGTCCGAACTCACCGTATGAGCTCCTCTTTAGCTGCAAATTCTCTCCATTCAAACTCGGGCCGTCCTTGCTCACTATAGATTTGATGCCTTGCAGTTGCAATGCCAATATCTCGTGCGGTCTTTGGTAAGTTAGCACCATTCTCAAAAGGAACAGATGCAAGCACGTACAGAAACAAGAGTCGCAAAGCGATAGCGTCGAATGCGGCTTTTACTCGCATCCGTGCCCTCCCAGTTTTGATAGAGGCACACTATATAAGCGGCCTGCAAAGCCTGTATCTTTCGCTTCTGGTTGGCCATGCCCCCAGAAGGTGAATAGCTCAGTTCACTATTGAAGTCGTCGTCGATAAAGACCATCTCTTCAACGCAGTTGAGCCAAGTTCGCGCATCTTCATTGTCCAGCATGTCAGGTGAAACACAGGCACCTCAGAGAAATCAGTTCCTGCAGTTATCATAGTGAAGTACGACTTACCTATCAGGGCCATTGCTGCCAAAACTGTCGGCTTCGCTGCTAGTGGGTCGAAAGTAGGCCGGTGCACAAAGTTCACATTAGGATGCCATATTGCCCAGTAAAAGCCCAAGAACCTCCTCAAATTCGGGGGTGAAAAGAAATGTAAGCATGCATCTTTCAGTGCTGGGGACCAATCTAGCGTGACAGAGCTGTTGCGAGGCTTTACCATTACCACTTCTTCAATTAATAGAAGAATCTCATGTGTCTTTAATGAGAGTGGATCGTTCAACCAGTCCAGTGGAAATTCATCCTTGAGGCTGTCATTACTGGTATCTTCTAGTATTGAAAAAGATGGGATGACCGAGCCAAAGTCTGGCAGTAAATCGAAGCTGGATATAGTTGCTTGGGTTGCTTGAGGGACTTGCGACAGGAATTCCCGCTCTATGCTGGCAGCCACTCGTTCTCGTTGCTCATGTGTGCCACAGTCAAAACTCATGACTAGGCCGGTGTTGCTGGTGAATTTGTCTAGAAAACGCAGCGAGTCCCGATTGCCAATGTTCGATGCCGAAGCTTCAGATACCACATGGCTTCCTGGACTTAGATCCAAGAGATGCTGCCAGCTCGGGCTTGGTTTCTGGGCAGGACATGGATCAAATAGTGTATCAACTGGACTCGTCCCAAAGATTGGCAGGTCCTCGGTGGCTAAGCCCCACGGCATCATCATATTTGATGGTGGCATGTGGTCTATCGACTGACTACCGATGCTCCCGGCACTTGATGCCTTTCTTTTACCAGGAAGATTTGACTGTATTGCAGAACCCGGGTTGGTCGGATACCAACATGCAGCGCCTCTCTTAGCACAATTGAGACATGGTTGATGCGAGCTACATGCCTTTTTCTGTCGGACGCAGCGATCGCAGGCGCGTCTTCTGGGACTTCCTCTTGAATTTCCACCGTCACAAGTCCTTAAGTGGCGCTTCAGCACATCAGCCCGTTGAAAGGCCCCGTCACAAGATGTACATTGGTGAGGCCGCTGTAAAGTATGAGAGCTGAAGTGGCGAAAGAGGTGCTCACGTCTTTTGTACCGCTTGAAGCACACTGAGCACTGATACTTTTGAACGGAGTCGGAAGTCTCCGTTGGAATATCTGACATTGTTGAGAGATGCTGGTCTAAGTCCGGGGAAGTTGTGGGAGGTGTGGGGTTATTAGAGTTTGGCGCGGATGTGATACTCGGTAATTGACGACTCATTTATATGTGCCTTTAAAGCCCCATTCTTGCTCATGTAGACTTTCGGCATTTGATGTTTCTCGGTCTCTATGGGATAAGTTTTAGGAGACATAAGAACAAGGGAAGCTTTAGGGTAGAAATTTCGAAGACAACTGGGTAGTTCCACAAACTTATCAACATTTCAGGTTCAAATATGAAGCTTGAATAGTTTCCTTCCCTTTTGAGTCCTCAATATGGATCAAAAAATATAACGGAAATTTGGGTTCTCTTTATCTGTCATGTCTTCCAGTGTGCCCACACAGCGCTCATTGCTAATGCCCTGGCTTTCATCTCTTCTTTTGTTCTCGGATCGCAAATACCACCATAGCAAGGCCACACAGATGACTTCGAGCAAGTCAGACACAACCATACTCCATATACCCAGCGAGTAGGCGGGAGCTTGGTTAGATTTGTAAAAGAAAGGACCGGCAATGTTACCCACACAATAACCTATAAAGAGGATCCCGCTTGCAGTCACCTTTTTGGTATGTCCAGCGATATTGGCAGTGGTCAAGGATAGCAACATCACAAATGACGCGTTGTAGGAGCCAGTCAGCTATTACTGACTGTTAGTTGGTATTCCAAGACCAAAGAGTTGAAGAAGGGAACTTACATAGTAGCATATAAGGCGACCTACCCTGGCGCTTTCTGGCACGAACCGAAGGCCAAACGCAGCAGCAATATTTGGTGTGAGGAAGATCAGTAATATAAGACATCTGCTGTTTGGTGGCATCTTGCTATTAAGCCAGACACAGGAGAGGATAATAATAGAGATGAAGATCCCGTAAGGGATCTGAAGCAGAGTAGTTCCCACTGCCAGCAGTCAGTGATACGTCAATCAATTGTCTTCCATAAATAAAGCCTTACGCGTTGAGAAGCCAAACCCTTTCACGATCATTGTACCAAAATTGGTGACTCCTCCATTCACGATAGCTTGTAACAAGGCAATGAGGAAGAAAAAGAGAACTTTGACATCCGCCAGTGCTTCTATGAATTGGTGCATTTTGAAATGCCGATTTTCAATGCCCGTTTGATTCTCACGAAGCCTGTCAACCATAATCTTCCGCTGTGACGGCGTAAGATAACGAGTCGTGAGTGGTGAATCAGGAAGTACCACTAGCATGACGATTCCCCAGAAAATGCATAGAGCCCCAATGATTATAAATTCGTACTGCCAGCTGGGGGGGGAGCCTTTTATTTGGCCGATTCCGTAACCAAGGACACCACCACCCGCAATGCCCAGGCCTAGAGAAGAATACCAAAGACCGATTCGAAGGGGTTGCTCACTTCGCTTATACCACATGCTGGTGACAATCATAAAAGAAGGATCAGCGCAGGCCTCCGCGGCACCACTGAGCCCCCGGAGTACGGCAAGTGTTGCAAAGTTCTTCGAGACGGCTTGAAGGGCAAGGAAGACACCCCACAGAATAATATTCACGCCCATATATTTCGCAGTCGGGAGTCGTTGCATAAGGAGATTCGTTGGTAATTGCCAGGTCAAAAATCCAAAATAGAAAATCGAGGATAACCAGCTGTACTGGTTACCGACGAGATGCAAGTCTTCGTTGATTCCAAAAATTGCCGCATAGGAAAGAGTGGTCTTGTCAACCTGCTCAAGCAGTCAGTATACTACACTTACTATCCAAACATCTCCTCGGAAGGGCTGAAAGGAGGGCCACGGACATAGAAGAAGATATAGCACACAGATAGAGAGGGAAGTATGATCCAATCTATTTTGCGAACGAGTCGTTTCTCCTCCACGGGATCGATGGGCTCCTGAATTTCGTCTACAAAACCCTTGAGGGACGCATCTTCAGCATGGTCCACGCTCTGTTTATTTCCACTCTCGGTCTCCATTGTAAATCTTGGCTTGTCGGGAGGGTTCAGGTATTCGATAGAAGACCGCTTTTTCTGCAAACTGGCAACAGCCCGTACCCCGGAAGTCAAAGGTAAGGAATAGTAATAGTGGGCCAGGTTAAGCATTAGTGAGGAAATGCGGGGGACAGGGTCCCGGATATAGGGTATATTATTCCAGTCTCAAGGAAGCCTTTTGCGAGATTTATCCGATGCTTATCCGAGTTTTACTCTGGGTAGCCGAGAAGAATCCTTTGGAACACTTCAATCCGAATAAGCTCAAAAGTATATGATCAATATAGAGCATAATCTTTGGCTCCCGGATAATCAAGCGGTAACTCATACCAATTGGCATTTTGACTCAATGGCTTTTAATAACCCAAATATTTCTTGATCTGTTACTAGCATCGAAGGTAGTGCCAGGATGTGTCAGAAGTAAATCCGGAACTAAGAGCGAATATCACTTAAATAACAATTTGCATGTATCATTTCGTTGCCTATAAATACCGCAATAGCGACGTTCTGATCACCGGTGATCAACTGCTGGATATGTCAACCTTCCAAAGAGTAGGCCCAGATAAGTCAGTTACTGCCGCAAAGGTGTTTGATCTGTCCAAGAAATAATTCACATTTATCTCATCTATGATAAAGCAGCCATATTTCGATGTGATATTACGTGTGCTTAATTAAATGCCAACAATATTTAATCTATGTTCGTGCTCGAAGCTAACGCGGCAAATTTACGCTTCAATATCCGATCGGCCTCTGCTCAACACCAGTATCTTCTCTATGGCATTGGGCTACAGTCGGAGAGTCCATGGTGGTTTAATCTCTGACCTATGGTCTATCATGGACGCGGCTTTCGTCTCGGATTACTCTGTAGGCACCGGCAGCTCTGAGATGGCGGATAAGCTCTCCTCTGCTTTCGCGGAGGTGGCTGCTTCTGCTGAAGCATCTGTATCAGCAGGCCCGCATATCACGTACATGTGGATTGTCAAGGGCTGTAATTATGGATGCTTGCGCCAGAAGACTCTCGTGGAGGATGCCTATCCTGTCCCTTCCCGCCCGTGTATGGTTGTATGGGATGATCTCGCCAATCTTGCTCGCTATAAGCTCGCAGATGCCGTGTTCTACCATGTATGTTACGAGCGGGTTGCGGTGAGCAGATGGCTGCTATCGCCGTTCTTGGTGTGTTGCGCAAGACTGGGTTGATCTCGGGGCGGACTTCACCTGCGGAGAAGTTAGCCACATCATTCCTTCTCTGACAAGGGAAATTTTAGATGAAGGGTCGCTAGCAGAGGTTTACTCACGCTTGGTTAGTGCTATTATCTGGTATCGGGAGAACGATCCTTATAACCCAGCAGCTCTCTGCCTCCTCTTCACTCACCGGTAGCAGGTCGCTAACTGCTGACACAGATTACTCTCCTCAGCAGGGTAGACTAAGTGTCGGCGCGGTCGTTGCTCCCACAATCTAAAGAGAGGCCCTCGTTAGAGCACTCTAGGGCATACGGCGCTACGATCGAACGTGGGGAGCGTCCTCTCCTTGACGCCGGGGCACAGCTCCAATCCCTCATTTCCTCGGATCCATTGCCGGAAACTCGAACCGTCGTCGAGCTCCTGGTAAAGCCTCTTATCGCTGATGTGAAAGGGACTGACAGCCTACCCTCTGAGGGTGAATATGTGGGGGCCGTCCTCGCCGCTGAACTGGCTTATTCCCACGGGCAGAAGATCATTGAGTTGTGGGATCTTGCTATTGTGATGTGGGAGTGCGGCGCAATTTGGACAGTTGGAGTGGCAGGTCTTTGCTACACTCACACCGGAAACTCCAACTATGGCCGGGCTCGCGAAGACTTGCCTGACATAACCTGGAGTTAACTGCACCACCCTTTCGCGTGTATTGAAGGGAGAGAAGTCCTCCCAGACACTATATTTCATGCACTGAATCTCAAGTCTTCTTTCCGTCGGAACAAACGTGTAGTCAAACTTCGATCTCGTTACTAGGGTCATAGAAGTATAAACTAGCCTTCACATATTAGAATAATTCGTTGGATCCTTAAAGAGACCAGCCCTTCGTCTTTGTGGTATATTCCCTACACTGTAAAGGTTGCTATGCAGAAATGTGGTAATATAGGGTAGTAAATGGTCAAGCGACCACTGGCCCTGGGCATTACGGGTGAAAGTGCTGCCTTCAAAGGCCTTGAAGCGATTATTTTCGTCGTCAATTTCACAAGTCGTCATATTATACATACAAGAAGCTCGATCAGCCAATAATATTCAATAGTCCCCTGCATGAAATTCCATGGAATAGACTGTAAATTGGAATACAGATCACCTTAATAGATGCACTCCTTGCTACCGTAATCACGTACTTCCAAAACGTGCCTCTCCTTATTGGCTGCCTTGAATAATTTTTGCCGGCAGATCTCCTAGCAGTTTCCTTGCCCCGTTTCGCTTAATGAAGACAAATACTATACTGTAGCAACTTATTGGGCGTTGCCTCAAAGCAACACCCTAGCTCCCATAATACTCTTTAAAATAAGAATAAAAAAGAATCAAACAATTATAGAAAGTAAATCCATGTACAACGTTACAACCTCACATCCATAACCCGAAGATCAACACAAAAACCGACACAAAAGCCGGTAGAATCTCAAATACTTTGACCATGCGCAAACCCACTCTAAATGATCTTCACGGGTCGGCCCTTGGGAACCCGCCCAGCCTCGAGTTGCCCAAACCTCAAAACTATCCCCAAAACTAAACTTCAATTCCAATAGGACGCATATCCCAAACTTTGTATCACATAGTCCTGCAAGAAAAAAAAAACAAGATGTTCGCCAACTAGTTACTGCACGGTTATTGGAATTATCCCAGGGACCTGCATCTAGTGATGCAGCCTAACCGGTTTGCCATTCGTGCCCATGATCACAAGATAAGGCGTTTGTCGGAGGAGTTGCGGGGGTCGCCGATAGCGTGGTTATTCGTCAATCACTACTGGTCGGTGGCACAGTACATATGTTGGGGTGATCGACGCGCTGGGGCCCAATGCGAGTCATGGGAACTGGATTGGGGGATTTGCGCCTAATGCATCCTTTGTGTGACTCTGAGATGTTAGTGCGTAGTCTGCCCCCCTTAACCCTCGTATCCGGATTATCCACGAGGCATTTGGGGTCTGGAAAAAGCAATTAAGTTGTTGTTGCGTCATTGCCTTGCCTTGGTTTATTTGCGACTAGCCCGATTAGGTAGGGCCCCTGCGTTTGGTTTCTGGTTAAGGATAGAATGGACATGTATCTTGTCGATTGAGTCATATCTCCCTGCTAGAGAATACGTCACTGCTGCCAGATTCAGGTACGGTTTGGCATGGGTGATTCTAACGCATAATGAAGTGAAGCGGTAGTTTTGTTGGTAAATGTGGACTTTGTATTAATCCTCCATGTATGCTTCCATGCTTCCGTATGTAACAGGCAGTCTTCCTTTATATACATCAGAACCAACCATAGAATATTTGCAAAATGCCAATGCCATGTTCAAAATCAAAGCCCGATCCGGGCGTGTTGCTCCCAAAACACCTCGCTGATAGCTCGCTTCCCAGTAAAACAAAATAAAGATGCGCTTGTAAAGTCAAAGTCAAAGTCAAAGATAGACAAAAGAAAAGAAGCAACCTCAGGATCCCGCATATTAGGACCTGAATGGCGAAGATTGAAATGTCCGACAGAATGGCCTCAGATAAGAAGGCAAGAGGTGAAAGAGAAGGATAAGATGCAGTCGAGTGTGTGGTGTCGAAAGGAACATTCAAAAAAGAAAAGAGATGCAGTTTATGCAGTGGCCCGGGATCCCCGTCTGGACTTTAAATCGTCCCGGCTAAGAAATCGGCGCAGTTTAGAGACAAATCGACATGGAAGGCCATCTGAGTAATGTTAGAATCTGATGCGACCGAAGTATAATGAATCAGATAGATGCTTACCACTGCCGCGACGCGTGGGCATGAAAGGATCCTCGAGAGGCTGTGTCGTATAGGCTGCAGCCCAATATCCCGTGTGGTGATAACCGGTGAAGGTGCAGTTGCTGGGGTCGTATTTGGGCTGCAGGGCTGCGACATGTGGGTAAAGCGTTGCCAACGGTGAGAGAAGCTCATCGGGCGGTGGTGAGCGTCTGCTATCGATGCTCCCTCGAGACTGCAAGTATAACATTAGAAAGATATTTTGTGGAATTATATAGATGGTTACTGACGTAGAGCTCATAGTTGGTCTTGTAACTCATGGTGAGGGAAAAGTGGTGAGTCGGAATTAGGGCTGTGTATTCCTGAACTTGAGTTGCGACCGTCTGAATGCAAGATGACGGGGCAAGAAACTATGCAGAGTGTTGAAGTGTTGAAGTGTTGAGATGCAGGTCTCAAGAGGCGAGGCTGCACTTAAATGACTTGGAACATGATTTGGAAACCCTCAGCCGCAGGTTAATTTGGAAGCGGGGGAGTCCGAACGTCAGACTGATGTACATCTAGTGGTCGTCTAGTGTGTCCCATCCTGACTGATAGGATTTTGTCGCATCCAGGAAGTCGGGACTCCAGGGCCACCATGGACAGCAACAAGGGACGATCATTGGCGGAAGTCTGTTGTCTGAGCGTCAGGGCCGATTCACCGATCTGTCGGAGTGCCCGATGAGGATAGTGTCATAATACGAGAATTAAATTATTGAGCTGGGGTGATCCCTGCAAATGCCACGAATTGCTTCTCGTTTTTGGTTTTCCCCTTGCATCCTGCTTCCCACGTTGTTTGTATTTCTGTTTCCTTGCAACACATTACCACACGAGTATGCAATGTAAAGCCTGTTCCCTGGAGACTCGCTGCGGATCCCCATGATGTGATTTCAGATCCACCGAACATGTCCGGGCTTTGAACCCTAATTGGTAAAACCGAATAACATCCTATGTTGGGCGGGAGAAGTGGGCCTCGAAAGTGTCAGGCACATCGCACAGGGCAAGACAGGCGAGTAATTCGCAAGCCTTAAGCGAAGTCCCCAAAGTATATCAAGCGAACAAAGATCAGATCTCAAATCCTCCCTCAATCTAAGACGAGATTGACCGAGACTAGCGGGGAACTATTGGAAGACTAAAGGAACGAGATTGACGGTGGGGGTTACCAAGTTAGGGCTAGTTGACAATCACATTGTCGTCACAGCCACACATCCCTTGCTAAAAGGGGATAAGCGCACGAGCCACATCTTCGGGCTGACCGTGGCTAGTGATCTGTGGCTCAAGCTTCCCTGTGGCTTGATAGCTTGATTTCTCCACCACCGAACTAGTCCGTCCCTTGAGATCTTCAAAGGTTATCGATTTTTTTATTGACACCCTTGATGGCTCGGTCTTCTCCGTCTAGCCCGCCAGCGCGGAGCTATAAGGGCCCCCGTTCGCCTCACCCAGATACATCATTCTAACTCCAGACATCTCCAACCTTCTCTTAGAACTTGCAAACTTGCCTTCTACAGATCAATCCACATATGTCAACTGTCAAACATGTCACTGAGCATGCAGGGTTCAGGAAGAGAGTATTGGGAAAACTCTCATATGGACATGCGCGAGCCTTGCTCGCGCGAGCAACACGCTCAAAGTGAGTGATCAATGCCCCAGTTCCCCTCCGGTCTTGTCGCACCGGTTGCGCCGTGACCAGCATTCTGAGACTTTTTGCCCTTGGTCCAGGATCCGTCGGACGAGAGACTGAACGCATCTCGGATAGGCGTGAGCGTCCTCGCGATGAGGGCATGAACCCAGAGCTGCAGTCGATCCTGACAGACGGCGAGTTTGGCCGGGTCGATCCCTCTGGCTGGTTCCCGCACTATAAGAACTGCGTGCAGCATTTCGTCGACTATAGCCAGCATACCCCGCCAGTATTGTCTGTTGCCGCCTTTATCAATATTCGACTTCCAAACCAGCGACCTGCTGAGCTGGCTCCGGCTGCTCAATCTACTTCAATGCCTTTTGTTTCTCTCCGGCCTTATATCCGCAGACTAATTGTCACTGCTCAAGACTCTCCGACTGTCATGAATGCTTTCTTTGGAAATGACTGGGAAGCTGGGGTGGGGGTGATCTACAAGCAAGAGCGGGCCAACTATCTATTCACAGCCAAGAGCAGTGGTTGGGCAGCAACCAAGGCCGCATACGATATTTCCCCAGATGAACAAACCCCTTTCTTAAGGCCCCTGCGTGACCCTTCGGAGGACGAGATTCGAGTGGCCGAGGCACGGTGGAGTGAATGGCTAGCTATGGAGGATTGGATGGTTGGAGCGCGCAGTCCCTGGTAGGATAGGGCGCATGATGAGAGACGAATCTTCTTTTTTTTTTCCGTTTCTTTTGTCTGTTCTCGGATCCCAAAAAAATCTGGTGAAAGGGGCTAGGTCCTCAATGCACAGTGGGGTATGTCAGTCCCTGAAGATAGTTTCTTTCAACCACTGGCCTAGGAAAATTATTCCGGAAACTAGTAGAATAATAACATCATTTGCGTCATAACAATTAGCATAGCGCCAATGCAGGGTTGACAGAGATCGCCCGTAGATCGTGGAAATCAATAGTGCCGCACCGCCACAAGCACCAAGCACAGACCGAGTAAAGAGTGACAAATACTTCGAACTAGTGAATTCGCGATATTAACTAAGATCCGAAGCCTTTTAACCTGGTGTGGTTTAGCTCAGGCCCCTGCCCTATGTCTTGCTGTAGACTGGGATGGGATGATCCACATGGGCCCTCTGAGTCATGTCACTTGAACAACCCGGCCTGTCAACCTGTCAGCCTGCCAGTCAACCTCTGTCCATTCCGTGAATATTTAGCATCAATAGTGTCGGCATTTGATCAGATCAGTCTTCTGCACACCCAGCCCCTGAACCAGGAAACCGGGAAGATCGCGAATCGGCATGGAGTCCTGCACCTTTTACGAGCACGATGCAGCAGCAATAGTGCCCATACTTGTATCCCAATTGCCGTATTCCACAACTCTACTCCGACGCATTCAACACGGCAACGCCTACCCATCACCGACCGCCAAGGTCCTAGCAACTTTCCCGCCCAGCTCAACCCCTGACCCTAAAAAACCGTGGCTGGCTGCGCGGGTGGATCTCTTTCTCGGCCGCGAGACCCAGATGCACATCTATTCCAGCCTCGAAGCGGAGCACACGTCAATCGACCCGATCGACGCTGTCAGCTCTAGTGCAGCCCAAATTAACTCTCTAGCCGCGAGTCCAGAATCCAATTCCATTGTTTACTGCCTCTCAGCTAGCCAGCCCGTCCGCGACCTGGCCCGCGCGCAACTATTGGCTCTACTTTCATATGTCAAAACCCACTTGCTGTCGCCATACCTGTCATCCCTGGGCGGGGATCCGGCTTCAGCTACGCCAGCCGATGTCGATGTCGATCGAGACAATGCAGAGACTCGCGTGGCTTCGGCAGTCTCTGACAGTGCCAATGCCAATGCACATGCCAATAAAGGCGTGCCCCTAATCCCCGCGCCTGACCCACAGGCCTTCCTAATCGGAAGCCTTCATACAGGTCTCTTCAGCCTGCTGCAGCGATCTGGCAAATACACAGCTGACGATTCGCTACCTAATATCCGGATCCATCGTTTTGATAATCCCCCATACCACAAGTACTTTTTCCGGAGATCCGAGTTCGCTCCTGCGGACGGATCCGGGCCTGGCAGTGTGGCTGATCGTGATCTTTTTGCTGGTCTGTCCCTGCCGCCTGGTTATCGGTTCCGGGATCGTCGCGGGAGAGTAGGTGTTCTCGACGTGCATTTGGATCTTGTGCAGAGTCGGACGCATATTCCCAGGTCTAGGAGGCAGCTTTCTTCTATGCCTGGTATGGCGCTTTATTGTGATTCTGATTCTGATTCTGATTCTAAGGATAATGAGAATGAGAGTGGTGATGAGATGCCTATTGCCTGGGGGTTCCTTGGGGTTGATGGAGCGTTGGCTACGTTGCATGTTGAGCCTGAACATCGTGGCAGAGGTCTTGCGCTTCTCTTGTCCAAGGCGGTCATGCGTCATGGTATGGTGGCTGATGGAGTCTTTGGGGCTGGGACTATTCAGCCTGGGAACACTTTGGCTCGAGATCAGGTGGGAGAGTGGACGCATACTGAGGTGGCTGGGTATAATAAGGCCAGTCGGAGGGTTATGGAGAAGATTGGGGGTAAGGTGTTGACAACAGTTACCTGGACTGTTGTCGAGCTCTGCGACTAAACTTGCTTCTCCTTATTATTTTTGTAGAATAATAGCGTAGCCACGGCTTGTTTGCTTTGGGAATATTCATGAAGCGAGAAATAGAATATGCGCGTTATGATAGTCCAATTGGTCGCTATGTACAAGGAATGTCCTATAAAAGCCAAAGTCCTTGCTTGTAGTGCTATTCCGATATGGAACTTGATTGCTGGTATGATAGTACGGTGGTACCTCTCGAATGAAACAATTCAGCCTCTCTCTTCAGATCCCACTCTTCTGTAGTCTTTCATAGTATCATATCTTGATTAAGCAGGTTGGACTTGTAGTCGCCTATCAAATCTCGAATCAGTTACCAGTGTACTTAGTATATTATAGAGCAAAGCTTTCCGTACTTCTCAATCCATTATAGCGAGACATTTCTCGGTTAATCACGATTTGTATGCGGAAACCACGTTGTATGAGACAGAAAACCGCCAAGTAGTCTAGTCGTTCCCAAAATATATTTTGGGGGCGAACTATGTAGTTTCGTCTCTCAGATAGATTTTCAGCCAACATTAATACATGCTAAAAACTCAATCCCTATTTCTAAATTTTATTGAGAGAACCAAATCCAGTTCATTGCTTACTTGTAAGAAGTGTTGAATGTGAACAGCCGTAAACACCCCAGATATGCCCAATTGGGTTTAGCGTACCGATGATCGGCCACGGTGATAACCACGCAGTCGAACTTCACCTCTTCTTTTCCTCCTTTAACTCCATTTTCAAGCCATTGACTCTTCTCATAACATTCAAAATGAGTAACCAAAAAGGTGTCGCCGAGAACATGCTCTGGGGAGGCCGCTTCACCCGTGAGTACTCCAACCCTTCCATCCCACCAAAAATCCCACTGACTCATACGCCAAAAAAAAACAGAGGGCCTTGACCCCCTGATGGTGCAGTACAACATGTCCCTGCCCTACGACCGTGTCTTCTGGAAGCAGGACATCGCCGGCTCCATCGCCTTCGCCCGCGCTAACACCAAGTCCGGCATCCTCACCCCGCAAGAGTTCGCCGAGATCGAGCGCGGCTTCAAGCAGATCGCCGAGGAATGGCAATCAAACACCTTCGTCGCCAAGGAGAACGACGAGGACATCCACACCGCCAACGAGCGCCGTCTGGGCGAGATCATCGGCAAGGAGATTGGCGGCAAGCTGCACACCGGCCGATCGCGCAATGAGCAGATCGCCACGGACATGCGCCTGTGGCTGCGCGATGAGCTCCGTCTTATCGAGAGCCACCTCTGCGATCTGATCAAGGTCTCTATTGCCCGCGCTGAGCAGGACATCGCCTACATCATGCCCGGCTACACCCACCTCCAGAAGGCCCAGCCCGTCCGCTGGTCGCACTGGCTGCTGTCCCACGCTACTGCTTTCGCTAGCGAGCTGCAGCGTCTGCGTGAGGTTATCCGCCGTGTTAACCGCAGCCCCCCTCGGTACCGGTGCCCTTGCTGGTAACCCCTTCAACATTGACCGTGAGGCTATGGCCAAGGAGCTTGGCTTCGATGGCTTGCTGTACAACTCCATGAACGCTGTTGCCGACCGTGACTTTGCCATGGAGATGATGCAGTGGGGCAGCTCATTCATGCTCAAGATCTCTCGCTGGGCCGAGGACTTGATCATCTACAGCAGTCTCGAGTTCGGCTTTGTCCGCCTGTCGGATGCCTACTCCACTGGATCATCCCTGATGCCCCAGAAGAAGAACGCTGGTAAGCATGCACTTAAGTTTTTCTCGATAAACAAGTATACTAACATCGCTTATAGACAGCCTGGAGCTGCTCCGCGGTAAGGCTGGCCGTGCCTTCGGCCAAATGGCCGGCCTGATGTGCACTATCAAGGGTCTGCCTACTACCTACAACAAGGACCTGCAGGAGAGTGTCGAGCCCATGCTCGACCACGTAAAGACTGTCAGCGACAGCATCCAGATCGGTACCGGTGTCCTCTCCACTCTCACCGTCATCCCCGAGAAGATGACCGCCGCCCTCGCCCCCGAGATGCTGGCCACCGAGATCGCCGACTACCTCGTCCGCAAGGGTGTTCCTTTCCGTGAGGGCCACCACATCTCCGGACGTGTTGTTGCTCTCGCTGAGAACACCTCTGTCCCCATGGACACCCTCTCTCTGCAGCAGCTCCAGGAGGTCGACTCTCGTTTCGACGCTGACGTCCAGGCTTGCCTTGACTACGAGCGTGCGGTCGAGCTTAAGGATGCCATTGGTGGTACCAGCAAGCGCGCTGTTCTGGAGCAGACTGCTGTGCTGAAGAACCTCTTGTAAATTCTTTTGGATACGATATATGACTGGAAAAAGGGCTGCGCTTTCGGGTAGACAAAATGAATATATGACTTGAATTGTTGATTTTGGGGGGTCAGAGTACCGTACTATGTTCTAACTTCGTGATTTACTTCGACTAAATTCACACTACAACCCACCAGAGTCACCTGCATCTCCATGAATATCGAACACAATGAACAACAAAGGAAACCAAAACATCATAAAACCAACAACAAACAGGCATTACCATCCACCCCAAACCCCCAACCTCAAGTCCGAACACTTATCTCCATCCCCCCAGCAGGAGGCTTAATGTCAAGCTCAGATGAAGCATCCTTCCCATCATAAGCAGGCGGAACATCACCATCACCATCGCCATCACAATCCAAAGTCCTCAGATCGTCCTCCAGAATGGCCGTCGCATCCTGACTCCTCTGCCCCTCCCTCGAAGCACTATTCACCATCCTTAGCTCATGCGCCGTATCCCACATCTCAATTCCACGTCCATCCCCCAGCCCTCCTCCTCCTCTCTCAGCCCTTTCAGCCCTCCTCCCATTCTCATAATGCATGAAACTCATAACATGTTCATCACTACCCTTCCCAACAGTCCTCCCTCTATCCGACGACCTCCCAACCTCCATCTCACTGAAATACCGATCTAGATTTGCACCTAGGACAACCCCATCGGCGGTAATGACCCGGCCAGCGTGTTGTCTGACCGGGCTCCCGTTCCCATTCTTACTCCCACTCTGGCCAGGGCTCTGACTTGTCCCTCCACGCGTATAAGCAAGTGGAATGGATGACGCCGATTCCCAAGCCCTCGGAATAGCCATACTATTCTGATTCTGATTCTGATTCTGGCGCCAGCGCTGGTCAATCTGGACGTTTATAAGCTCGCCCTTTGAATACGGGGCTAGTTCGCAGCGGAGTCGGTAGAAGCTTATATCTGGTAGTTCCGGGGTGGAGCCTCGGCGTTGTGGGGAGGGGATTGGGACTGATGCGGCTAGTTCGTTTGAGAAGGGTGGGATTGGGGGGGATTGAGGAGGAGGTTTTTAGTCTTAGGGGGCCGGGGATTAGATTTGTTGATGAGGAGCCTGGACCGGGACCGGGATGTGAACTGCAGCTGCCCGTTGTGAGGGTTGTTGTGCTTGTTCTTCCGTGTTCTGTTGATGGGACTGTTTGTTTGTTTGGGTTAGTTCGTTGATTGGGTTCATGGTGGGTGGTTTAGTTTGGGGTTCCTAAGCTTACCACTTGCTGTGTATCCATTGCTGTCGGATGGTGATATCGCCTTTGCTTTGGATGATCTATTTCGGTCGTAGCGAGATCGAAATGCTCCATGTGGATACCATGAGATTATGGATGATCGTTTCTCATGTTTGCCTTGTCTTCTTCTGCGGCGGTAGCAACAAAAGAGTAGGATGGCACAGATTATCAAGGCTGTTACGCCTCCCACCACAGCACCGATTAAGGCACCTCGGTTGGATGCGGCTCCTGAATTGATGGATGCCGATGATGGTGCGGCGGTGCTTACATGGCTCACACCAAGGACAGAGGACAACCCAGTGACACGCGTGGCTCCTGAAGTTGTCGAGACTGTGGATGTCGCTGAAGTTGTGGGCGTCTCTGCTGCCGTCAGTGTCCCTGAAGTTGTGGTCGTGTCTGAACTTGTAGACGAAGGCATAGCCGGATCTATTGTTGACGATGTTGATGAGGATGTTGTGACTGATGAGACAAGCGGAATCCCTATTTTCGCCGTGACTGCTGTCAACCCCGCTACGGATGTAGCCCCAGGAACTGAAGTGCTCGAGGTATCATCTTTATCATAATCCGGACAAATGCCGCTCGTACACGGGTCACTGGAGCAGCATCCACGAAAGTTCCCTGCAGTGCAAACATACCACTGCTTGCTCCCTGTGCAGGTATTAGCTGCTCGGGGAAGCAAATTCTTCATGTCAAACGTTATTCCTGGAGATAGTTTGGCATTCAAGATGTCAAGGAATCCCCGGATAAAAGACATGGACTCGATGTGTATGCCAGTTAGGGACAACTTTCAACGATTGGAAGCGAGCGGAGTCGTCCATTCGATGGGAACTCGACATTTGACAGTTTTCTACCAGTAGAAAAGGGCAACCGAATTCAAATGGAATAAACATGACAGATATTGTTGCTGCTGGCATACCCACCAGGTGGAGGCCATGGGAGGCCGTGACCCTCTCCCTCAAAGAAGTCCGGGGGTGAGACTCTTTGTTCAGTATCGTTGGTAACGGCCCCTGGTGGCAATGGCATCCTCCAAATATAGAACCGAAAGTAGCATGAGTAAGAATTACATAGCTTTTTAGGTTGTGTAAGGTTGTCTTGCACTTTGGCGGAGTGGAAACGAAGGCGTGGTTATCGAACATATCCCCGAAATGTGCATTAGGGCAAATCAACAGCGTCTGTCAGTGTTTGCTGCAACAATATCAGATCCAAAATCAGTCAGGGTTCAACGCTTTCTTTGTTGACTCGAGCCAAGACCCGACAAAGGACGGGCACGTGGAGAACTACGGGATGAGGGCAAGATTAAAAATCCAATGTGAAACAAACTGAGGAAAAAAAGCACCCAGTACAACTCTTCGCCTGTTGAAATAAAGGAAAATAATATGGCTATACAAGATGGTAAGTAACACAGTCAAATAAAAAACATGGTCTTTTGCATGGGTTCATCCCCTTGAAACGGGGCCCCTCGACGCCACAAGCCCTACTTTCACCTCAAATCCATGAGGCTGGGAAAGGGCGTTGATAGGGTCCATTTGCGACAACTCCGTGGTATCCTCCAAATTCTCTGTGGGTCAATTCCCCAAATAGCGAGCTTAGTAGGTACGCTTGAAAGGCGGCACGGCCTTGCACTCGCTCTCATCCAGGGTGTTGGCCTCGACGGCACGGTAGCCGAGCTTGACTTCACCGTGGGCCTCCTTCTGCCAGGAAAGAGTGTGCTTCATCCAGTTCTCATCGTCACGGTCGGGGTAGTCCTCACGGGCGTGGGCACCGCGAGACTCCTTACGGGCAGCGGCGGAAGTAGCGGTTTGGGTACTGTGAATGATGTTAGCAAATGCTGCTTAAATCTAGGTCGGTGATGCGTACGCGCAAGTCAGCAGGTTACGGAGCTCAAGGGTCTCAACAAGGTCAGTGTTCCAGATCATGGAGCGGTCCTTGGTGCCGACCTGGGAGTACCACTGGTCGATCTCGTTGACCCTCTGAACACCCTCATCCAAGCTCTCCTGGGTACGGAAAACGCTAACATCAGTCTGCATGGCCTTCTGCATGGCGTTGCGGACATCGAAAGTGGACTTGGGGCCCTCGGCGGTGCGGGCAAAGTCGAGGTCCTTGATGGACTGAGCACCAGCATCGGAGGCGAGCTCCTTGTGGGGCTTACCGGGGGTGGCAATGTCACGGACACGGTGAGAGACAGCACGACCGAAGACAATCAGATCAAGCAGGGAGTTGGCACCCAGGCGGTTAGCACCGTGGACAGACACACAGGCGGCCTCACCACAGGCGTACAGACCGGGAACAACCTTCTCCTGGCCCTTCTCATCCACGTCAATAACCTCACCAGTGTACTTGGTGGGGATACCACCCATGTTGTAGTGGACGGTGGGGAGGACGGGAATGGGCTGCTTGGTGACATCAACACCGGCGAAAATAGAGGCAGTCTCGGAAATACCGGGCAGACGCTCGTGGAGGAGCTCGGCGGGCAAGTGGCTGAGCTGCAGGTAGATGTGGTCCTTCTCGGGACCGACACCACGGCCCTCACGGATCTCGAGGGTCATGGAACGGGAGACAACGTCACGGGAAGCCAGATCCTTGGCGGTAGGAGCATAGCGTTCCATGAAACGCTCACCCTCGGAGTTCAGGAGGTAACCACCTTCACCACGGGAGCCCTCGGTGATCAGACAACCGGCACCGTAGATACCAGTAGGGTGGAACTGGACGAACTCCAGATCCTGGTTAGGAAGACCAGCACGGGCGACCATGGCCATACCATCACCAGTGCAAGTGTGAGCCGAGGTACAACTGAAGTAGGCACGTCCGTAACCACCGGTGGCCAGAACGGTGTGGTGGGCCTTGAAGCGGTGCAGGGTACCATCCTCCTGGTTATAGGCAATGATACCACGGCACTCGCCGTCCTCCATCAGCAAGTCGAGAGCGAAGTATTCGATGAAGTAGTTGGTATTGTGGCGAAGAGACTGTCCGTAAAGGGTGTGCAAAAGAGCGTGACCGGTACGGTCAGCGGCAGCGGCACAACGGTAGGCCTGGCCACCTTTACCGAACTCCTTAGATTGACCACCGAAGGCACGCTGGTAGATACGTCCATCCTCGGTACGGGAGAAGGGGCAACCGTAACCCTCAAGCTCGCGAACACTGGCCGGGGCCTCACGCGTCATGTAGTGAATAGCGTCCTGGTCACCAAGCCAATCGGAACCCTTCACGGTATCGTACATGTGCCATCTCCAGTCATCCTCGTGCATGCTAAATTCCAATTAGACGCGACTCGATATCTGGCGAAATTGTCAAGGGAAACCTACTTTCCAAGGGCAGCATTGATACCACCCTGGGCAGCAACAGTGTGACTTCTCGTAGGGAATAGCTTGGAAACACAGGCAGTGTTGAATCCGGCCTCAGCCAGACCGAAGGCGGCGCGCAGACCGGCACCACCGGCACCGACAACGACGGCATCGTACTCGTGGTCCTGCACAAGTCAGTTCCGATGGTCTTCCTTTTCATCCAGGGGAAATGTTAACTTACAATGATGGGGTACTTGTCGGTCAGGTATCCGCTGGACTCCTTAGCGCGCAGAGGCTGGTTGGACCAAATCCGGGCTGGCGCAAGAGTAGTTAGTGGTGCGAACGTGGATTGATGGTTTGAATGGCTCAATGCGTACCTGCCGGCCTTGAAGAAGAGAACAGACGTCTCTGATCCCGCAAAATGCGGGAAACCTGAAGAAATGAGCCAGTCAGTCGGTTGCACATGAGCCGAAAATCGTTGCGTGCCGCGGTCTCACCTTGGATGCAGGAGCTAGGCTCCGCAGGCTCAGGGAGCTCATGATGGATCAACAGAGAATTGTAATTCCCTAATGAACCAAGAGAAAATAGGGACACGGATTGTCCAAAATGAGCTAAAGAGAGGAGATGGTGGAATAGCGAACTCCTTCCAGAGCAACTTCATCTGGAGTCGGGATGCGGTTGGCAGTTTCAGGATGACTCAGCAAATTTCTTAGTATTCCGGGGCCTGTGATTGGCTGGTTCGGCCACCCCATCGGCAACTGCGAGAATGCCTCGGGTTCGCCGGTCGTCCGTTTTGCCGCGAGGTAGTGTGCGCCGGGAGGATACGGTAGAGCCTCAGTCAGGTCTACAAGGGTGATTGTTTAAAGCCTGGGACCTATCAGCAGATTTTGTCTATTCTACCTGACTTTATTTCCACTTCAGCTAGCTAATATTCCCTAATGTCTCTTTGAATCTAGGGATGTTTATAGGTCGTGGATCACGTGCTATCACATGATCAATTGGCATGATCGTGGCCCAATTAGGGAACTATAGGTGCCAGTTACACTCGAAACATACAAATAGTTTAGATTATAGATGCATTGACCTGGAATAACTCCGACATAACAAGACAATAGTGATCGTACATCCCATCCGTAATGCAAGTCCAGTCGGGATCTCTCTAGTTGTATTGCATGTAGGTCGCCGTCGAGTTGAACTTGAGGTTGCCCTTGATAACCTTCTCAACGGAAGCCAGGAAGTCCTTCTCGGTGGCAACCTTGCGACGGGCACGAATTGCAAACATACCGGCCTCTGTCGCAACACTGCGGAGCTCAGCACCGGTAGCGTTGGGGCACAGTCGTGAAATCAGCTCCCAACGGATGTCACGCTCCACGGACATGCTCTTGGCGTGAATACGGAGAATGTTTGCACGACCCTCGACATCAGGTAGCGAGAATTCGATCTTACGATCGATACGACCAGGACGCATCAGGGCCGGGTCAAGTGTGGACGGACGGTTGGTAGCGAACATGACCTTGATGTTACCACGGGAATCGAAACCATCCAACTGGGTGATCAGTTCCAGCATGGTACGCTGCACTTCGTTGTCACCACCAGCACCGTCGTCGAAGCGAGCACCACCAACGGCGTCGATTTCGTCGAAGAAGATAATGCAAGCCTTCTTGGTACGAGCCATCTCGAAGAGCTCACGGACCATACGGGCACCCTCACCAACATACTTTTGCACCAATTCACTACCAATGACACGAATAAAGGTGGCATCTGTTCGGTTGGCAACTGCACGAGCACAGAGGGTCTTTCCGGTTCCGGGAGGTCCGTATAGCAGGGCACCCTTGGGCGGGTCGATACCGAGGTTCACGAAACGTTCTGGCGATAGCAACGGCATCTCGACAACTTCTCGTAGCTTCTCGATCTGTTCTTTGCATCCACCGACATCGCCGTAAGTCACGTCGGGCTTATCCTCGACCGTCATCATCGTCACGCTAGGGTCGATCTTTGGCGGCAAGGGCAGCATAATCTGGTACTTATTGCGGTCGACACTGCAGAGCCTAGTCAGTAGCCGTGAGGGAAATGCATTCCGCCAGAAAACCTACCCAACTCTCATGCCTTCTTCGATATCTGTTGGGCTCACGCGCTCTCCTAGGTTGACAACAAACTTGGCAATCTGCTTGACATTGATCACATATTTGCTCTTGTCAGAGTCTTTCTCATCCTGGATAATCTTCGTACACCGCGCGACCTGGAGTGGCTGTTCCTCTGCCATGCGTTGTCGATCGGCCGCAACATCCCAAAGGTGTGGAGGTGCAAGACCAGTGTCGGATTCCTGGTAAAGCGTAAGCTTCGATTGCTCAAGGGGACGAAAGAGCTGGAGAAGTAGTCACCTTAACGCCGATCTTTTCATTGACACTCGCTTGTTTGTCATTGATATCCTTTTCGAGCTTCTTCAGTGCTGTCGCGTAGGGCGCGGCGCCGTAGGTCTTGAGTACTGCGATATCACTGTAGGGGGACGTCAGCCAATCATTGCCATCGCGCTTCGACCAAAATCGAATCCAAATGGAGTGAGAACTCACTCGTCTGTAAGAGGTGTGATCTTCTTCTCGGGTTCCTCGTCGTCTGCGAAGTTCTTTTGGTACTTCTCCCAGTTCTGACCCGTGGCGCTAGGCATGATGAAAGGTGTTGACAGCCCAAGGCCCAGGAGCTAGGGGAGGTTCCGGGGTAATAAGGTCGAAAAGGTATGTGCAAGTAAAACAAATCTAACTTGCTCCGGAAACAGCGACGATTTGGAAAAAGATGGATAGTTGGGTATTGAGAGACGGATGGTGATGTAGCAGAGCTGCGGTGGCCGAGCTAACCTCACTAATCAGTGCCAAGCTTCATCACCGCCCCAGAACCTCGCAGAATTTCCTGTGTGTCCTCCACCATCAACAGTCAACTTCACCCTTTCCCTCATTTTTTACGGTTCATTTTGAATATTGACTTTCAAAATGGCTGCCGCAGTAGCCCAGGGAAACGCCGGCAACAATGCCTTCAAGGTGCGAGCCCTCAAAATGATGTGTGGGCCATTTCTGATTGAATGCAGGACAAGGAGAAGCCTATGGCCGTGCGTGCGTCCAACATTCTCGCTGCTCGGGGTATGTACTTCTGATCGGGTTAAGGGGGACCATTTCTAACAAGATCATAGCTGTTGCCGATGCTATTCGAACCGTACGCATGCTCAAGCTATCTGCAAATACATAGATGAGGGGCTAACAGGAATACAGTCTTTGGGACCCAGGGGTATGGACAAGATGGTAAGTCCATATCAAATTTTAACTCTATATAGATTCTAACGTCTTTCAAGATCCAAACGCCTAAGGGACAGACCATCATCGTACGCATCAATTCCCATTCGAACGTTTCCGGAACCCCAACTGACCCCCGCAGACCAATGATGGAAACACGATGTTGAAGGATATGAGCGTGATGCACCCGGCTGCCCGTATGCTTGTCGATCTGAGTGCCGCACAAGATGTTGAGGCTGGTGATGGAACGACATCAGTTGTTGTCATTGCTGGCAGTCTGCTCGGTGCCGCCGAGAAGTTGCTGTCCAAGGGCATTCACCCCACTGTCATCTCCGAGTCTTTCCAGAGAGCTGCCGGTGCTGCCGTCGAGATCCTTCACAACATGTCCCGCCCTATCAACCTCTCCGATCGTGCTACCCTCCTGCAAGCCGCCTCCACCTCGCTTTCCTCGAAGATCGTGTCGCAGCACTCTGGACTCCTGGGCCCAATGGCCGTCGACTCCGTTTTGAAGGTCTGTGACCCGAAGACGGCAGAGAACGTTGACCTGCGTGATATTCGTATTGTGAAGAAGGTTGGCGGAACAATTGAGGACAGCGAGATGGTCGATGGTGTTGTTCTCAATCAGCCTGTGATCAAGAGCAGCGGTGGTCCCACAAGAATTGAGAAGGCCCGGATAGGTCTCATCCAGTTCCAACTGAGCCCCCCGAAGCCTGATGTATGTTCTCCTAAGGGTTATTTCCGGACATTCACTGACAGTTGCAATTTAGATGGAGAACCAAATCGTCGTGAACGACTACCGCCAGATGGATAAGATTTTGAAGGAGGAGCGCCAATACCTGCTCAACATGGTCAAGAAGATCCAGAAGACCAAGTGTAACGTTCTTTTGATCCAAAAGTCCATCCTCCGTGACGCCGTGAACGAACTTTCCCTCCACTTCCTTTCCCGTCTGAAGATTCTGGCCATCAAGGATATCGAGCGTGATGAGGTTGAGTTCCTCTGCAAGAGTCTCGGCTGCAAGCCCGTCGCCAATGTCGACTCTTTCACCGAGGACAAGCTTGGTACCGCCGACCTCGTCGAGGAAGTCCAGGCTTCCGGTGCTCGTTACGTCAAGATCACCGGCATCAAGGCCCCTCTGGCCGCTTACAACCAGACTGTCTCCATCGTTGCCCGCGGTGCCAACAGCCTGATTCTCGATGAGGCTGAGCGCTCGCTGCACGACGCTCTGTGTGTCATCCGTTGTCTCGTTAAGAAACGCGCCATGATTGCAGGTGGTGGTGCTCCTGAGGTCGAAGTGGCCCACGCCCTTGCCATGCGCTCCCGTGAGCTCACCGGCACCGAGGCCATCTGCTTCAAGGCCTTCGCCGATGCCATGGAGGTCATCCCCACTACCCTCGCCGAGAATGCTGGTCTCAACTCCATCAAGGTTGTCACCGACCTCCGTCACCGTCACGCACAGGGTCAGCACAACGCCGGTGTCAGCATTCGCAGCGGTGGTGTGAAGGACGATATTACAGAAGAGAACATCCTGCAGCCTCTGCTGGTCAGCACCAGCGCAATTGAGCTGGCTGCGGAGACTGTGAAGATGATCATGAGAATTGATGACATTGCTCTGTCGCGGTAAACGCCTTCGGCGGCCGCTAACGTGAGCTGTATGATGGAAAGCGATGTTCTCGCGACGAGTAATTACAAAAAATATCCCATTTCTACAAAGAACCATTCTCAGGCTTGTACAAACTTCTAAGATTGTAATGTTGGTTGGATGTATTATGTAGTCACGTACGAGTCGGGGAAGGATAATTGAGATCAAAGTGAAATGAGCTTTACCTCCTGCTTTGAGCCAATATTTTTGTGATATTAAGGTCTTGCTCTCCTTTTTCGTCCGATCGAGAAATGAATAGATTAAAAGAAATCCCATAGAAGTTGCTCATTAATTGTCGCCCATTGCATGCAATATCAACCTTTGAGATATATAGCAACTTCCCGAACACCAAAATGCCGCACCAACCATCCTCTTACCAATATCATTATTACCATACATACCTATTTTAAAATATTTCAATCTTTACAATCGAAAACGAGAATCAATAAGCAGTAGCCGGCGTCAATAGCGGCTCTTTGTTGGTGCCAAGATCGCCTCGGTCCACGGGGAGTTGGAACGCCTGCAAAGCCACCCCCAAGTTCTTGCCTTCAGGGAGCTCAATCCTGTCATTTTTCTAGGCCGGTTCTCAAGAGTTGGCGACTATATACTTATACAATCGTTCGAGTGATCGCTCGTGTGTTTGCATTCGCCTCCGCATCGATAAGAGATAGAGCGACGATCGGACGTCAGCTCGACCCGTGTGAACTCCATCCACCATGGGGAAGCTCGACGAAGGCCATCCCGAGTCCGTGCCATTGACGCGACAGCGGTCCGAATCGCTCGCCTCCCAGACATCCACCGATTCCGGCTTATCGATTGCCTCCGCGGCCTTCATGGAGAACCACAAGCGTGCCAACACTATACCGATGGAGGAAGGGGACGGGGAGAGATACCGCGATATAGAAGATGGAGGAGAACCTGGCTCAGATATACCTTTATTGCCCAGCGGGAAGAAGGTAGGCTCGTCAAGTCGTTTGCGCCAGATCGTCTGGTTGCTCGTGGTGCTTTGTGTGGGGGGCTGGATGCTTGCCTTCGTGCTGTTCCTCACGCAGAAGCGGCCTGACGCCGCAGCGCTGTCATCTGTCTCAACAGTTGAAATCCATGAGCCGGATTCAGCTACTGGGGGCACAAGTTACGGGAAACCGGTGACCCTCGAGCAAGTTCTGACGGGTGACTGGCTGCCGCGCTCTCACGCGATCTCCTGGATTGCAGGACCCAATGGCGAAGATGGTCTTCTTGTTGAGCGGGGTGAGAAGCAGGATGCCTATCTACGAGTAGAAGACATTCGCAATAGCAAGGATGGAGTTGATAGCCTCGAGACGAGAGTGTTAATGAAGAAGGGCTATATCTGGGGTGATGGCGAGATCGTCACTCCAGTTAAGACATGGCCAAGCCCTGATTTGAACAAGGTCTTGATTATGTCTAACTCCCAGCACAACTTCCGTCATTCGTACTTCGGGAAATATTGGATCTTCGATGTGGCCACGCAGAAGGCTGAGCCGCTGGACCCTCAGAACCTAAGTGCGCGAGTGCAGCTTGCGGCTTGGGCACCCACTTCTGATGCGGTCGCATTCGTGCGAGAAAACAACCTATACTTGCGCAAACTAGCTTCGTCGGACGTCATTCCTATTACCAAGGATGGTGGCGAGAACCTCTTCTATGGTGTCCCAGACTGGGTCTATGAGGAAGAAGTATTCCAAGGCAACACCGGAACCTGGTGGTCCACTGACGGAAAGTTTGTCGCGTTTCTTCGAACGAATGAGTCGGCGGTGCCTGAATACCCTATTCAGTATTTCCTTTCTCGGCCATCAGGCAAAAAGCCCCTGCCAGGCCTCGAGAACTACCCCGAAGTTAGCCAGATCAAGTACCCCAAACCAGGTAGCCCGAACCCGATCGTCAACTTGCAATTCTATGATGTCGAAAAGAATGAGGTTTTCTCATTTGACATGCCAGAAGACTTTGTTGACGAGGAAAGAATCATCATTGAGATCGTTTGGGCGTCTGAGGGCAAGGTTTTGATCCGGGAGACCAACCGTGAGAGTGATGTCGTCAAGATCTTCGTGATGGACACAAAGGCCCGAACGGGAAAGCTTGTGCGATCCGACGATATTGCGGCCCTGGACGGTGGCTGGGTTGAACCATCCCAATCGACTCGGTTCATTCCTGCCGATGCAGAAAACGGCCGGCCGCACGACGGCTATATCGACACTGTTATATATGAAGGCTATGATCATTTGGCTTATTTCACACCTTTCGAAAACCCCGAGCCAGTTATGCTGACCAAGGGCAATTGGGAGGTGGTTCAGGCACCCTCCGCCGTTGACCTGAAGAAAGGTCTGGTTTATTTCGTTGCTACGAAGGAGGCCCCAACTGAGCGTCACGTATACTCGGTCAAACTGGATGGTTCCGACTTTCGACCGCTGACCGACATATCTAAACCCGGCTTCTTCGATGTTTCATTTTCTGACGGAGCCGGATACGGCTTGCTCAGCTATAAAGGTCCGGCAGTGCCATGGCAGGCTGTGATCAACACTCACGGCAGCGAGATCGAATTCGAAAGTCTCATTGAGGAAAATTCGAAGCTTTCTAAGATGGTCGAGGATTTTGCCCTCCCAGCAGAGGTTTACACCAATGTGACTATCGATGGTTACACACTTCAAGTTCTCGAACGTCGCCCCCCACACTTTAATCCAAAGAAAAAGTACCCTGTACTGTTCTTCTTATATGGCGGACCTGGTTCGCAGACAGTGGACCGCAAATTCACCATTGATTTTCAATCGTATGTTGCCTCGAGCTTAGGGTACATCGTGGTCACCATGGACGGTCGTGGAACAGGATTCATCGGGAGAGAAGCCCGATGCATTGTTCGCGGTAACGTCGGCCATTATGAAGCCCACGACCAGATTGAAACTGCCAAACTCTGGTCCTACAAGGACTATGTTGATGAAACTCGCATGGCCATCTGGGGCTGGAGCTATGGCGGCTTCATGGCCTTGAAGGTACTTGAACAAGACGCGGGCGAGACATTTCAATACGGCATGGCCGTGGCGCCAGTGACAGACTGGAGATTCTATGGTGGGTTTCTTTCAAGGTGCTTGGGCCTCTCCTACTAACATTCCATTCCTCTAGACTCTATCTATACAGAACGTTATATGCACACCCCAGAGCACAACCCCACAGGCTACGATAATGCCTCCATAAACAACGTCATGGCATTGGGCCAGAATACTCGGTTCCTAATTATGCACGGCGTTGCCGATGATAATGTTCACCTGCAGAATACTCTGGTGTTGATTGACAAGCTGGACTTGTCGAACATCGACAACTACGACATGCAGGTCTTCCCTGATTCAGACCATAGTATCAATTTCCACAGGGCGCACACGCTTGTTTATGAACGTGAGTTCCCTTCGATTGTGCACCCATACGCATAACACGAAGACATAAAACTAATTTCCAAATCTAGGTCTTTCGAGCTGGCTCATCAATGCATTCAACGGCGAATGGCAGCGAATCGAGAATCCGAAACCGGAGGAGTCTACATGACGAACGGCCTAGCGCTCCTCATAACTTTTTCTTATTTCGGGATATATATTTGTTTTTTTAACTTTTGGCGCATGCCTCCTTGGCGGGTTAATAGCTTGCCTAGAATTGTTCGAAGTACACCGTAAATACACCATCTATACTAGGCACTTTTGGAACATTGAATGCATATTATAATTAATTGCATATTTTGTGAATTAACACTAATAATAGATAGAGTAAGGGACAGTAGTCGCTCAGGTATGCCACAATTTTCGATGCTTCGCTTCGCAAAAACAGAACTGGTATAGAAAAACAAACAACCATATTGACAAGGAGCTTTTCGTAAATACTTCCGTTGGCCCTTTGGAGGAACCAAGTCTGACACCAAACAATGCAAATAGCAAATGCGGATATAAACAAAATATAGGAGGAAAGTATACAGGAGTGCAGTATGTGCAGTAGGGAGTGAGTATGTGAGTGTCAGAAGACACGAGAGAGGCCCTTAACCACTGGGATTCAGGCCGCCAGAGCGAATGAACTCATCTCTCATGACGACGCTGACATCCGAGTTGCGATATGGGGCAAGATCCTCGCGGTGCAGGCCGCGAATCTGTTCGCGACCTGCAGTGGAGATAGAGCGGCTATGAGACTGAGGGCGAGGAGAGTGGGCGCGGCTGCCCAGGACAGAGAGGCGGTGGTTGGAAGTCCACATGGGAGATCTGTTGCCAGGGGAACCACCAGTAGACATAATAGATTGTCTAGGAGCGAAGACGGGCAGACGAGCGAAGGACTCGGCATCGGTGGAGACGTTGCTCATACTCATGGCTGAGATATCAGACATAGGACGGTGGTAGCCACCACGACCAGGAACGTGAGAGACAGAGCTGTAGAGCGTGGAGACACCAGACACAGCAGATGAGCGCCACGAGTGCACAGCACCACGGGGAATAGTGATGATCTCCTCATCAACGCCGTTTTCAATGGCGGCTGCCACGTCGGCGGGCTCGATGGGATCACCTGCAGCGCGGCTGGCCATCATCTTAGCGGATTTGCCAATCCAGAGCATCTGCTCGTGTTCCCGGAGGTATCGGTCACCACTGAAGGACTTCTGGACGATCTTGCGGGTCATCATGCCGAGCTTGCGGCGGTGCTCGCTCTTTGTGTACATGCGGCGGGTGATGGCTGCCACGTCCTCTGCGGTGGGGGAGTTGGTCAGGACTGGTGCGGGCTCGGTGTCCTCGCTGTATTTGCTCCATTCGCCCAGCATGGCAAGCATGCCGATCTGGGCCTTTGCAAGGTTAAGGGCGTCATTAGGTGCGACCACGGCACTGAACCGGGAGAAGTCATCTGGGTCACTGAGAACTCGGAGGGAGGCACCGACGTCTGTGCAGACTACGGGAGCACCAGTGAGAGCGGCTTCGCCTAGAGCGAGAGGGAGACCCTCGGACAGAGACGAGTTGAGGAAGAGCCAGGTGTTCTCCAGGACCTTCATGGGATCGGCAGTTCCACACAGTGTGACCTTACCGCGGAGACCCTTGGAGGCGATAATCTCTTGACATTCAGTGGAGTATGTTGGGGCTTTGTCGATGGCACCATAGATGTCCAGGTGATAGTCGTCGAACTTCCACTGGTTGATGATGATATCGGCAGCGAGAAGGGCGATCTTGATGTCCTTGGCATACCAGACGTGAGACAACATGGTGACAGTCGGGCGCTCAGACTTGATTTCCTTGACTGGGGCGAACTTCTGCATGTCAGTGATACCGTTGACAACGGGATCAATCTTGCGACGGAAGACGTTGCGGTGTTCAATTGTTCCCTGGCATGTACCAATCTCGACCTCCCAGCCGGGGTTGAAGAAGTCGGCACATGGAAGGATGATATCGGCGTGGTGGAGAGTCAGGACGGAGGTAATGCGCATCAATCCAAGCAGCGAGTTACGAACAAATGGTGAGAGCTTGCAGAGTGCAGATGACAGACACAGGTTGGTTTCACGCCAACTGATAGCGTGATCCCAAATCTGCAGAGTACACTTGCGCTTGATCTTACAGACAACGCCATATGAGGCGCTGACACTGTGGTGCGAGGCTTGGAAGGTTGAAGGAATCTTCTCAGGAACAGGGATCGAGAAAATGAAGAGATAGCGGTACCAGAGCTCCAGGGCGACATCGAGAGCGGCCAGCGTAGGAAGTTCAGTGTCGAACCACTCCGACGATGGCATGGCATTCGACATCTCCTGAGTAAGCCACAGTTCACGCCAGCTCTGCTTCACCGTTTCACTGTTCCACACTTGGGTCCAATGACGGGATTCCTGGAAGTATGTGTTGAGGTTTACCAAAGCACGAGTCGCCTGGTGAATGTCGGCCTTCGTGAGGTTGATTGCGCGCGCACCCTTAACCAAGGCTGTCAGGATCGGAATAAAGTTCATCTTGATATCAAACTCGCTGGCGGAAGTCACATTGTCGACCTCAGCATCCAGCTTGTTATGGAACAAACCGTGAGTTGGCGTTAGGAAATCCATACCCCAGAGAGGGATCAGCTTGAGAGACTGGATGTTCTGCTCAGTCTGGTGCTTGGGAACACCAAAGTCGTTCGCAGACTCGCAAATCATGTGCCACTTGATAGTTCGCAGGGAGTTGATCATGTCTCGTCGACAGGCAGAGACACCACCACCTTCATTGGGCCAGGTACCATTGTCAGCGGCCATGACATGCAGGGTCTTGTCAGTATCAGTTCCGAAATTTTTAGAGCGAGTGTTGACAACAGCGTCACCTCCAGGGCCGAAGTTGAGCAAATCGGTGATCTTCACAGCGAGGGGAGTCCAGCTGGAGATGTTGTCGTCCAGATCGGCACTAGCCATGATGGCATCGGCACGGAGATCCATGTACTTCTTTGCAGATCCAAGGTTACCCCAGTCACGACTGCGCCAGTATGGAGCAAGGACTCGGTCTCTGCGTAGAATACGGTCATCCATCCAGCGGACAATAATGGCGTCGAAGTCAACACGATCCTTCCAGGCCTTCCACATAAGAGAGCGAGCACGAGAAGTTGAGACCACGAAGCGCTTTTGGTCAATCCAAGTGTGCGGGTGAACAGGTTTGACTGGAGACTGTCGCAGTAGAAGAAGGGGTTGTCATGCACAAAACTGGTATACTTCGGCTTGGCCAGAACACCCAGGTAATCATGCTCGATCATGGGAGGGGTCTGAACCTTCTGACCATTGATAGTTGTGAAGATAGTGGGATGGAACTTGTGGTCATACAGCCAGCGGCTCTCATAGACATCGGCGCCCTGAACAAAGCTGGCCTCTGTAACCTTGGAGTGAGGAATCCAGCGCTCAACCTTCTCGGGATGACGGCGGGGAGGCGCACACCAAGACACTGTGCAGCTGATGTGAGACAAGACGAACTCTGCGCGGAGCAGCTCATCACCGAAACGGGGGTTCTTGCGATAGTGGTACTTGAAACGGATCAAGTTACCATCCTTCATGTAGGAGCCAGATTCGATGAGACCCTTTCGGTTATACTGGACACTTTGCAGGTGATTGGCACCGGAGACGCAGCGACGGCCCAACGGAATGCGAGCCGAAGACCTGCCAAGCTTGAAGCCCTTCTTAGTCGGGGATTGGTAGTCGTAGTGGTATTCGTTGGTGACCTTGCCATCCTTGAACTCCTGCTTGACAAGAAGCAACATCTCACCGGAGTAGGTGCTGACATATTTCAGTGCCTTGACCTCCTTAGGCTCGGTCTTGTGGTCGCCTGCATAGTGGTAGATTTTGAAGCCACCGTCAATCTCATGATGCCGGAATGCCGTGAAAGTGCCGTCCAGACTCTGAACAATGACTCTGCTCTTCTTGATGTGGATAGTCATGCCCTTGGTCTCTTCCCACAGACGTTTGACGTTCTGGCGACCGTAGAATAGGAAGAATGACAGGCCTAGGTCTTGAACAAGCTTGGAGTAAACCCAAAGCATATTAAACAAGAAGACAGTAGGAACACGGACAACGGTAGGAAGGTTCTTGATGACGTGGTTGAACTCTCTCTGGAATTCCGGGTCTGCGACCAAAGCCACGACAAAGAACTTGACCGTTGTGCCCAGCGTATGGTAGATGTAGCTCACGGGTGATCTGAACAGTGACAACACAAGAGGGAGCTTACGAGGCACATAAGAAATGTACTCAGAAGTCTCCGACTCCTTGGGAAGAGCGGCTTCTCCGGTTCCCCAGTGAGCATAGTCGAGAACACTGATCGCGGTGGCTGCTCCAAGGTTGCAACGGGCAACGTGGATGTCAAGATCCTTGGTGTCAAAGGTGCACAGGCTTTCCTGAAGCCATTGTCGCTGGCTGTTAGAGAGACTGCATTGTTGTCCTAAGCAACGCTTCAGTAGTACATCACGAACTTCGGTAGGCAGCTTGTCCCAGTGAATATCAGCCTCGAAACCGAGGCAGAGCTGTCGGAGAAGCTCCTTCTTGGCCCAACGAACGACGGTGGAGGTATTGGCCTCCTCACGAAGCTGTCGGGCCATGGTGTGTGTGACTCCGCCGGAGACAATTGATCCTGCCAATGATGCGTATTCGTGGGGAACACCCATCATGAGCTCAGTGACAGCGTGGAGTAGAGTCTCAGCGATGACCTGGCAGTTTGTACTGATGTCAAGGCGCTCATCCAGAAGACCTCCAACACTGATGGCCAGCTTCAGCTGATTACCAGTGCTGCAACTCAAAGCACGGATACCCGGTCCGAGAGAGCCTATTGGAACAAGCTCGATAACAATGTCGCCCTTTTCCCACGAGGAGATCGCAGTGTTAACAATTTCCTTGGAGCTGGGGAAGGCCTCTTCAATGCGGAGCTCCTCTCTGCGAGACGTCATAGCACTCTTAATCTCGACACCGGGGTGAACAGCAGGGTTGAGCTTGAATCGTGAGTCAGATGGAAGCAGAGAGTAGTTTTCGAAGAAAGTCTGGAGTTCCTGCTGAGACCATTCAGGGTCGGACCAGGGCGTTGTGAAGGCGTGGAAGGTCC